GGTTCCTGAGATGATAAAATGATGATCTACAGATGCTAGACACATGTGCATGAAAAGACATGTGCTCATCAAAGATAACACCAAGACTCCTAGCCGACTGAGAGGCAGCCACGCTTTCATCACCAACACATAAGGACTGAAAGGATGGAGAGGGACGATGCTTTGAGTGGATAAGCATGACCTCCGTCTTGTCGTGGTTTAGCTTCAATTCGTTGAGATCCATCCAGCGACATATTGCAGAAACGCAGTTCTCGACCCTCGATTTAGCAGCGTCCACATCCACCGATTTGAATGCAAAGTATAACTGAGTATCGTCGGCGAATAGATGATAATCTAAGCCATAAGATCTTATCACTTTAGCAAGTGGCGCAGTATACAGAAGGTAGAGAACAGGTCCAAGAACTGAACCTTGGGGAACACCCACGGGAAGATCTCGTACCGTAGAATTCGCCTCATTGATGTTTACAAACTGAGTTCTTTGAGAAAGATAAGAATCGAACCATTGCAGTACAGTTCCTCTGATACCAAATGATTTCTGCAGTCGTGCCAGCAGCAAGGAATGGTTAACGGTATCAAATGCTGCCGACAGATCCAATAAAACGAGGAAAACATTCTCACCCTTATCCAATGACAGCATAATGTCATTTGTAACTGTGAGAAGTGCAGTCTCGGTGCTGTGAAAAATCTTGTACGCTGATTGAAGAGGCTCGTGTAGATCATTTTCGCCAAGATAGCTATTCAATTGCACAAACACTGCTTTCTCTATCAATTTAGACAGGAACTTTAAATTGAATCAAGGAAAAACATAGAAAAACATGGGAAACCAGGGCAAAACGTAGAAAAATAGAGGAAAACGGGGAGAATCAGGAAAAAAAAAACATAGAAAAACATGGGAAACCAGGGAAAAACGTAGAAAAACACGGAAAAACATGGAGAATCAAGGAAAAACATAGGAAAACACGGGAAAACAGGAGAAACGTAGAAAAACACGGAAAAACATGGAGAATCAAGGGAAAACATAGAAAAACATGGGAAACCAGGGTAAAACGTAGAAAAACACGGAAAAACACGGGGAATCAAGGGAAAACATAGAAAAACATGAGAAACCAGGGGAAAACGTAGAAAAACACGGGAAAACACGGAGAATCAAGGGAAAACATAGAAAGACAGGCAAAAACAGGGGAAAACGTAGAAAAACACGGAAAAACATGGAGAATCAAGGAAAAACATAGAAAAAGATGGGAAACCAGGGTGAAACGTAGAAAAACACGGGAAAACAGGGGAAAACGTAGAAAAATAGAGGAAAACGGGGAGAATCAGGAAAAAAACATAGAAAAACATGGAAAAGCAGGGGAAAACGTAGAAAAACACAGGAAAACAGGGAAAAACGTAGAAAAACACGGAAAAACATGGAGAATCAAGGAAAAACATAGAAAAACACGGGAAAACAGGAGAAAACGTAGAAAAATAGAGGAGAACGGGGAGAATCAGGAAAAAAACATAGAAAAAAATGGGAAACCAGGGGAAAACATAGAAAAACACAGGAAAACAGGGAAAAACGTAGAAAAACACGGAAAAACATGGAGAATCAAGGAAAAACATAGAAAAACATGGGAAACCAGGGTGAAACGTAGAAAAACACGGAAAAACAGGGGAAAACGTAGAAAAATAGAGGAAAACGGGGAGAATCAGGAAAAAAACATAGAAAAACATGGGAAACCAGGGGAAAACATAGAAAAACACAGGAAAACAGGGGAAAAAGTAGAAAAACACGGAAAAACATGGAGAATCAAGGAAAAACATAGAAAAACATGGGAAACCAGGGTGAAACGTAGAAAAACACGGAAAAACACGGGGAATCAAGGGAAAACATAGAAAAACATGAGAAACCAGGGGAAAACGTAGAAAAACACGGAGAATCAAGGGAAAACATAGAAAAACAGGGAAAACGGGAAAACGTAGAAAAACACGGAAAAACATGGAGAATCAAGGAAAAACATAGAAAAACATGGGAAACCAGAAGAAAACGTAGAAGAACACGGGAAAACAGGGGAAAACGTAGAAAAATAGAGGAAAACGGGGAGAATCAGGAAAAAACATAGAAAAACATGGGAAACCAGGGGAAAACATAGAAAAACACAGGAAAACAGGGGAAAACGTAGAAAAACACAGAAAAACATGGAGAATCAAGGAAAAACAGAGAAAAACACGGCGGGAAAACAGGAGAAACGTAGAAAAACACGTAAAACATGGAGAATCAAGGGAAAACATAGAAAAACATGGGAAACCAGGGTGAAACGTAGAAAAAGACGGAAAAACACGGGGAATCAAGGGAAAACATAGAAAAACATGAGAAACCAGGGGAAAACGTAGAAAAACACGGAGAATCAAGGGGAAAACATAGAAAAACATGAGAAACCAGGGGAAAACGTAGAAAAACACGGGAAAACACGGAGAATCAAGGGAAAACATAGAAAAACATGAGAAACCAGGGGAAAACGTAAGAAAAACACGGAAAAACACGGAGAATCAAGGGGAAAACATAGAAAAACATGAGAAACCAGGGGAAAACTTAGAAAAACACGGAGAATCAAGGGAAAACATAGAAAAACAGGGAAAAACAGGGGGAAACGTAGAAAAACACGGAAAAACATGGAGAATCAAGGGAAAACATAGAAAAACATGGGAAACCAGGGTGAAACGTAGAAAAACACGGAAAAACACGGGGAATCAAGGGAAAACATAGAAAAACATGAGAATTTATAGGAAAACGTAGAAAAACACGGAAAAACACGGAGAATCAAGGGGAAAACATAGAAAAACATGAGAAACCAGGAGAAAACTTAGAAAAACACGGAGAATCAAGGGAAAACATAGAAAAACAGGGAAAAACAGGGGAAAACGTAGAAAAACACGGAAAAACATGGAGAATCAAGGGGAAAACATAGAAAAACATGAGAAACCAGGAGAAAACTTAGAAAAACACGGAGAATCAAGGGAAAACATAGAAAAACAGGAAAAAACAGGGGAAAACGTAGAAAAACACGGAAAAACATGGAGAATCAAAGAAAAACATAGAAAAACATGGGAAACCAGGGGAAAACGTAGAAAAACACGGGAAAACAGGGGAAAACGTAGAAAAATAGAGGAAAACGGGGAGAATCAGGAAAAAAACATAGAAAAACATGGAAAACCAGGGGAAAACGTAGAAAAACACGGGAAAACAGGGGAAAACGTAGAAAAATAGAGGAAAACGGGGAGAATCAGGAAAAAAACATAGAAAAACATGGGAAAACAGGGGAAAACGTAGAAAAACACGGAAAAACACGGAGAATCAAGGGAAACATAGAAAAACATGGAAAACCAGGGGAAAACGTAGAAAAACACGGGAAAACAGGGGAAAACGTACAAAAACAAGAGAAACATAGGGAAAACAAGGGAAATGCATAGAAACATAGGGAAACTTCTATATATGTTGGGGACATGTTATGGAGTCTTACATGAGATACTGACCCATTAATCAGTCACATTAAGCATAAAACCATTTATTTCTTTCAGAAATAAATTTCCTTTTTTTAAGGAATCGTAGCCTCGCAATTCCAGAATCGACGCATGTTTCATGTAACAAATCCCTACCGCAATATGAGAGTTGGAAAACACGATTAAAATTGGGTGCAGGCTTCTAGAGGATTACGAAATGGATTAACGCTTGTGTAATCATCGATGCACGCAGTTAAGGATTATTTTTAAAAAAATCACGTGGCCTGGTTTGTTTATTCCACGCATCAAATACCAAGACATTATATTTTTCGGGTTTCAACGAACGAGAACGTGGTCATCTTCACCAACAAAAATATTACAATAGATTACGGGTCTCTTGGTCTGAACATCCCGCCAACACCTACCACTTTATTGGGAGCTTTTAAAACAACCTCGGAATGCGAAGGGACAATAGGCTTTGTCCGGCCCTGTATAAGACTCTTTGAACTCTCTGCTAACGTAAACCACATATACGTGTATTGCCAATTCGCCATTTCAGATCTCCCATAATACCGTATTTATTCGAATAAGCGCCCAACCTCGAATTAGCGCCCACCTCGAATAAGCGCCCATGCTAAAGGCAGAAAAAGTTAATAAGCGCCCAGCCTCGAATAAGCGCCCACCCCACCCCACTCCCTCCCACAATAACTCCAATAAGAGATAATAAGAGACCCTCCTGAAGACGGAGTTTTCTTCAGAGTATTTTACAGAAACCTTGCTTTGCTACATCTTCACTTTTTGTTGGTACCATTTACTGTTTTGTTGCAAAATATACTACTACACTTGCTGAGAATGGCGAAAATTTAATAAGCGCCCAGCCTCGAATAAACGCCCACCTCGAATAAGCGCCCACTCTCAAGGTCCAAAAATTTAATAAGCGCCCAGGGCGGTTAATCGAATAAATACGGTACATCTTCTTTGCCCCCCTCCCCCCACTTCCTCTTCCCCTATATAAAAAAATAAAAAAAAATAAATAAAAAAATGAAATAACCCATATGTTCCATTTCTCCTGGGTATTACATTCGTCTTAAGACAATCCTAATGGAAAATTTTGGGGGTTACCGTTTTGTTTTTTGGGTCAGGTCATTTAGGCCTTGCTGAGCTCCCTTGAACACAAATTTTCAGTTTCCCGAAACAAACATCTGAATGAGCAAAGCTGATCAGCAGCAGTAACAGAGAGATCACGACATGAAACGAGAGGAATTATAAACAGGACTGAGTAACTATTTTAACGGAAAGGCATGCCGTGCTTTCATGTTATGTGTTTTTTTTTCTTTTGGGGGGGACGAAGAAAAACGTCTTGAAGATGTGTTCGCCTCGCGCCCCCTTTAAAATAAAAAAATAAACAGCCTATATCTAGGCTTTACTTTCACATCGTGCTGATTTTCATTACTCGAAAGAATTTTCGAAGGATTTGTATACTGATAGTTAATTCTATCAAACCAATTTAATTGTTGTTTCCCTGGACACTAACATACATGAAACTCACAGCACAACATTGGGGACACAAACAGTAAAATATCAAAAAACAACACAGCTAGAACTGCCGGGTTCATCAGTAATGGAAATTGCCAACAATATTTAAGGACTATTTTTTCGCTGTCTAGAGGAGCTTGCAATCCTAGTCTCCAGTGCCCAGTTGTTAAAAGGGTCGCAGTGGATATTGCTATCTACTCCATAAATTTCTATCCAGCGGATAACTGATTGCTTCCCGCAGTACTTATCTGCTGGATAGTGATTTCGCCGCTTGAGAGCGAATTCCAACGTTTGAACATCCGAGGCCAAGTTGTCATTACACATGTGCGGCACTTAATATGTAGCCAGCGTTTGGACTTCCACTAAAGAATAAATGGAATGCATGAAACGGAATGGTATCACGGCCGCTTAATGGAGGTTAGACATGTACAGCTAACTAAAGGTAAACTGTCGATCCTCGCAACACGGTATCACCACACCAACTGGTCGACGAAAAGGCCTTATCGCGGTTTTCGATGCCATCTTGACGAGTAGCCAACCGCGTGAGAATTTACAGTGTTTGTATGAGCATCTAATGTCGCATAATTTCCGTAAAACGCCTGTGCTGGTAAACTAAAGCTACACAGCAAAGGATTTTACTAACAAATTTTGTGGACCTGTGCTTAAATTTCACCAGACCCTTGCTTTCGATTTTCCATATATTTGTCTGCAATTTTTCTCGGGAAATTTTAGTCGGAAGGAAGAGAAATGTATAGAAAATTTTAAAAAGTGGTTCTAGCGCTTGTAGCTGCATGTAACACCCTCAACTCTTTTCAGTAGAATCGTTAGGAGTGAAGCTTTAGTTCCCAATTCATATATATACATACTTTTTCCAGACCAGCTGGCAATTTAAGGGAAATTGTTCGACATTAGATTGTCATACAAACACTGTAATTTCGCACGCGGTTGCCTACTCGTCAAGATGGAGTCGAAAACCGCGATAAGGCCTATTGCTCAGGTTTATCGAAACTCGCATGGGGCCTTCATGGTAGAGCCATCATGTCAAGAAAGCAGTTTATTTTAGTATTAAGCCAGGCTACTTGTCGTGGAAGTAAGCCATCGATCCAGTCACGGGGTAATTCAGAATATCCAACTTTGCAGCCCAACAAGGCACCAGCCACTGTTGCGTTACACGTTGCGTGGCCACCTTGCATTGCAAGCTCTGTTATTGCTGTTCTGTTTATATGAAAAAAATATATATATATTGAAAAGACAAAATAAAGAAACAAACACAAAACGACAACCACAAAAAATAACTATAAAAAACAAATAAGCTCAAATTTGTCTCCTACTAGTTGGGGTTTTAATCAAGTTATGGCTGGCTTGAATTATTTGCAATTATTTCAAATTTATTTTTAAACACACAACCTCCGGACCTAGAAATTAAAACGCTTGCTATGTTATGTTTTCTTCTCCTTAGCATAACATTCAAGGTGTATCTCAGCTTACGAATCAGATTCTGTAAATTTACGACTTCGTCTCTTGCACATCCCCCCTGCCTAGACTGTTCCAGGCTCTCAAATGGTGGGAAAGACGCGAAAGTGAAAGGCAGGGGTAGCGTCCAATGTTGTTTTGTTAAGATGGTTCAACACACTGACAAGCTAGTAAAGTTGTGTTTGTAGTGACCAACTGGCGCGGCACCTCCCGTTAACTTTCCCGCCAACCAACCAGAATCAGTAACAAAATTAAAATTTAGTAATATTGCTGAATTTCATCTTTTGAATCGCTACAAGGTGATTGGTATTTCTTACTTGTAATCCTTCATACATCTGAGTGCTACGAGTCCAGCGCCAAGTGGTTTAAAAGTGTAATCTGTCATTCTGGGTTCGCAGACTTCAACGCTAAATGAAAACAAACAGTACTTTCTAAAACTTTCTCTTAATGCTCACCTTAATTCGATAGGTTTTGCGACTGTACTATTTTACTTAAATGAGTTCCATTGTCCAACATTACAATCTGATTGGTTGGTTCACTGATGTGGCGGGATTTTCACTTCTGGGCAGAAGAAGGATCAATTGCAGGTAATTGATCCGCTGCACATGCCAAAAGAGGCTATAAGAAAAATAGTGGGGGATCTAGACCTAATCAATAGGACGCTTAAGCAACCACAACGGCAAAGACGTTGAAAAAGTCACTAGGGAGCTTTAGCATCGACGACGGCAACGGCAGCGAAAACGTCAGTTTTAAAATGAATTCCCGTTTTTTCAATCTTTATCGCGTTTATTCCAATTTGCTGAAAATTGCCCAAGTGTAGGCGAATTTCCCTGGAGTTGATTTCTTGAGGACCGCACTCAAGTTCAGAGAGAGAAGAAGAGATTCGTCGTCGCTTGTTTACGTCCTCCATAAACTGAGTGACTTGCAATTAGTCATTTTCACGTCGTAGTCGTGCAAGGACGGTGAAGAAATGTACAAAAAAGCGTGATGCACGTGCAAAGTTGTTGTTTTGCGTAATAAACCTATTGCTTTTTTGACGTTCTGGTTGCCGTCGACGTCGTCGTTGCTAAAGCTCCCTACTTAAAACTGAATACGTGCTGTTCCAAACCCCATTCCTCCTTTCGTATTTCATTCAATTTTTCAAGTGTTGGGAAGCTTTCTGGAATTGATTCTAAAGGACTGTACCTAAGTTCACGAAAAGAAAAAAAAAAATTTTGTCGTGTTCATGACCTCCATAAAACTTAAACCTTAGGTGTAAAAGTGCAGTCAGTGACGGTAAAGAAACGTCCAAAAAGCGTGTTTGTTTTGCTAAATTAAACCCATTGTCTGTTTTTTCATTTTTATCTTTATTTTATTTTTGCCGTTTTCGTTGCCGTCGCCGTCAATGCTGCTTAAGCGCCCTAATAATGACCGACTGACACGGGAAAGAAATTTCGCGCATCATGCCCAATAAGAATGTTGAGTGAGCACATTGAGAATTTCTGACACGCATTTCGCCACCGTCGAACAAGCGCAACATATTGTTGTTATTGTCGTTGCAAAAGCAGCGTCTTCCCTCTGAAACTGGGACCTTGGTTGAACGCGTGGAAGTTCGGATAGACAGACGACGTTAACAGCGACCTCTGGGGATCGTGAGTGGAGAAGCCAGTCGCGTGCGGGAATGCTACTTATACGACCCTCACAATAATTCAAAACAGACACTCACTCTTCCCAAGTCTGGCAATTAAAATAGTGGTGGAAGTCCTTTTGATGGAATGGCTCTTCTAAGTAGATCTTTCCCTGTTCTCTGGCTTTCTCTAGAAGTTCTTCAACAGAAGAATTGCTCTCCATATCGTTCTCTCCCTAAATAAATAAATAAATATATAAATAAATAAACAAACTTACTCGAGAGCCACGTGGGTACATTAAAATATATACTTAACTCTGTATGTTACAACTTAACTAACACGTTCTAGCATCCATTATAATGAACACATTCATACCACATTGACGCATAATTATACGTCAAGTTTAGAGATAAAGACGTTCACTTTTTCTTGTAAATTTGCATATGAATGTTCGCGCAGTAATCAAGAAATAAATATAACAACTAGTCAAGCAGACAAAATGTTTGCACACAATTTCGCGTGCAATTTGCTATCTCCAATAAAGAGGAAATGAAAAACGGGTACGGTGCGACAAAGGCTTACCATGCTATGCTTGGTCATTGCGGTTACGAGGGAAGCTTTCCTAATACTGCATGTATTTCCGGCTTCCAATGTTAGCTTGTTGTTTGCTTTGGAAACGTGTTCACTCCTCTCAGTATTTTGTGATAAAAATTAGCTTGCAAGGAAGGATTTCGAAAGGAAAGGGTGAGGGAATAGCCCTAAAGAACGATAATCAGTCTGCATAAACATTGCGAAGGGAATGCTATTAGGTGTGAATGGGTTAATGTGATCGTTATGCATATTGTGGTTCAATTTTAATTTTGTTTTAAATATCATTTTCCTTTGTTTTAAACTCATTATCGTACATCACCATACCCCAAAAGATAGGGAAATAAAATTGAAACCAAGGAAAAGATTAAACCAAAAAACCAACGGCAGGGTGCATAAGACAGAGTACCTGCAATATCAATGCAATAATAATGCATACTGCAACGCAACTTGCAATGCACCTAAAAGACAAACAAACAAACAAACGAACAAAACAACTGATACAATGTAATTACTGCTTCTATAGTAAAAAGTGCACTAAGTGCTAATGTAGAGGAAAAGTTCTTTTTCTGCACTTCCTCATGTTAAAAGGTAAAATGAACAGCTGTTAAATAGACGTCGATGTTATGATGTTTCCCTATAACGTCATTATCAACTCAAATAAAATTCTAGCAATACAACAATGCTTAATTAAACAAACAATCTAAAGAGTCTAAAATCTTGGTCCCCCTCGAAAAAACAAACAAACAATGATTACATGGAAACCTTGCTAACCTTGGGTCAGTATGTGTTGCCTTGCATATCCTAACCGCGTTAGTGGCTACTTCGTTTAAGTCATAAAAGTGAGCAACACCAAGAATGGATGTCCTCATAATAGCACCATTAGATGGCGACTCCAACTTGTTTGCTACTGAAATGGCGGCTCCGTGTGGATCATTAAGAAACTGAGGTTCACAAACAACCTGTTAAAGATAGCAATTTGAGATGGACAACGTTCAAAAAATTAATGCAAAATTACTTGAGAGTCGAAGGGACATTTTCTAGAGACTAATTTGATGCTATGGCAACCTTTTTCTACAAGAAAATGCCTACAACCTGTTCACCAATAGCCAAGCCCTTGTTTCATGACCAAAGACGGTTAGGCATGAAGAGAAAAAAATAGAAGCTGTTGCCACAATTGAGGACAAAATTGAGAACAAAACATTCTAAGTTGGAATGTTTGTTCTTTCCTACAGAACTAGCTCAAACAGCAATTCAATTGAACTTTGCATGGGAGGGGTGGGAGAGGGTAAGCTCAATTTTTCCCTTTTGAAGTAGAGTGTAGACTAGAGTGTAGAACAGCAGAGTAAACCGCAGTACCTTCACTGTTTGTCATTTACAACGTATGAAACTAACGTTCCAATTTTAGGGTCTGTGATTAACAAGCCCTGTAGTGTGACCATGTATACTTAACATTTCCACCATTATTTTAAATGTACTATTTAATGGTATTATTTTTTGTCCTCATAACTTCTTTTTATTATAGAGTCGGTGAACAAATTACAGCTGTAGCCATATCATTATGACTACTGATACAGATCCTCTTTATTTGACATTTTGAAGCTTTATATAAGAAAAACAGTTACGTAAATGGCTTCTACATTCTGTAGCTTGTTTCTAAGAGCCTTTTCTATTCCAGTTATACATGTACTGTAACTCCTCTCCGACCCCCCCCCCCCACCCAAAAAAAACCTTACAAAGATGCACGAGCCCTGATCAGGGCAATGTAAGCAGCAGTTTATGGTATTGTAACTATATTTACATGAATCTATCCTGCTATAAAACAATTATTTTTCAGGATAAAAACGAAACAAAATTTGACTAGGCTAAAAATAATAAAAGATTCATATGTGTAAGTGTTGTGATCTAAAATTTTACCTTAGCAAGGACTCCTCTAACTCCTCGTCCTACTGTATCACCTAACTCAGGGAAACCATGTTTACACCAGTTGAGAATACTCTTAGCAAACTCTAGTTCATCCACAACACCAGCCCAATGAATGATGTTTTCAAGGATTAACATCTACAACAAAAACAACATTTAAATGTGCGCTGTGGTTAAATTTTATCGTTGTTATCCTATGCAATACAGTCAAAGCTCACTTATTAGAAGCTCAAGTTAGAGGACAGCTTTACTTACAGCAGCTTTCAGAAAAACCTATTTAAACTGTCTGCTTACAAAAACTTTTTCCAGTTGCAGACAGTTTTTGCTCCTGACAGGGGTAGCTCTATTGGTTAAGCACTAGTCTGCAAAGTGCGAGGCCACTGGTTCAAACCTCAACCGTACCAACACTGAGATAGACTTTCGCTTTTGCTGTAGAAAACATGAAAAAATCTCCTGCTTGCGCTTTGCACTCATGAAAAATTTTGAGCTCAACTTGTGGGCAAGTCTTAAATAACTGAGGCCCCCTTAGGGGGGTAACATATGTCTCTTGTCTGAATTCCAAAACCTGTCATTTCACATGTTGAGGAGCAAGCCATGTCGCTGTCAGCATTTTACTATTGTATTTGCATTTTTTTTTCTGTTGCTGATGCAGTTTCATCCCATCTTTGTGTCATTTGTCACCATTTCTGCTGTCCTGTTTCGCTCTTTCAATTATGTCGCTTGTCGAAATTTTGCCCTAAAAGGGTTGCATAACTGAGGAGAAAACACTGTCTACGTAATGACATCTGCAGATGGTTAGACTTTCTAGTCTTTTCGCATAAGGATGATTAACCTCACACCCTGTCTTGCAAGCCTTATAATAAATTCTGTGGCCGGATGTAAAAGAACCAACACATTGTTCATACAGAGTATAGGGGACGTAGTCACACTCACATAATTATACGGGGCATCATTACTCATTTCTTCATTACTTGTAAACTTCACCATAAGCAGCCTGGCGAAGTCCCCCAACCAGCGTTACAAAAATGAATTATCCCTAAAAATAACCTGAGGGGAGTGGCTCTGACTGTAACAGTATTTATTCATTTATTTATTTATTATTTTGTTACTGTTATTTTTTTTGTCTTGTAGAGAATCAAATGGTATTTTTCCTTTGGTGAACATTGTAATATTGCCATCATATTTGCTTAACCCTAACAATGTGTGTGACTGTACTTTCAGAGTCAGTTGTGCAGGCATTATTATATTTTGACTTCAGTTCTAACTAATTACAGTCTGTGGATGAAATTATAATTATTATGACACTAGCTTCACTGTGCCAGTGCATAATCATTCCAGTCTCAATTGCCATTTTTTCCCTATAGGCTGCATGCACAAAGGAAGAGGCAAGTTCTCATGCCTGGCTCTGAAGTTAAGGAGAAGAATGTAAACGAAATGGCATTGAGAAACAGGGATGCGGGGAATAATAGTTTTTCCTTGAATATCAGTGCCATTGATTTTCTTTACAATGGAATCAGCATCAGTACGATAAAATCTACTCACAGTTTGGTCAAATGAGTCTGTCCAGTCTCCCTTTTCCCACTTACTCCTGTGTCTGTCTTTTATCATATTATGACAAAGCAACGTGTCCTTGTCGTAATAAAAACTACATTCATCGGGCATCATAAAATCCGTGCACAACCCTATAGCATCACCAATGGCTGCCCCATACAAACACCCAACAATCTTGTCCACAAGTTCATCTGGGGGCAGCTGGTTAACATTTGCAGGGGGCCTAAGAGGAGTCTTGATGCGACTAGTAGCATTTGTGTTGGTCTGCGTCTGGACATACTGTGCTCTAGCTGTGTGAGGGTTCGTAGGTGCAAGAACAAGTACATCTCCACGGACTCGTGGAAACTCATTGTTTCTTGTAACATTAAGCAATTGTTGTATTTCCTTTGGATTTTGATTCCGCAAATAAGAGAGAATGGCATCCGAGCCTTGATTACAAATCTGCTGTGGTGGTAGTATGCATTTGTTAAAAATTGCAAGGATTAGCTTAAGAGACTTTGATTTTCCTAATGTGACTGGCAGAGAGTCAAGTTCATTGTAACTGACATTTAAACTTTGAAGTGATTCCATCATTCCTAAACTCTGTGGTAAGAACCGTAACTGATTGTGAGATAAGTCGGCTTTTTCCAGTCTTGCAAGTAAACAAAATGTTTCTGGGAGCTCAACCAATCTGTTGTTGTTTAACAGCAAGGTTTTAAGATGGACCAAAAGACCAAATGATTCTGGTATGGAGGCAAGGCGATTGTGGCTCATATCAATATAAGACAGATGTGGAAGGAACATGGAAAATTCTGAGGGAATGTATGTAAAGCAGTTGAATGATGCATCAAACTTCTCATAGAATGAGACACTGCTGAGCAACTCCACTGGATAATCCACAAGGGCATCTTCGCTGTCGTGTGTTAGATGCTAAAAACCACAATATTAAAAATGATTAGATTCAATGTACTGTTAAAAGGCAACAGTGTACAGGAGTTATGAGACCCAAACAGCCTTCAGGAGCTTATCTGTAGCATGATGAAGTGCCTGGTGGTAAAGCGGTCCCTCCTGGATGGGATGTAAGTCCATCAGAGGGTTAACATCAGAAAACAAAGTGATTGATTTGCCCACCTAAAAATGTTGTCTTGGTGCAGCTTCTTATCATAGTTCAAAGTGCCAAATGTTGCTACACTGGGAAAATTTTCTCTCTAAATTTGGCAGCTCATAAATGCTTATTCCTCTTTAACTTTAACATTTTCAAGGTTTGGAGAAAGCAGTACATGAAAATTATCGTAACATCTCTGTGGTTTCCGTCTGCAATTTTTTTCAAAATCTTGAATTCACACACCACTTTCCTTCAGAGTTGAAACAATGCTGTGAATTTCCCCTCACCAGGGGTAGAGATTCCTATCCACCCCCTTATATTGATCCCCGTCATATTCACCTTGCCCTGGGTGTTCAACGGTGGATATGCGCCGAGTGCAATCCTCGAGATAAAATTAATCTCTATGTTATTGGTTTTCCCACAAAACTAATTTTCTGGAAAGTGATTGCTTCGGTGGATAGCACCAGCCAGCATTCAAACAGCCAGGGCCTGATTGGCCCAGGCACCTAAATGTACCCCAGTGGCAGGTAATTAAGCAGCATGTAGTCTGAGATGAGTCGTCACCAAGGATCGGAAACGATTTGAAAAGCTAAAATATACGGTCAAACCTCTTTAATACAGACACCAAAGGGACAGAACCAAGTGCCCGCTTTACAGAGGTGTCCGCATCATAGAGGAAGGGAATGTATGATTTTTGGCATTTCTGGGACCAAACGAACAGTCTGCCCGTTATAGAGAGGTGTCCGTACTATAGAGGTGTCCGTAAGGAGAGGTTAGACTGTATTAAAGATGGCAAAAATTCAGAACTAAAGGTCTCTCTCAATTATGAGAAAGACCTTTATTTTCCTGATAATAAACCACGCTATATAGCCTATAAATATTGCTGACCTCTTTGTAATCTTCGTACCCCAAGGAACGACTGATATTAAGCTCACGTGAGCGAAGCCCTTGTAACTGAGTCACATCGATTTTAGCACTAGATTCTATGTTTCCCATTTCATTACGATTCCAGTATGTCCATCACTGTTGTAATCTTTGAGTCTCATTGCATAATGCAGAAAATTGCTGAAGCATTCCTGTTTCGTGCGTCGTGTTTATTCTTTCATCTCTCTCCTTTTTATTGGAATATTATATGACGTAAAAATTGTTTCTGAAATTGACCGCTGAAACCTTTTGAGCCTTTATTGTTATAACAAAGATTTTCATTGGATATAAATTGGTTTTACAGACAAGTACCTTTATAAACCAATCACAGATCGCGTATTATTGACTTCTTTGATCGCTGATTCATCAACAAAAATGGCGGACATTGGTGACGATAAGAAAGCAGCAAGTGAATTGAACGGTAAGGGAAAGATGTCTTTTATTTAAGATCATGGGAGGTGAGGGGGTTCGTATCCCCAAGATGACAAACAATTTGACGTCCCCCTATTTTTTATCATCATGTATTTATGTTTAATGCTGAATTTTTGTTTGTTCTTGAAGTTTTAATATCAATTGACAATTGTCCACCATAGATCAGCTGATCGATTTATGTCTGGACGTTTGTTTTGTGTTCTGGACTTATGTATCGTCTTGTTATTTAGATTGCTAATACAGTTGAGTCTCTGTTTAACTTTGAGTTAGCCTTCAATTCTATCCTTAGGACATCTCATCGCCCCGAAGCAAACTTCAAAATATTTTGGATAATTTTCTTTATATCGAACCTCCTTATTATATTGCTTCATGATTTTTAAACAACAATAACAACAAGTCAAAACATAAAGAAGAAGGAAAACACGATTGGATGGGTTGCTCATTGCACCACAGATAACATACGTAATGCATGCCGCTTAATTCTGAAATATTCAAGGTATATTAGATTAAAGAACAGGTTTCAATTTCCTTTATATAAAAGCCAGACATTTCGTTATTCTAAAGGACCTATTATTTTGATTCCATGTTTATGTTACAAGTCAAAATTAAATTGATTATTATTACAGTTATGATTTTTAACCTAGGTTGATTTTCAGTTTTCTTCGTTTCATCCCTGGCCCTAATTCATAAATAAATAGGGCCAGGAGACAAAGGAAATAGGCCATTTTACAGTTTTAAGTGAGGCTGAGGGTGACCTTGTTTTGATACAAACCTTCCTGCCTTATTATGTAAATCAAGTTATTCTTATGCTAAATTAACCAGTATTTTTCAAGGACAATTTCCATAACAAAGAAAAGGAGGTTTATATCAAAACAAGGTCACCATCACCCTCACATTCACTTGAAGGCTAGGGTACTAAGTCCACAACTGTAAAATGTGACCTTCTTTGGGAAAACGTACACTAACGATATTTCGTTAAACGGTTAGACCGTTATCTGTCCGTTAGTAATCCGTTAGATGATTCAATGAAAATCGTTACAGGCATTAGGAAATTTGTTAGCAACTCATCCGTATCGGTTAGAGCGTTAGTTGTACCCATTAGAGGTGTTAGTCAATTCGTTAGCAACTCATGCATATCCGTTAGAGCATTAGTTGAATCCGTCAGAGCGTTAGTCGAGCAAACTAAAGCATTAACTGACGATTCTATTGCTTTGCTGATCAAGGTTGCTGCCTTATGGGCGCCCTGCCGTCAGAGGTTTCTAATATTAATTTTATTCGCCCGTGGGCGACCGACATTATAAACAAGGAGCCCGCATTGGGCACCTGAAACTAGTGATTCTTGCCAGACTTTCCCAACGTCCAGTGAACGAATGACACAACTCCCTACTCGTTCTACGCTTTTGAAACGAAAATATCAAATGTTTGGTCTTCGGCTGTAGGCAAAAGATACCAACGATAAAAAGTAAACAAAAAAATCTGCTTCTCTGCAGACTTCTGCTAATTGATCTCGAATGAATTGAATGGTTGCAGGAAAACCTTCGGTATAAAAGTCATGACCTTCTTCCCGTCGCTTTGCCTGTAGAAACATTGCTGTTGCGTGTATTTTTAAATAAAAAGATGCAAGCAAGCAAGATCCATAATCGCTGGTTTGAAATTACTCATGATATATGCAAATTTTTCTTGCATCTACAACTATTGATTAGATTGTTCCGTTTTCGATCTCATTACGAACGGTACACTCAGTTGCCTCAGAGATTTCTTAGATCATTTATTCAGGTTGTATCTATGTCTTTCTCCTCTTTTTGGTACGGTTTGTGGCAATTTCTTTTTAAAAGGTAGACTCCATGTTGAAATAAAACAACTTTTTGTGCTGCTAGACAGCAGTTCTTTGTGTCATCATACAACGCTCCATACATAGAATGGCTGTGGCTGTGTGGCAGACTTAGCCAAGTAAAATAATGTAATCTTCCTAAAACTTGATTTCGATTGAATGCTGCTTAAATTTAATGTGGGGGCCGCTCGTCGGGGCTTAAAGCGGCGATAGAAAGAGACAAAAAATAGATAAGAGAATATCGCGATATCACAGCAGCTCGCGTTCAATAAACAACAAAACTGTCCCCAAGTCCTAAGCGGAATCAGCAGGCATATGCATAATTTCCATGACAATCAACCAAAGCTAAGAAATTTTAACATCATTTTAATTTTGACTGTGGACATTTGTAATGCTCAATGTGACAAAGTGGTTTGGTTGTCTGATTTAGACATCAAGACAGGTACCCTGATAAAAAAGAATGTATTATTGTACAGTCTATTCCAGTAACTAAAAAGGTGAATTGATGTTTTGGTTTCTCTTTATTATTGTTAATTAACATGTTTTAGAGGAAAAGCTCAAAGTAACTGCATCAGAGGGCAAAAGTGATGGAAGCAATGATGTAAATTTTGAGGAAGCAAAGGACAGAGCTGCTGATGATAGAGGTGACAAGGATGACCGTGTTGGCAACAATGGCGATAACAATGATGATGATGATGATGGTGATGATGATGATGAGGAGGAAGATGACCAACACCTTATGGTGATCGAAACACCTGAAGGACTAACCCTTGTTGAACCAGCAGAGAATTCCTCTTTTTATATTGTACAAGAAAATGAAGGGCAAGAAACTCCACCAAGTATGACTAAAAATGTTATGGTTTCTAATGGGTCTTTTTTATACATATGTCTATTTATGGTAAAAGCTGGTTGGAATGCTGTACTCATAATTTGTAAGTATAAGTACTAGCTTAGTAAATGCTGGCTTTTGCATGAATGTATCCAGCCAAACACAGAATACAAAAACTCCAAAAACACTTCCTTACCAAAAAAACATGTCCTGCCCGTTGAAGCTTCATTACTGTAGTTTCCTACCGACATATCATGCACTAACGATCAAAGCTCTGTCGCTCTGTAGATATGGCAGCCGCTGCTGCGGAGCCCGAATTCCCTCAAGATGTCAGCATATCTGATGAACTTCTAATGAACATCCAACGGCTAAGAAGAAGCTCAAGTCCTGATCTCCCATCTACAGTTATCAAGCTGGAGACTGCAGAAGGCTGTAAGGTGTACCTCGTAGGTACTGCTCACTTCAGCAAAGAGAGTCAGGAAGATGTTGAGAAGGTCTGTTGTCAGTATTCCACACACGGCTTTATTAAGCTCCTGCCTCGCAGCCTTGCGAGGCTGCTCATTGGCAAAATATATTTCTGGTGTTATTGATTTTCTGAGTTTCACAGTAAAATAATTCTAAAAGTCATTGCTAAAAACAGTTTTAATTTATGTAATTATTCACTCATTCTAGTATTGTCTTTGATAAATGATTTATGTTTTTGTTTGTTACAGACTATTCAAGCTGTGCAACCAGACATAGTCTTAGTTGAACTGTGTAAAAGTCGAGTGGACATTCTCAAATATGATGAAGAATTTTTACTTAGAGAAGCAAAGAATATTGACATGCAAAAGCTTAAACTCGCAGTCAAACAAGTTAGTAAAGTGATAGTGGTCAAATGTTGTTGACAGTGAAGGCCTTGGAGCATAGAGAGCCTAATACTGAATTTTTGACCATGTTTTATTTTTGCCTTTATTTGCCTGAAATTCTTCTTTCTAATTTTCAATTATTAATCTTGAACTTTTGTTTTTGTTTTTTGTTTTTCTTTAAGTCCCACTGCCCCCACCCCTTCTCCTCACAGAAAAAGCCACTCCTGTCTAATTCAGTTGTAAAACAGGCTAAACCTAACATTTTGATTCGGAAGAGACTAAACTAGATGAAGTAAATCAGCATTCTTTAGCCTGCAGTGCAGACATTTTCTTTGGGCGCACAAATATTTTTGCTTGTGAAAGTGCCATGTTGAAACTCCAAAAGAGGAGTTTGCCTTTTGGTCGAGGGTCGAGGGTAAATGGTCGAGGGTCGAAAAATCCTCCACAATTATTTTTGAACGTCGTCAAATCAAAATTTTGTGTTTACTCGAGTTTCCGGTGCCTGTTTTATTTTTACGTTTAAACACCTAGGGGCAGGTGTATCATTTGTCTTTGTAACACTCGAGTAAATAATATTGAATATTTATAGCACACACCCAATGGTTTTGTTGTCTAATATTTCACTCGCTTAAGACTAATCGAGGGTCGAAAAATCCTCCACAATTATTTCTGAACGTCGTCAAATCAAATTTTGAAGAAGGCCCGTGTTTACTCGAGTTTCCGGTGCCTGTTTTATTTGTCTTGTGTTGTTTATAACTTTTACACTCCCACAGTGATGAAGGTGATATTACATTAACATCTAGTGGCACGTGCATCATGTATCGTTGTAACACTCGAGTAAATAATATTGAATATTGAAAGCAGAGACCCAATGGTTTTCTTGTCTAACGTTTCACTCGCTTATGAAAAGGCTGCTAATCTGGTAACTTTCACTGTTTGTATTTAATATTTCCCACGTCCACTAGTTTTGTCCCATGATGTGAGACCTGGGTCAGCATGATTATTTTACTGCCTGTAAGACAAAAACATGGAAAACTCAACGATAACAACGTAATAAACACAACTTGTCAAATGCCGCTTTCACGGACTTCACAGGCTGGCAAACAACTATAGCAAATACTAACAAGAAATTCACGCCCAGACTCCAATTGCAAAGTTTGCCACACTAGTGAGTCACCAGCTAGTCGGCTACATTCCAATCTTGAGGCCATATAAAATTAATTAATTAAGGTTTTAAATTGAAAAAAAATTCAGAAATAACTGTGGAGGATTTTTCGACCCTCGACCATTTACCCTCGACCGTCGACTAGTTACCCTCGACCCTCGACCCTCGAACAAAAGGCAAACTCCCAAAAGAGAGGAGGAAATGGGGCAAGTCAAATTTTCCTCCCCCCCCCACTTCTTTCTTTCAGCCTAGCACCTACACTAAGGGCTGCTATTCCCACTCTCACCAATCTTCCTTTGTCATATAATCAAAAATAGGGGCTACAGCAAAACAAACATGAAAACGCTTTTGCCCACCCAAAATACACCTGCACTTCAGGCTAAGCATTCATTTTTTGGATATTTTTAGGGTTAAAAGTTAATTTACATGTATCTATTTATTCAGTCTTTATTCACCTATTTATTTATTTGTCTATTTATTTCTTTATTGTACTTTTAGAGTGGACTTGTAGCTGGTTTTATGCAAGTTCTTTTGCTGAGTGTATCAGCACACATAACCAAACAACTAGGCATGGCTCCTGGTGGGGAATTCAGGGCGGCATACAGAGAGGTGTGAATGACTATAATAAAGGTCTACAAACAATGACACTGCTTACTTATCAACCTGTTTCCTCTAGACTCTCTGAAGTTTGAGGTGTTCCTTATTTCTTTTGCAACACTTTTTTTGTTAAGACATGAAAATACATTGTGATAAGAAAATATGCATGTATGAGGCTACTTAAGACCTCAGTCAGACTTACTGATTTGTTCATAGAGTAACATATTATGTACAAGTAAATGGACATGTGAAATTTTGAAATGTGTCTGCCTTTTTGTTTATAGGTTATATGACTTTGTTTTGCCTTCAGGTTGGCCAAAATATGCAGTTTTTTCTTGTTGTGTTGTTTAGGATTCTTAGACTAGTGAAATACTCACAATTATTCATAGTGAGGACATTGTGTTTCCAATCATGAAAATGCGTAATCAGGTAAATTTAAAAACTTAAAACGTCTAAATTAGTGGAATGAATATTCCAAATACATGTTCGTCTTTTGGAAACAGTTCTGCAATTATTTGAATAAGTGCTTTACAATTTCCCTTTCTAATAGGCTAGAAAAATACCAGGATGTCAAATACATTTAGGGGATCGACCAATTCAGGTAACTTGCTATTCACTTTTTTTTTTTTTTTAATTTATTGTTTTTCATTTCGTCTTTCTGATGCTGTTCTATCCATGTACATTACTGCATACAGTATTTTTCATTCTTTTCAGGTTACACTTTCCCGAGCAATGGGAGCCTTAAGCATATGGCAAAAAATGAAGCTAGCTTGGCATCTTATTACAACAAAAGATCCAATAAGGTATCTGCACACACTTTCAGCATTAGTGCGTTGTATTGGGCTGTTTGTTATACATGTGTACCTTTGTGTTTGAAATAAAACTCAAAAGAGTATAAAGAATATTGTCTTGTGCAGTTATTAGTAAAAGTAAAAGCTATTTCCAGGGACGCATCTCTAAAACCATTAATTTATTGCAGTCCAGAAGACGTGGAAAAGTGTAAACAGAAGGATCTCTTAGCTGAAATGTTGGCTGAAATGACAGGCGATTTTCCCACACTCTACAGAGTTTTTGTTTCTGAGAGGGACCAGTACTTGGCACGGTCGCTCAGACTATCGGCCACACCCATCGAAATTCATAACCCTGATGGAGGTAATTTTTAACATTTTTACTTGTCGCATTTGAGATATTAGAGACCTTTTTTTTTAATAGATTCGATTCGCATTACGAAGATCTGACTAAAAGATTTTTCGCAAATTATAAATTAAAAAACTAGACAACCCACAAAGCTTCATTTTACTCTTTTTTTTTCTTTTTTTTTTTAAACAAAAAAGGTAGCAAGGTTATTTTCATTGAAGGAGGTTAACCCCTCTCCTGATAGCACAAAGAAAAAAAAAATCTAACATTTAATAACTTGCTGCCGTCACTATGACATTTTCGCTAAAAACTGTAGTAAAATGACGTCGACGGTTATCACGTTTTCCGGCCAAAATGACTTTGGTTCACGGGAGAATGTGACAGGTGAATGACAAGGCGATGAATTTTACTGTATTTATCCTATCTAATTACTGGCGGCGTCACCATTGTCGTTTCTTAGGGTCTCTTACGTTTACCGTTAGAACGTCAAAATGTTGGAAGCCTTCCGTGATAGTTGTGAATGAAATGTTCGACACATTTTTAGTGATTGACATCAATCTGTTTTTCTTTTTCAGAACCCCAAGGAGTTGTACCCAGTGTGGTTGTAGGTGTTGTTGGAATTGGACATGTCGAGGGAATCAGAGAAAATTGGGATAGGGAAATTAACGTTAAAGAACTTTTAAGGTTCGTTTATGATATCTTATCCAATCTTAGCGTTCGAATGCATTTGGAACTCCATTAAAATATTTTAGTGGACGCCCTCGATAGTAGAGAACGACAGCTCAATAAACTGGAGCCAATTTAATAAAACTTTTACAAGTGTAATTTGCAAGTGTAGCTACTGTTTTCAGACTCTTAAACAATAGCTACACTTGTAAATTACCCTTGTAAAAGTTTTGTTAAATTGGCCCCTGATTGGCCGTTTAAATGGAGTCCACAAGTAAGCTTATTTGTTTCCATAGCTAGTGTTCGACTTGGCATCATAAATATTTTGTAGCTTATAAAGGATTTTCAGTTTTGGATCTGAAATCACACTTTTTCGCTGTGCCCACCCGTTCCATTTCTGATACGTCAACAACTTGTGCCGGTAAATACCGCACACGCGCACTTAGCCTGACCGACAGCCTAGCACTTTGCAGCCGCGTGCGTTTTTTTGACTTTGCCGTTCCCTCGTCATTTCTTTATTTATATATCTGACTGGAATTACTAAAACATTGCTATAGAAATTTCTCTCATATACCTTTACCGAATCTTGCATGGTGGAGTACGTTTTTTCTTTTTTTGGTTTGTTTTTGTTTTTTTGTCATCATTTTTTATCCTTTGTTTTTTATCGATTATTTACTGAAACGCTGCAGTAGATAGACAGCCATGAACCCTTTTGATAATTAACTTCCCATAACTCTTTCCGTGTGACAGTTTGAAATCAGCGCGCATTAGACTGAACTCGGCTCTCGTAGTGGGATGACTTAGAGTTTTTTCTTGGCTTCCTAGCTTGAGGCATCATTAAGCGTTATGAAGGAACAAGTCTCACGTTTTGCAAAGTCTGCTGCGTTCAATATCTTCTCGTTTTTCTTCTCATTTGGCTACACGGGAGAAAGACTGATCACGGACTTAAGGCGGAAAATTTTGATATTGCGAGTTTTGTTTTTTGGCTCTTTGGTTCTTTAGCCTCACAAAGTATGCACGTTCTAGGGGTGAAAAATACATTCGGGCGGCGAGATGAAAATTAATGCTGTTTTCTGACCGGGCCAAAGACTCGTTTTAGCAAACCCAGGCAGATATTTATCTACCTATTTACAAGTAGACTGATGGAACTGGATTAAATCTTGAACATTTATTGCTACTCAAGAGTTTCATGCCTCTTGCGAAGCAATCATTAGGCAATGCTTCGCAAGAGGTATGAAACTCTGAGTAGCAATAAATGTTCAAGATTTAATCTAGTTCCATCAATCTACTTGTATTCTGCTCTAGTTCAACTACTAAGCCCTCTTATAGTTGATGAGGACATCAGTCTGGTACTTCGTTATATCTATCTATATATTTATTTATTTATCTAATTGGTATTTTCGTAATACATTTCTCTTCAGAATTCCAGACCCAAGCAGAGCCAGTAAGCTATTACGATTTTCACTCAAGGCTTTAGTAGGAGTCGTTCTAGCTTGGGGATGTTACAAGATCGGGAAGTACACAGGAATCGGCTCATATATTCCGTTCTTACAATAATTGTCGTGGTATATATTGATCATAAACGCTAGTTGAAAGGATTTTATTTATTTATTGTTCACTCATGTAAAAACGAGACAGTTAGAGTTAAAGGGAGAGAATTTTAACCAGTTGTTCGTACGTCGACAGTCTATAATACGAATAATATTAATAATTTTTAATTAATCTTTTAATAGAGAGGGGACGTCGTTTATGTCACGTTGCCGTGGTAACAAATTTTTTTGACAACAACAAACTGAAAAACTCACATAAAAAGTGAATTCGCACTGCTTCAAATTTCATCGATCTTATTCAGTATCATTTAATTTGACAAATGTTGACAAATTTGCTCGGGTTGAATCTGAAAGGATCGTATCAAAAAGTTTCCAAAAATAAAAAGACAACTTCTGTGTTGTGTTCACCTACTCCATAAAGCGAGCGTGTGAAATTAGGAAGTTTCATGTCGCAGTGGTGCAATGTCGGAAAAGAAATGTACAAAATGGCATGATGCTGCTGCAAAGTTGTCGTTTTGTTAATAAAAATCTATTACTTCCTTCCCTTCCTTACCGTTGCCGTCCTCGTTGGTTTTGTTGTCATCCAGAAATAGTGCGACCATGGTAACGTGACGTCACACTTCTCCTCTCTATTCACTCTTTCAACTAGAGCCGAGAGTTTTCCCGCAATTGTTTCTGGGACTGTTACTGAGGACGCGCAGGTCAGCTATTGGCCTTTTGTTTTTATTTTGTTTGTTTGTTTGTTTTTCCTTTTCCCTAGCAACACTCCCAGAAGCCTTTGAGAAAGTCAGTTAAACTGCCTCAGTTTCTTTTGCGTTTCTTCAGTGGCGAATACGAAGCTGCGAGTGTTGTAGCAATGACGTCATCGAGTCACAAATTCCACCATGTGGGGTTTCGACATTTTCTTATGAATAGCTTTAGACGGCTGTGAACGACTGGTTGTTTTGTACAAGACGTTTTTAAGAATTTTAGCGTTGGCAAAAAGGAAACAAACAGCGATAGTAAAAGGGAATACAGGGAATTGTGGTTTAAGGCAATGTTGGAGATTATCGTGTCGTAATTGGTTGTCACGTCTTTCCTGTAATGCCAATTTTAAGAGAAGATAAAGAGAGTTAAAAATGTCATTTCATTTCGAACGAACACGCGTTTATGTGTAAGTGTGTAAGGAAAAAAGGCGTGATAGCTGTCTGTTTTATTCTAAGCCATGTATTTTGTCAATCCAAGCCTGAAGTCCGTACCTTTCCTCACTAAAATCCGGGTACGGTCCATTGTGATTTAAAAAGGAGCTGTGTCACGAAATTTAACAAAATTCAAACATTGAGAACCGCTACCAAAAACTGAGTCAAACGTAAACGTCACTGTTCAAAACATGAAAAAAAATGTTGTAGCTACTTCAAAAGGGGGCACGGATAGAAAAACATGAAGAAGATTGAAACGGATTACCATTGTGATTTTTGAAAACTTGTTAGCCTAACAGTTTCTCAAAGCTGAATGGCTGTAATTTGTTCTCTTCATGAGTAATATCTCAATTTCGATAGCGAGCAAGGACGCGTAATTAGCGTTACAAATAAAATGAACTAGAAAGCCATGAAACAGCCCTTTAAACTGTAAACTCGCGGTAGCTAAAACTGCAGTCTTGCGCCGGATAATAGAGAGGTTATGAAACCCAGGTTATTTCGTTTACGGGAAACGGTAGAGATGCTCGTGCGATTGGTGATAATTATATCCGACCACGAAAAATAATTCAAAGTATTAAAAGTTCTCTCTTTCACCATCTTAAATGAACCTGGGGACACTCATATTTAGCTTCTCGTTGTCAAAGGTTAGCGAAAACGACAATCCCAAACTACAGCGTCAAAAATAATTACCAGATTCATCTGTCCACGTTGGTTTTAACCGTAAATGCGATGCTTAAACTCTCATGTTAGTTAATTGTTACTGAAGAAAATGAACGGAAGTTTTAGAAATAGAATAAATAGAATTGTTATATATCTCATTGGTTACTTCGAGGTCACGTGGCATCTAAAAATGAAACTATTTCCCGCCAAAATTTATTTGTTTCCCTTTAACCTCAATGTTTCAGTCATTTAGTCTTTATTATGCTACAATCTTGCCAAGTTAATATCACTTTACAGAAGCTCTGAAGAACTAGTATACTTAAGAGCGATGTTGCGACTCGACTTTCGCTTTTCCTATCTTGTAAAAGCATATGCGTGGATATAACCTCGGTGGGAACACTAACCTGATAAACAATTTTATTTTCTATGCGCGGTTTCATGCGCACTGAGGCGATGGAGTTAAAGTCGTCATCAGATAGCAAGAGTAAATGTGTTTCTCAATCAGAGATTCTGGGCTCTTTTAATGAGAGAATATTTTATAATGTCTCAGATATGGAGTACGCCATGAAGTTGAACTGAGCCAAACGAATTTGTAATATACATTTTAAGCTGGTAGATTTTCGTCTTTTGGTTGGAAGGCCAACACCTTTGCTGAGTTATCTTCTCGTTATTTACCAGAGGAACAAAGTTAACTGAAGGCTTGATAGTATCTTATTATTATGTTATAATAAACGCACAATAGGCGTTTTTGTTTTACCATTGCCATGCTGTTATTATTGTTATTGCCTTGACACTAACGTAACAAACTGAGGAAAATGAGAGACTACTCGTAGTGTAATCAATAGACGACGACGGCGATGTCAACGAGAACAGCAAAAATGCAGTAGGTTTATATACTAAGCAAAACAACCACTTTGCACGGGCATCACGCTTTTTGGACATTTTTTTGCCGTCACTGCGCAACTACGACGACCACAACAACGATAACTTCAAAACATAATAGTTTTAATGATCAAAACAACAGCTCTGCACGTGCATCACGCTTTTTAGTACATTTCTTTGACGTCCACTGTACGACTACGACGTAAAACCTCCTAATTTGACGTTAGGAACTTTAAGAGCCAACGACGCGGATGGCATCGAAACGTCAAAAACACAATAGGTTTTATAAGAAAAACAACCACTTTGCGCGTGCATCACACTATTTTGTACATTTCTTTGCCCGTTTTTGCACGACTACGACGTGAAAATGCCTAATTTGGCGTTTTATGGAGTTCGTAAACAAGCAACGGCGAAATTTTATTTCTCTTTTTGAACTCGGATATGGTCTCTAGGAATTCCATTCCAGTAGGGCTTGCCTACATTTGACAAAGTAAGTGGTTAGGAATAATTGCGATAAAGACTGAAAGCACACAAATTAACTTTTTAAGAGGACGTTCTCGTCGCCGTCGCCGTCGCGTCCTTGATCTTAAAGTCCCTGTTTTATGGAGGACGTGGACGTACGACGACGATGAATTTTCCTTCCTCTTTTTGAACCTGAATAAAATCCTTAAGAATTCAACTCCAGGAAAAGTCGCCTGCATTTGACAAATTGAGCGGGTCCAAATAGACGCGATTAAGTTTGAAAGAACGCAAATTCATTTTTTTAGCGACGTTTTCACTGCCGTCGTCGTCGTCCTTGCTTAAGGTCTCTATTTTGTGGAGATCGCCAACTCAAGACAACACTTTTATGTTTCTTCTCCTGAACTTTGATACAGTCTTTTAGAATTCAACTCCTTAAACAAGTGCCAACATTTGATGAACTGAACGAGATGGAATAAGCGCGATAAAGTTTGAAGTAGCGCGACTTCACTTTTAATTAAAGTGGCCTTTTCGTCGCCGTCGTTGTTGCCTAATAAGGACCTTACGAAACTACGACGACGACGGCAACAGGAACGTCCAAAAAGCAATAGGTTTGATGAGCAAAACAACAACTCTGCACGTGCATCACGCGTTTTTGTACATTTCTTTGCTGTTCCTTCACAACTACGACGTGAAATGACCAAATGTTAAGTTTACTTGAGAACCGGAACGGCAAGGCTATAAATTCTAGCATCTGTGTGTGAACTCGGGCGAGGGTCCCTCTCTTCAGCTCCAACCAAAATTCCATTCTTTCAAGTAACAGGGCGAATTGGGATTATCGCGAAAAAAATTAAAAGGATACGAAGTCTATTTTTCAGCGACGTTTTCATGGACGTCACCGTTGTCGGATCGTAAGGTCCCTAATATCTCAGCTTGCGTTGGAGACTCAAGGTCTACTCAGTGTAGACCTGTTTGCGTCTATAAACAACTCCGGTAAACCCATTTGCTCCTCGGTATTTTAAGGGCATGAAAAACACTTCTTGAAGCTAATCGAGCCAGTTTCCGCGCACTGTCGGGTTATAAAAAGTCAAAACTGTCCAAAACGGCGTTTACGTACAGTGTCCTAAGTTCGGGCATGCGTAGAAAGTAAAATTTCGTTTGTGTGGGTGTGTGTGGGTGTTAACTTTCGCCAAGAGTTCTGAGACTGTTACTTGGGGAAGGGAAAAAAATTAACCAATAGTGGCCGGCACAATCTTAGTTCTTAGTTATAGAGAAGATGGAGACTGACGCTGTCCCGTATTATTACCAGGGCTGTCTACTTGTTTACTTATTTCTTTATTTATTTTTTGATTTATTAATTTTAATCAGAAAATTTTTATTTTGCAATCACCTTGCCATAAATAAAACAAAAGCAAACCCTTTCCCTGAATTGTATTATGAATACTGCCGATATATCATAACAGCAAACAGTTAGAAAACCATTTTGACTGTGATGTCCCCCAGGTTAAAAGGACCCCAGCCGGTCTCCCAGAGTATCCTCCCGTGCCCGTGAATATAATAACCTCTAGTCTTCTATTTATTTATTTATTTATTTATTTATTTATTTGTTTATTTGTTTATTTGTTTATATGTTTATTTATTTATTTATTTATTTATTTATTTATTTAATATCCCGTAAATGAGTCGGGGGCTAGTGTAAAGGTAATAAAACATTAATCACGCCTTGATCGCTCCAAGCTCTATTTACCGATGTATTCTTCAGAATTCAGACGATCATTTACAGTCCTTTCACAAGAGGATAACCATTTTCTCTTCGGCGAGTGATTTATAAGCTTTTCCAAGAGATCATAACAGGATTTGCTTTTCTCATGTTCTCCCAACATCCTGTGTTTAATAGCAAGTGCGGTTAGTCAAACCTAAAGAAAATTGTCGTCTATTGGCCGTTTATAGTAACGTTGGCAGCTTCATTGTAACGTCTGAGGGACGGACCATTTGAAAACTTATGAGGGGGCGGGCGAAGTACCCAAAAAAATATTCGCGCGAGGGAAAATTAAATGAAAAAAAAATCATGCACGTCAATTGATCCTAAACTAAATATTCATGCTAAGGCCTAAAAAAATGCATACAAGGAATTTGATAAGGAAAAAAAATTCCTGTGGCTCGAAAAGTCCCTCCCCTCCCCCCCCCCCCATAACTTTTCTAATGGTCCGTCCCTAAAGTCCTTTGAACTTTATGGAGAGAGACAGAGAAAAAGAAATTGCGCCATTAACGTACATGCTGCTCTGGACCAATCAGCGCAAGAGAAATGACGTACGATTTTAAGCATGGCAAAAAGGGTTATACCCTGCCTACATCTTATCTCTTGGAAACCTCTGGCGTTTCGAATAGACCTTGTCACGATTTTCGACGCCATCTTGACGAGTAGGCAAATGCGTGAGAAATTGCACTGTGTGTATGAATATCTAATGCCGAATAATTTCCAGAAAACGGCTCCTCTGAAAAAAATATGATTTGTAAACTAAAGCTTCAATCCTAAGGATTCTACTGAAAAAAATTAAGGGAGTTACATGCACCAGAAGACCTAGAACCACTTTTTTAAATTTTCTATACATTTGTCTTTAAGAAAGTCCCGGGAAAATTACAGACAAATATATGGAAAATCTAAAGCAAGCCTCTAGAGAAATTTAAGCACAGGTACGCCCCCAAAATTGTTTAAGACAATCCTTTGCTTTGTAGCTTTAGTTTACAACTGATATTTTCTTCAGAACAGCCATTTTACATTACATTCTCATACAAACACTGTAATTTCCAACTCGTTTGCCTACTCGTTAAGATGGCGTCGAAAACCGTGACAAGGTCTATTCTTGTAACCAAACTCATCGATTCGGGCAGTCTACCTCCAAAACAGTTAAAACGCATATCTGGCGAATGAGTTCCCCGGCTTTGATTCATAAAGTTTATATATAATGTTTGCGTAATCGCGATGACACTCAAATCTGATGACAAAGCAGTTTATGAGTTAGTTTTCTTTGTTTCTTTGTTTGTTTTCTTTAGTTTTTTTTTTTTTTGACCACTCATGTACGCAGGTAGAAAATTAAGGTACATGCCACTCGACAGAAAAATGTTTTCCTTACGATTGCGATCGGTATTTCCTCCCTTCCTGAGGTATGTTCTTAAAATAAAAATCGGCTCAATGCCAAAACCGTCAACCATTTAGTTCAGACCAAACTGTTTCTTCTTTGATGCTCACAGTTGTTCTTCTGTTTGTCCTTTAAGTCTTATTACAAATTGGCACACGCGATGAGGTCAGACATTTGTTGTCAACCCAGTCGTCATTAACATTAAACCCCTTACGAGTGATGTGTGTTGTCTGCCATTAAAAAATCGTCGGTTATTGCAATCGCATGATGACGTTAAACTCGCCCACCATAGGACAGAATCATTTTAATTTCACGCTTCTAGAACAGTTCAAAGCCACACTCTAATTCCCTCGTCTCTTTTTTTTTTTTAAATTGTCGAGAAACGGGTTTAATCAATTACCAATGATTCTTTTTCCCCATAACTGATTGAAGAAGAACACCCGAATGTTATGTAACGAAACTACCATTGAAAGGGTCAGTTCCTGTTATTTTGAGATATTTTTCCTCTTTCAGTCTTCATGTAATTGATAATCCCCTCCCTTCAAAACCAAAATTTTTAAAATACAATTCATGAATGGGGAATGATAGACGAATGGCCCGGCGCTTCTCGCTTGTTTAGTGCTCGGCCTTCGCTGTACTGAAAAACGCGAAAAAATAACGTCCAGCTGTTATGCGGGGTAGTAGACGAACAACTACTACGTTCGAAAGCTATGTGGTTGTGCTTCCTTTAAATCACGATTAATTTATTTTATTTATTTCTTTAGTTCTCTAGCCCATTCGAAAAGAAAAACCTTTGACCTTATATTGAAATAATCCCTATGGGATTACCTTCTCTAAGCTGGATATTAACCCCCTTCATCGAAAAGTTGTATCAAAATGGATCTTAATTCCGTAATAAAAATATCGTGGTCAAATAATTGGTTTTGATAACCGCTGAGGGGTGATTTTAAACAAGAAGCTTTATTGTTAGTTACATTAATCTTTTACACAAGCAATTATTCAGCAATAAATGACACCGTCTGGACGCAAGTTGGATATGAAATGATATTTCCGTGTTTTGTTCTGAATTGGCGGCCTAAGTGACTTTTGTCGTCTAGATGCAATTCCAGTTTCATCGTAAAGCTTCCCGAAAGTTGTTATGTTAGTCACCTTGAATCGAAAGGATCTTTCGTTACTGATATCGGATAGCGTGAGTACATCGCCTGGTATTTTTATGCGTGTAACCTGTAATCACCTATCAGCAGCTACCCTGCATACTTTGTTGAGTAAGAGGTGATAATACTTCCTACAGGTGACATCACAAAAGGGGGAGTCATAAGGGGGAGTAACTCATTTATAAGTAAAATGAACTAGGAAGCCATGAAACAGCCTCTTTAAACTATAAACTCGCGGTAGCTAGAACTTCAGTCTTGCACCGGATAATAGAAAGGTTATGAAAGCCACGTTATTTCGAAAATAAAATTCATATCTTCGCGCCACCGTGTAATATCCTCTATATATTTCATTGGTTACTTCGAGGTCACGTGACGTCTAAAAATGAAACTATTTCCCGCCAGGATCTCTGAGTGCGCAACATTGCCGCAATCTCTATGACGTCAGAGGGTAACAGTGCACTGTTACCCGCGGATGTTGACCGACCACTGCCGTTACAGCGAGGTTTAATGAATTTCCAGCTTCAAAATTTCCAGCTATATAACGTATCACTTAAAGACTGGTCCCTCTGGAAACAGTTAATTTTGTTTCCCTTAAACCTCAATGTTTCAGTCATTAAGTGTTTATTATTCTACAATCTTGCCTAGTTAATATCACTTTACAGAAGCTCTGAAGAACTAGAAAACTTAAGAGCGAAGTTGCGACTCGACTTTCTCTTTTCCTATCCTGTAAAAGCGTATGCGTGGATATAACCTTAGTGGGAAAACTAACCTGATAAACAATTTTAAACCCTTATAGAGAACCCTAATGTCTCAGTCTGCGTTGGAGACTCAAGTTCTACTCAGTGTAGACCTGTTTGAGTATACATGTATACACAACTCCGGTAAACCCATTTGCTCCTCGGTATTTTAAGCGCATGAAAAACACCTCTTGAAGCTAATCGAGCCAGTTTCCGCGTATTGTCTGGTTATAAAATGCCAGAACTACCCAAAACGGCGTTTACAGTGTCCAGTAAGTTCGGACATGCGTAGAAAGCAAAATTTCGTTTGTATGTGTGTGTGTGTGTTAACTTTCGCCAAGAGTTCTAGAACTGTTACTAGGGGAAGAGAAAAAATTAGCCAACAGCGGCCGGCACAATATTAGTCGACTGACGCTGTCCTGACCTGGACTGTCTAGGCTTTTTTTTCTTTGTTTACTTATCTATTTATTTTTTGATTTATTAAAGGGGTTGTGTCACAGCAGTTCAGTTTATTTTGTTTAATTTTGCCGATTGCTCGCCCGCATCGTTATGGAACTTAATGTAAGCAAAGAAATTACATATAAATGACAAAATTAGAGATTCGAGACAAACAAATATGTCTCCTGATCATTATTTTTGAAGTTGCAAATAGCAGAGATCAACTTTGAAAAACTGTTTGGCTGAACAGTTTTCAAAAACCCTAATTTCCATTCGTTTCAATCTTCTTCAGTTTTGCCCATCCGTGGAATCTGTTGTATCTGTTGTGTTATTTTGACCTTCCTTTAATTGAAGCGGTTATTTTTATGTTTCTCTTAATCTAACGGATAGTTTATAATTATCTAATTTGGCTGAATTTCGTGACACAGCTCCTTTAATTTTGACTAGAAAATTTTATTTTACAATCACCTTACCACAAAAAATTAAACAAAAGCAAACCCCTTCCCTGAATTGTATTATGAAGACTGCCACTATATCAAAAAAGCTAGCAGTTATGAAACTGACCATTTTGACTGTGATGTCCCTCAGGGTAGAAGGACCACAGCCTGTCTCCCAGAACATCCTCCCGTGCCCGTGAATATAATAACCTCTGGTCTTTTATCTATTTATTTGTTTATTTATTTATTTATTTTTAATCCCGTAAATGAGTCGGGGGCTAGTGAAAAGGTAATAAAAAAATTAATGGCCTTGATCGTTCCAAGCTCTATTTACCGATATATTCTTCAGAATTACAGACGATCATTTACACTCCTTTCACAAGAGGATAGCCATTTTCTCTTCGGCGAGTGATTTATAAGCTTTTCCAAAAGATCATAACAGGATCTGCTTTTCTCATGTTCTCCCAACATCCTGTGTGGAATAGCAAGTGCGGTCAGTCAAATAAGACTAAAGAAAATTGTCGTCTATTTGCCGTTCATAGTAACGTTGGCAGCTTCCATGTAACGTCTAAAGTCCTGTGAACTTTATGGAGAGAGACGGAGAAAAAGAAATAACTGCTGCTCCCGACCAATCAGCGCAAGAGAAATGACGTACCATAAAGGGCTATTCCCTGTCTACATTTTATCTTTTGAAAACCCCTGGCGTTTCTTGTAACCAACACTCATCGTTTCGGGCAGTCTACCTCAAAACAGTTTAAACGTATATCTGGCGAATGAGTTCTTTGATTCATAAAGTTTATATATAATATTTTGCGTAATCGCGATGGCATGCAAATCTGGTGACAAAGCAGTTTATGAATTAGTTTTCTTTGTTATTGTTTACCACGCATGTACGCACGTAAGAAATTAAGGTACATGCCACTTGACAGAAAAATTGTTTGCCTTACGATTGCGATCGGTATTTCCTTCCTCTCTTCCTCGGGTGTGTTCTTAACATAGAAATCGGCTCAATGCCAAAACGGTTAACCCTATGGTTAAAACCAAACTGTTTCATCTTGGTCGTCTAGATGCAATTCCAGTTTCATTGTAAAGCTTCCCAAAAGTTGTTATGTTAGTCACCTTGGATCGAAAGGATCTTTCGTTAATGATATCGGATAGCGTGAGTACATCGCCTGGTATTTTTATGCGTGTAACCTGTAATCACCTATCAGCAGCTACCCTGCATACTTTGTTGAGTAAGAGGTGATAATACTTCCTACAGGTGACATCACAAAAGGGGAAGTCATAATACGGCTGACCTTTTTCCTGTCATTCGGTAAATGTTTCACATTTCTCCACTGAAACATTCTCAGACACACAATGACATGAACTGAGTTGCTACAAGGCAATTAAGAATATAAAACTGTTACACATAGAATAATACAAGGAAATACCGTCCTTCACAGGCAATCGAGTGCCAAAGCCGATTTCAAGATATATAAATCTAATATTGCGCCATTTTCTAGCGACTATACGATCCTGTTATAATGGGGAAAACATATCTTGTCGCACTCGGAGCAGTTATCCTAACCAGTCTCATCACTGTAAAAGCACAGCAAGGTAAGGACCTACTTTTTTAGTATTTTGTAATGGAAATAGGTTCTCTTACGGAAAAGCCCTTTGCGATATATAACGCTAGGCGACCGCGAACACAGTAGAAAATGGCCCTATTTCCTTAAAGAAACTACAGTATAACCCAAATTGCCTCGCAATGTGCAAATCGAAGCTTCCAACCTTCAGTGTTCTTCTGTTTTACTGCCTGTTCTGAAAATATTGGTATCTGTAGCAACTATTGTACTAGTTCGATAGCTGACTCCAGCAGGAATCGTAATCATGATTTAATGATTGTGATATAACGAGACTTCAAGTTTAGTCATGGCTTATGCGCTGTGACATAGCTGTTGAAGGTCGATCATTGACATTGAAGGGAGTTCGACAAAGTTTGAACCAGTGGTTTCCATTAATGTACCTGAACAGCTATACCAGTTTTATAGGTGCGCTAGGAATAATAACTGTGTTCAAAAATCTGTCAAACAATAAAGCGCCGCGAAATGTCACAATCACATATTCCTTCGTCGCATGACCTATAGGTCTCAGCCACTATTAAATGCTCGAGGAGTTTGAAATGCTGAAACCTGGTATATTGTGTAAGGGAGACGGGGGAGGTCAGAACCACTTTTTCAGCAACCTTTTCTCAGCCGTCGCCGTCCTCGGATCTTAAGGTCCCTAATATCGACGCGGCGACGTAATGTGAAAACGATCTATCCGTCGTTGTGATGTATCCTCTATTTTGGGGGCGTGTTGAGGAGGGGGATGAGGGTCGGTGGAATCTAGAACCCTTTGTACGACCTGGGGTTGAAACGAATAGCCCCTATGCATGATTACGTCAGACGAGTAAATTTCACCAACAAGCCTCGTTTGTGAACAAAATTTTTTGCATTTGCACTTTTTGTGCGTGGGTATTCTTTTCAACTCTACTGCCTTGGGAATTCATTTCTGTGAAACTTCGCTTATTTTTAATTTCAAAACGAGGCTTGGTGGTGAAATTTGCTTGTGTGACGTAAACATGCATAAGGGCTATTCACTTACTAGTAATAATTTCGTTTATCCTATTTTAGTTCCAGAACCAGTGGTCTTCTACCCACTTAACAAACAATTTGGAACAGCAGATGTGATGAGAAGATCGCAGATTACTGGTCGTTCAAACAACGTGTCTTTGACAACTGGACCTTTCAATACCACAGATGGTGCTTATGAATTTTGGGGGGATGAAAATAGTTACATCGAGTTTCCAAATGGTGACAATCTGCTTGATGTTCACAACTCCATCTCACTTATGTGTTGGGTTCGACCTGAGGGCAATGATGGACCATTATTCCAGTACAATAGGTACCCTTTAAATTGGGGAGTGCACATCTGGATTAATAAAGGAAAATTCTTCAATCGAATCATAGAGGCTAACTACGATAATTTGGAAATACCGATAGTATCGAAACGGCGTCTTGAACGTGGAAAATGGGTCCATGTAGCCGCAACTTACAATCACATAACAAGAAACAACTCGATATACGTAAACGGAATCTTGAACGCAACTCAAAACATTGGTACAGGCTTCAGGATAGCAGCAGAAGGAAAAGTTCGAATGGGTTCTGTTAGAGTAGACAGGAGGAGATTTCTAAGAGCAGCAGTATCTCACATGGAAGTTTACAATTTCTCACTAAATGTAAACCAGATACGAGCGGTCATGAACAAAGGTAATTCTACAATAAACTTAATCGCATTTAGATTAGAACGCCGAAATTCCATAGCAAAACAATTGTCAGTATCTACATTTTAACTAAACTAACTACTTATTACTACACTCTGTCCTAGACTAGAATTGGACGATACTTTTGTTGACACACCTACTTTATTTAATAAACTAAGCAAGATGACATGGAATGTAATATAAGTTTGTAAATTTGTAATGTTGTATTGTAATATCCTCAGTCCATCCTCTTGCGTCATTTATATGGATCTAGCCTCCTTTTCTTCTCCTTTTCTAAATTCTTTCCTAGTAAATTGCATTATGTTTTCTTCTGCCCGCCTCGATTAGCCAAGCTATTTGCGAGCAGAGGATGTTTGTGGGTACATGTATCTTGTAATTTAATTTATTAGACAAGAGTGTTTTACTGGATAATATACCACTCGTAAAATTCATGAAAACTACATCCGAGACCCGAGTGGTTTATTTTCCATAATTTCCCACGTGAGTTTATCGATGACGTAATTTCGGTAATTTGCCTCTATTATTTTATCGATGTCATTTTGTCTATATAATAAAAAGAACATTACACGGCGACTTGAAGATATGGATTTTATTTTCTCGTGGCAAGGACAATATTTACCCTCTTGCTGCGCTCTTTCGTAAAATATTGTTTTGCCACTCGGAAATAAAATTCATATCTTCGCTCCACCGTGTAATATCCTCTATTTAATCTAATTCGTAACTGCTATGCAGATCAATAAACTTCAGTAAACTTCAGACGTAAAGATACATTGAACGGCGTAAATTTTCCCCTCAACTTGGATTTAGTCCCTAAATCCTTGGAATTCATACACGTACCCCGATACATTTGACAAATTGAGCGAAGTCTGGACGATCACGCTACATTTTGAAACTGTTCTAGTGGGCATCTTAAACGTTCTAGTACCAGTTCCTGTATTAGCTCAGCGGAACATTATATATATTTTACCTATGAGAGAACCAACCCCCTCACCTCTTAACGAGAATGCAAAAGATAATTTCCCCCCCCACTACCTATAATGGTCCAAAACAACACCCATTCCCACAACAAACATTAAGTAACATTTATTGGATAGTCCCAGAACTACAACCTTCTCTTATTTTTCTGCCTAGTAAAGATCTGCAATGTCAAATTGCCCCTCATTGTGTTGCTGAAAAAGAATTTCATAGTCGGGTACTTCTTAAATCTTCGTCAGTTGCAAATGTATATGTTAGGATTAGAAGAAGCAGAAATGTCTTATCGCTAATTATAAACTCTAACATGTACTTGTAGTTGCCTTCGAATCTAGTCTTCAACTAATGGGACGAAATCTTACCCTCGGAAGTCGAAGCAATTCCATCCCCTCACGGTGGTACTAGGAGGAAGTAGACAACCCCTTAGGTTGTAATTAAGTCAATAATTTACAAAGGTTGAATGCTTAATAGCCCCTTATGGCTCTTGTATGAGTATGGCTGTAATGAGTTCCGGCCCACAAGTTGCTGCAAATATCATTGAAATTGTATCTGGTGGACGCCCGTGACGTCAATCGGAAAACCAGCCAATAGACCGTCATCTTTAAAGCTAAAAGACCTTTTTTTCCCATGCGCTTATGGTATAAAATTGGTACTAGGAGGAAGTAGACAACCCCTTAGGTTGTAATTAAGTCAATAATTTACAAAGGTTGAATGTTTTTCCCATGCGCTTATGGTATAAAATCGTAAGTTAAACAATGCTATAATTTGGGACCACTTTATACTATTTTTGAACAGAAAAGCAAAGAACCCCCTTTTTTTATTTTTAAAAAGGCTTGGACTCATGCACGTATGCCTATGACGTGACATGTTGCAACCATGTCTCCCTGTCCTTAAAATCAATGAGCTAATGCCGTTCTGCAAAAAAATCCAATTCAAGCCTTTGTTGGGGCGGCATCCACTTCGCACTCGCACTGTTTCCGTTTTTCGTCCATTGCTTTTTATGTGACTGGGCTAACGACTAGACTACCTTCGCATAGGAAAATGTAGCATTTAAAGTATTAGGTCTTAATTGTCTCTTTTTTCCTCTCCTTCTTCTTCATTTTCTCCTTTAAGTGCTTAATGGAACTCCCTGCGACTATCATCCTTGCCAAAATGGTGGTACGTGCAAACACCTACAAGGAAACACTTACCAGTGTCAATGTAATGGGAAATACTCTGGACATAATTGCACACAAGCTATAAATGGTAGGAAAATTTTTCTTTTTATATTAATTGTTATTTGGTTCGACCCGTCAGACGCACAAAAGTCGTCACATAGACAACACTCGTTTGAGGGCAAATATTGTGAAGGGTTTATACCGGACGTCTTTATGGTTCTTCTCACTTTCAAGAATATTGTTGAAGATATAAATACTTACTAGGCTTATAGGCTGACCAGTATGTCATATAGGTTTGAAACTGTTGGGCACTCCACTTTTCAAATTCCTTTCTTGCGCTCATCACGTGTCAGGAAACTGCAAATTTTGCACCATCTTGGAGCCGCCCCATCTTGGATTGCTTTCGTGAGGTCACGAATTGGGGAAGGAAGGGAATATCACGCCTCTCCCTAAAGTCGATTTTTCGGTCAACTGACAGTGAGGACTTTAGAGGCATTAGTGTGACCCCGGTAAAAAGCAAGAGCTTTTGAAAGGACAATCTACCACATCTTCAATAAGAGAGATATAGATTCTAGACTAGATGCTAACCAATTTGCCTACAGAACTAGTAGAAGCTGTACTAAGACCGTAATTAAGATGCAACACGAAATTTCAAGCACACTGGATAATCCGCCCAACAAAGCAGTACGTGAAGTACGCCTATTTACCATGGACTTGTCCAAGGCCGCCGATAATGAAAAATAAGCCCAATGAGACCCCAGTGGTTAAATCGTATAGTAGTTTCCTGTCTGACAGAAAGCAAAGGCTGGTATGGAACGGTAAATAATGGAAACAATAAGAAACGACAAGAGTCCATAACTCTAATGTTTGATTCATCACATTAACTTATGATCTAAGAATAGCATATTATAGCATATACGACGGAGGACTACGAGATGACTTAAATTACCCACATTAATTGTCTAACAGAATATTGGCAAAGAGGATCAATGCAAAGAAACATTTTTATTGACACTGACAATGACATTTTTATCAAAAAAGGGCAGAGAAAACTGACACAGATTAAAAAGCATTCACTTGAAAGTTTTAATTCATTCAGGGAGAGAGAGATTAGATCAGAGATGATTTTGATGAAAATGCATTCACATTATATTAAGGCTGGGGTTTTCTGGCGAGTTGGAATGGAAACAAGATGTCTTGAAGAACTTTAGGGAAACTTCCCATTGTCTTGTTTTCCTGGCAGGCAAATAAAGAAAGTGGAATAATTACCACATGCCGCCTCAAAAGCTTAATCCATACTGTTAAAAAATTATCATCTTGCAGAATGTTTTGATCACAAATTTCTCAACGAGTCCGACAGGGGTATAACATACAGCAACAGCAGTCTCGTCTTATGCGATGAAAAACTATCAGGATGGCATAGATATGTAGGAGAAGCTGGAAATCAAATGCCCGAGACCTGTGTCGAAAGGCATCGATGTGGCACAGAGAGCCCAGGATGGCTTAACGCCGCACATCCTTCAGTGGCAGATGGGGCAATACAGGCCAAGGTGTGCTTTCATGGTTCCTCTGGCTGCTGCGAATGGTCAACTAACGTCACTGTTCGTAACTGTGGAGAATTCTATGTTTATAACTTTCATCCAACACCAAATTGTTCTTTGCGTTACTGTGGCAACGTAAAACCTACACAAGGTACAGTTACATTTGCAACTTTTCCTAAACTCAAGAACAATTCTTTTTTGAAAACAACGGCAGACTGAAAGTGTATGAAAAAAAATTAAACTCGAATTCTTTAATCTCCTTTTTCATTACATCGCGAATTTTATAACTCCATCTCTCTACTTAATAAGAAAATCGCATTGACATTGCGTTCTAAACATTTTTCTGTTGAAGACTTCCAACAGATAACATAGCTTGTTTTGTTTGCCTGAAGATTGCTTTACAAGAAGCAAGAATCTCATAGTAGCTATAAACGTCGTTGAACAATGTGGTCTAATATCTGTCTTTCATTTTGTATTTGTTTTCTTTTTTAATTGTTACAAATCGTGCTATCTTATTTTTTATCTTATTTTTAGCACCACCACCACCACCAACAACATCAAGCAGTATTGGAGGTAAGGTACTAACTGAGGTAATAAACGAGAAGTATTCGTTAAACGGGAACTTAACTAGTTAGTTAGTCCTTTGCACTTAGCAACGACTCGCTGGATGGTAAACCATCTAAGAATTCTCTGATTCAGATCACAATTTGAGCGAGGTCGTGTGGAGCCCTTGTATCGCTTCCTGTAAGGCTTTCCAAAACAGTCTTGGATTCTGGATTCCACGCTCTGGATTCCGGATTCCAGGTAGTGGATTCCAGTGTTTGTCAGTGGTGGGATTCCGGATTCCATGAGCTGTATTCTCATGAATTCCAAAGCCTAGGACGCCGGATCCCACAAGCAAAATTTTCCCGAATTCCAGTTTCCTCAAGAAAAATTTCCCCGATTCCGGAATCTGGATTACCTTACTTGAGGCGACTTCCTAGGTTAATTCCAACGTCTTTTAATCTTCTAGTCCAGTCATTTCGGTTTATTTTAAGTAGAATAATTACACTAGGAACGCTTTGCTCGATTGCACTCAAAGCAAAGCAATAGAGCCTATTGGATGGATTCAAACCCTCTGCTGACGAATGGATGGAAATTGAAGCGAAAACGTTTATTTCACGTTCCGTTTACATTAATGAGGAAGAAATTAAAGACTGGAACGTTTGAAATTAGTAAATGCACGGGTCAAACTGCTGAAACTGAGTAATTGACTATGTAATCACTGTGATCTCTGCATAGGATTTGCGGCGAGACCTCAGCTTGTCGGAAACACAACTTCTCAAACTCATTAATAATTCATGAAGAAAATTCAAAGGAAATTAATGTTTAATGAGTGTTTGGATATCAGAGGAAAAACTGCTCATTTTTGCATCCTTAATTTCTCCTTCAAAAATGATTTTGTTTGAGAAGAAATATCAAACATTCGACACAGTGTTTCATCACCAGATGAAACACCTCGAAGTACGTAAAAAATACTCCGCTGCGCGTCGTATTTTCAACTCTCTTCTCGGTGTTTCATCTGGTGATGAAACACTGCATCTCATGTTTGATATATTACAAGAACAATGATAATAACAAAAGAAGGACGTTATTTATTTGTTCTCTAGGAATGCTAGGCTTGAACTTAAATGCATCCAAGTCGATGCTGAAAGTGGGAAGCGTTATTGTAATAAACTGTACCGTGATTGGTGGACCTATTAGCTTAAACATCACGTGGTTTAAAGAGGGTGAGAAGATAGTTCTAAGCCATCGCAGAAAGATAAATACCGATGATGAACACCAATCTCGTTTGACGATAAGGAATGTAATGGCGCAGGATGAAGGAGAATACCATTGTCAAGCAAGGTAAACCTCTTTCTTTCTGCTGAAACTATTGTTGTTTGGGTATGGTGCCGTGCTGTGAGTATTGTTCAGTGCCCTTTAATCTTTTGGCTTACGTTGTTTGATGATCAAACACTTCCACAACATCAAGGAACTAACACCTCTTTGCTAAACAACCACTTTGGGATTCACCATACAACTATTCACGGAGCACCAATTCAAATCGCGTGTTCCTCTGTATTCTCCACTCTTTTTCATGTTATGTGGGACCTTAAGGCCTCGGTACTGTTTAAAAGGCGAATAATACTATTCACTGGACAAATCTCTATCCACGGGATAACGCGATTGGCTTCCCTAGCTTACACATATCTGCTGGATAGTGATTCATCCATGGATAGCGTTATCCGACGGTTGAACAACCGGGTCCAGATCGTTAGCTTAAGTTCATATTTTTCAGTGGGCAACATAATGTAGATTTTCACGATTCGTTTTTTTTTTTTTCATTATTATTATCATTATTATTATAATTATTATCATTATTATTATCATTATTATCATTATCATTATCATTATCATTATCATTATCATTATCATTATTATTATTACTATTATTATTTCATTAAATGTACTTTTTCTAATCAAAGTTAAGTGTTTTTAATTGGACAAAGTGTTTTGACGGAATAGTTTTCTTAAGCGAATTAATTGTAAATAGGATTTTAATAGTTAGCATTGTTATTCAATAATAATAATCATCATCATCATCTTTATTGAGGAACTTTTTCATAAAAGATATGGTTTTCAAAAAGGACCTCAATATTATTATGATATTTATTAACTAATAATTATTTTTGGGGGGAGGGACTAGTAGCTAAAACTGGAAGACATTTTTCGTAGCCTACAGCCTCACCATCTGTGGTGGGTTATTTCCGAATCGACCGAGGGATAATATTAGTCTTTCATATATCAATCTGTACCTTATCTTCACAAACAAATCTGGAAAGAGTCCAACATTTTTGTTCGACTTCGAAAACAGTACGAGAACAAAGCAATGTCTGTTTTCTAATTAAAGAAATGCATTTAGCCCACTAACGTTATAGGGTAAAAATTAAATTAGACTAGAGTTCGGAGTGGTTTGCTTTTACATCGATGACGGAAACGATGGTTTTATAACTTTTCTTTTAGCACAGAGAAGGGAAACATCTCGAAATCTCTTACCATTTTGGTTGAGCCAGTACTTGCAATTAATCCACTAGTCACGACCAAACGAGTTGGTAAGTTCTCATCCTTGTGGCAAACAAATCTTAAATAAAAATGAGAATGATTTGTTTTTGTTACCTGATAAATGACTTGGAATAGCGCATTAGACTGCGAGCAGTCCCTCTTCGGTCAGTCAAGTCTAAGCTCGGCAGGACTGGAGAGAGCGAATTGGCCGAGAGGGACTGCTCGCAGTCTAATAGCGCATATAAATGTCAGCCATTTTTTAATCCTTACCCGTCTTTAAATCAAAAGGGACCTTAAAATCCGACGAGGGCGACGGCAACGGCGACGAGAACGCCAAAAAAGCAATAGTTTAATAACCAAAACAACAATCTAGCACCTGCATCACCCTTTTTTGGACATTTTTTGGTACATTTTTCCTGGAGTTAAAATAGACCATTTGCACGATGAAGCGCAGGTATGTACGTCTAAGAGTGGATTCCATTCCGTTTTTTCTTTTATAAGTACATTCGTTAATCCAGTGAAGTTGAAATGTAAGAAAAGCCTCACAAGGAAGAAAAACCCTGAAGGATTTGGGTAGTACGTACGTAGCAATAAAATGACGTTGTCGCGCAAACGATCTATCCGGTATGTAATGCAACTAAAAAATGGGAAAAAAGAAAAAGGCCTATCACAAATTATTTTACTTATTAAATACAATGCATAAGAACTGTTTTCTTTCTTTCTTTTTTTCTTTCCTCCTTTCTTTCTTTTTCTTGGCGGTGGGGGGGAAAATGATGCAATAGCAGCAGCAAAGTTAGTCACTTACTACATAAGCTATTAATCTGAAGAAAAAGTACAGTCGCAAACGACCATTTGCTTGGTGGTTTTATGTAGGTGTTGGATCAAGGTCAGGTTGTATCGTTGCAATTTAATCCAGAATGTTATCTAAGGCTATCCAACCTGTTTTAATTAGCCTTACTGAGATGCTTTTTCTATTAATCTTTGTTTTTTTTTTAGGCGAACAGGTTACATTTATTTGTAATGTGAGCAGTGGACTCAGCAATATAACTAACCTATCTTTAGTAGAAGTGACAAAGGTTAACAGCAAGCCATCCTACCAGAAAGTGAGCGTCCCGATAACTAACCTACAAATTCCCGAAGGAAGCGAAAGACACGTGAGGCAATTCATCTGTGAGACGAAATATCAACAGAAGAAGTTCAAAAGCGAATTAGCAGAGCTAATCATTGTTAAACTAGGTAAGTTCAGCGGTCATGGCTCAAGTAAAGGACTCGGCGAGGTCGCATTCTAATCACAAACTATTTCCTTTCCCCCTCCTTTTGTTTCTTTGTTGGTTTGTTTTGTTTTTGTCAAATAGAACATTACAAGACTGGATCTTATCTCTTTCGTTGTTTTTTATTTGTTCTTTACACAGTCATATTCTGGAAACATTTAATGGGTGCTTGATATTTAGCAGAAAAGTTCTAGCCTTAGAAAACAGAACATATTTTGCCTAACTCGTACCCAGACGTCTCACTTTGAATGACAATTTGCGCGCAAAGGAAGGCGGGAATGAGAAAACGAGCGAGACGTTTGGCGCTTCGCCTCTCATTTTCCCCCTTCCCATGGTCCCTTTCGATTCGTCACCAGTCTCTCGCGTGTCACTTACGTTTTGCGCTCGCCTCTGTACGTGCAAAAAATGAAGGGCCTGAGGAGACCGGATAGCCATTTGGCGACGTCACCACTGGTTTCCCCGCGACGTCTGAGGAACGAGCGCCTAAATTCCATTCATATGACGAGTCACTACTCAGATCTGCAGTACTTCTGATTGGTTCGGAGCAAATATTAAACTAATCAGGACTACAAACCAACTGAGATTGCCGGTATTTTGAATGATTGTAGCAATCATTGTTCTGAGATGGCATCAATCGTAACATGGATTATTTTGCTTTTTTTGTCAAGACCCTATGAGGCGTTTTTGTTTTCAAGTAGCCTGAGAAAACAGCCGACATTTGGCGACGCTACTACTGGTTTCCCCGCCAAATGACGTCTGAGAAACGAGCGCAGAAATTCCATACTGATAACGCGTCACTACCCAGGTCTGGGTAGTGCTTCTGATTGGTTGAATCAAATTTCCCACGCAGCACGAGTAATCAGAAGCACCAACTAGATCTGGGTAGTGACGCGTCATCAGTATGGAATTTCTGCGCTCGTTTCTCAGACGTTATTTGGCGGGGAAAGCTGTGATGGTGCTGCGAATTGTGGGCTGTTTTCTTAGGTTACCTTTCAAGCAGTCTTTGAGAAACTGATGAACAGATCTTTATTTCTTTTAGATTCTCCTGAATGTCCAAAAGATACTTTAGGTGGGGTTGAGTGGTCCCCTACAGCTGGAGGGAGCAAGGATATCAAACCTTGTCCGAATGGGGCTCTAGGTATGTTAAGGAGATAACTAATCACAGTGGTTACCAGCGACTTAGCTTTTTAATGATATGAAACAGCCGCAGTGGTCCTGCCGGAGTTTTGTTAGACTGCATTCACATTTCTTTTTCTTATGTTTCTATCCTAGCTGTAAATGATTCCCAGAACTCTTTAGGTTTGCAAAGCATGCGATGATACTGATGAAGCAGACATGAACGCTTACCTGTGATTTCATTCTTAAGTCCACAACATGTGTAGAAGTGCATCGATTTTTGGGACTCAATGTTTCTTTCTTTCCTTTTCTCTTTCTTTTCTTTTCTTTTTTTTTTTTTTGGGAGGGGGGGGGGTAGGCGACGGATCTATTTCTACGTCTGTTATTTTGTTATTATTTCTTTATTTACTTTTTATTTTGAACTCAAACAAAAAGGGCGTCTGTTCATCGTTGTTTAAGTTTTGTTATTCTTATCTGGCTTTGCTACCAAACGTTAACGAGAGTGTCCTTAAGACAATGTTAGACGGGGGAATCACATCTGCTATGAATGTAATCTTCATCTAAGCGCTGTTGCGACTGACTCGTTGAGACACGTCTATCTGATGCTCTTCCGTAGGAACCGCAACAAGAACATGTGCTGAGAAAGGGATTTGGGCGAGCGCAAACTTCACAGGCTGCAGCTCTGTTGAGTTCAACAAGTTAGCTGATGCAGTAAGTGAGATGATCTTCTTTCAATCTGTCCTAAACCTAATCAATAACACATATTTCGCCTCATTTGCTTACACTGGACATTGTTGTTCATCAATTGTTTTCATAGTCTTGCGAAATGTGTACCCAGGAGTCATCATAATTAGGTGGAATATGAACGTCGGTGCGTTGACAGATGTAAAAGAATCCGGAAATTTTTTGCTTTTGGAATCGGGAATCCTTGTTTTTGGAATCCAGAATATTGTTCAAGGAATCGTGAATCGCACTAACGGTTGTAATCAGGAATTCAAGTTTCATTGACAGAGGGTCCGGACTCTGGTACCAAGAATCCGTAATCCACCGCATGTCTTGGATTTCCAAGATTCATGTAAGGGGATCTTGGACTCCCTTATATGGGGTGACGTGTGAGTGTGGCCCGTGTACCTGACCACCGTGCAAGTTATCAAAACGAAAGTCGTTGTCGTCCTACTCTCAACCATAAAATCATTTTCCACGCGCTTGAGCCTCACTTTATGGTGTTTCATCCACAAGCAGATCATGCTGAAGTGGTCAACTCATGGATAACATATATTCTGTTGTAAGCTAAAATGCGTCCACTCTACATCCAAATCCTTGAACGCCTTTTTCTTTGCCACTCATTAACCAATTGTCGATGTTTCATTTAAGATGGCCACCATTTCAGGAGGTTTTCAGTCTGACCTGACTGTGCAAGAAGTTCTTTCAAAGCTGTCAAATGCGACTCAGCCCACACAAGTTCCTCTGGGGTCTCCTCGGGTCTACGGAGGGGACCTGGTTATAGCGGTGGACATACTCGTTAAAATATCGCAATATGATAGAGAAAAAGTTAGTTCACGTGATGACTTTGACAACTTTGCACATGTGGCCAGCAATCTGTTGGAGACAACGAACAGCGAGACTTGGAAGGAACTGGAGGAAGTAAGTATATCACATAGGCTAGATTTTAGCCACTGTCTAGGGTCCGGTCTTGTTCCTCAAGCGAGGACTCGTTTCTAGATTTGCCATTTCATTGGCTTGCTTAGTGGATAAGTCTTCACAGCAAAATCAGAGATTAGTTGAGATTACAATTGAAACTTTTGCCAGCATCTGTTAACTAGTTTGCAGATCCCAGGGGTTTATGCCATTGTTACGCACCAACTGGGGATGACAACCTTTCCAAGGACTTTTTGGGTAAATAAATACTTGTTCTGGTCCCCTAACGGAATCAACGAATTACTGGTGCGTTTTGAAGTCCCATTTAACCTGATTTACCAGACAAACGCGAGAATTTTTAAACAGGCCAATGATGGTGTGTACTCAAATCCTGGTACACGGGTCTGCTGGACTGCAGACAAGTAAAGTTTCGCCTGTTGCGCAGGCTACAAACTGCTTTATTGTGTGTGCTCGCTAGAGTAGAATATGGGAAGGCTCTTGGATGGAATATAGCTGCAACACGTCAGAGTAGAAATTACTGAGTTTCAACTCATTTTAACCCTAATATGTGTTGCATTTACAGGCTGGCAAAGACAGGAGCAAAATCTTGGTAAAAGCAATGGATGCTTATGGGCTAGCTGTTGCCGCCACGTTAAACGGGTCGACAAAGCCAGTTGTTGCGCAAACCCAAAACCTGCTGATGAGAATTGACCGCGTTAAAATGGACAGCCAGGTAAAAAATAATAATAATTTACGCTAAAAAGTAAATAATCCTCAAGTGACACAGCCGCCAGAACGTTTGCGCGGGAGGTTATTTATAGGCTTAGGTCTAATAGGGTTACATGTATCTTGGGAAAAAAAAATTAGATAAAAAAATTCTTTAGGTTGTAATGTCAGCAAAGAGGATTAGTCTAGCGGTTAAGTGCAAATCTGAGGAGAATTGTGTCTTTGATGATAAAAGCACGATTTTTGGCACAGAGATAATAGAGATCTTAAAAAACATTTTTTGATATAGGGCCATCCCAGATTAATCACGTGACCTCCATTACATTTATCTAAAAATGACGTCAATGGGGGCGATCTTTTTGCTTCATTTCAAGTAGAAATAGAGTAGTATTACGTCCACTTTTTCATAAAATCCTTATTTTTCCGCTCCCATACATCTAAAAATAATAATATTAGAAATAGAGTAGTATTACGTCCACTTTTTCATAAAATCCTTATTTTTCCGCTCCCATACATCTAAAAATAATAATATTTTTGGAATGGTAGCAGTAAATCACCGATGATGCTATATTTCAGTTTTTATCCTTCGGGAAAACATAGAAGTAACGTCGTGATAACACGTGCTATTTAACTTCGGTAGGAAAATTAACAGCAACAACAACTTGACGGCTTTTTATCTCAAGATATTTATGATTGCTTGTCAGTTTGAGCTTAAGTTTCGTTCGTTTCGTCCAAAGTTAAGCAAAATGTTTCTGTTAGCCTGTTATTAGCTAAAAGTTTTTCAGTCAGAGAACGTTTTTTAGTATTAGTTTAACAATCCTGGCTTTTACTGTTGAAGTGAATTAAACAATTAAATAAAACACCTAACCAAATTTTTCCTTGCGAGAAAAAAGAATTGGAACGTGAGCATATAACTCACTTATTTAGTTTGTTATTGGTTGGGAACATTTCCTAGTGTTGTGTAGTCTAGTATTTATACATTGAATAGCGGAAACAATTTGGTATATGATATATATCTTCATAATTTTAAAGAACATGGTTACATATTCAAAAAAGGTATACTTTCAGTCTTTTTAATATTTCATGAATTTCGGCTTTTCAGTTGAAAGAAAACTCTTCACTGCAAGCCGCCATAATTTTGATAGTAAAGTGTAGCTATGGCAAAAGTTTACAAGGTTATCAATGACCCTTTAAAACCTGCAACAGAAGCTTCTGATACGTCGTGTTTACCAGTAGATTGGAACAAGTGTATTTTGTGTCAGACAGACACATCTGAAATCCTGTATCGTCCGGCTGATTCTAAGCGTATCACGAAAGGAGCAGGTTATAAGACTGTGGGAGAAAATCTTCAAGCTTTTGAGAAAATTGGTTCTTTGCCTAAAACAATAAATCTGTGCCGATTAAATGAAGGAGAAGGAATCGAAGCGAGTTTCCAGCAACATAAAGCCAAATGGCATGACTCGTGTAGACTGAAGTTCAACAAGACAAAACTCCAACGGACAGAAAAGAGAAAAGCAGTTCCAGATGATAGTTCAAGTTCAAAAAGCGGAAGAAAATACACGCGTAGAAGCCTTGAAAAGTTACCAAACCCTATTCATCAATGCTTCTTCTGTGGTAAGCAAGCTGAAGGTGAAGACTCTTTGCACCGAGCATCGACACTTGAGGTTGATGCCCGAGTTCGTCACTGCGCTTTACAGTTACAGGACAAACCTCTATTAGCCAAACTGAGTGCTGGAGACATGGTAGCTCAAGATGCTGAATATCATGTCAAATGCCTTGTTTCCCTCTATAACAGAGCACGAGGAACCGAAACATATAGTGCAGAAAGTGATGCGGATGCCGTTAATCACGGCATTGCTTTTGCTGAACTTGTTTCTTAAATAGAAGATGCAAGAATGGACAATCTGGTAGCCCCAATTTTCAAATTGTCTGACCTAGTCAGTCTATACAGCAACAGGCTTAAACAACTTGGAACAGAAGTAGCGGGACGCATCCACTCAACTAAACTCAAGATTAGAGTGTTGAGCTACTTTTCACACATGGAAGCTCATACCCACGGCCGTGAAGTTATTCTGGCTTTCAACGGCGATGTTGGTGCCGCACTGAGAAAAGCATGTGAACATGACGCTGATGGGGATGCTGTTCATCTTGCTAGGGCTGCCACTATAGTTAGAAGAGATATGTTCAGTAAGAAAATGGAATTCAATGGCTCATTCTCCACTACTTGCCAGGAACAGTCTGTGCCTAATTCACTGCTAGCACTGGTTACTATGGTACTTAATGGACCAAATATCAAATCACGTTCCTCCAATGTGTCTCAGGCTACCCTTTCTATGTCTCAGCTTCTTCTATACAACAGCGTGAAGCGCTACAACGAAAATGATACAGATATTGTCCGACACAGCCAACAACGAGAAGCACCTCTACCAGTCTATTTAGGTGTGATGCTTCATACAAAGACCAGGAAACGTGAACTTGTGGACGCTCTTTTTAATCTTGGCTTGTGTATATCGTATGACCGTGTATTAAAAATCTCCACTGAGCTGGGAAACAACATTTGTTACTACTATCAGCAGAAAAAAGGTTGTTTGTCCCCCTCGACTGAAAGGTGGTATTTTCACCACCACTGCAGTAGACAACATTGACCACAATCCCAGCTCAACTAGCTCTCACGACTCATTTCATGGAACTGGGATATCCCTCTTTCAGCACCCCACTGAGAAAAACAATGACGAAAACAGTGGAGTTCAGCTTCCTGCTGACGCAATTCAGGACAATATACGTGCACAAAAGAAGGCATTAATGCTACCAGAGTTTTACACAACGGTGCCTCCTGTCGCTTTGCGTAGGGACGACCCACCCATCCCACAGCTTCAAGGGCCCAACAAAGGAGAGTGCCTGCGCATTCCTGAAGAAAGGAAGGAATACCGGTACAGTTGGCAAAAATCTTTTTTTTGACATTGTTTTCCTAGGTGACTGTAACTGGAGTATTAATAACTACAAAACTGATATTTTATTTGTACAATTTACAGATGGTTGCAAGAGGTAAATCGAGTAGTAACTAATGAGACCGTAAAAGATGCTGATGCCGTTTCCTGGTCTGCATACCATGCAAGTCCACAACCTTCTAGTAAATCATCCGAATGCTGCGTCACAGCAACCTCTCTACTGCCTCTTTTTCATGATCAAGCCCACTCCGTAGCCATGATCCGCCACTCAATGGACATTGTTAGCAAAGCAGTGCAGAGTTTAAATCCTGGTCAGATGCCCATTATCACTGCAGATCAACCTCTATACACAATTGCAAAGCAAATCCAGTGGAACTGGCCAGGAACCCATGGTGAGGATAAGTTTGTGGTGATGTTTGGGGGACTGCACATTGAAATGGCAGCTCTGAAGGCCATAGGAAATCTCTTAGACGGCAGTGGATGGGGAAGTGCACTAGTACAAGCCGGTGCTGCTACGCCTGGGACGGCTGATTCATTTTGTCGCGTTACTCATGTGACACGCACTATAAGAGCCCATCAGATCACGGCTGGCAGTCTGTTTGTACTTCTTGAAAAGGCTTATTCTCAGTATCTTGTCAGTCTGAGCGACGACCAGAATCCGCTGTCATTAGAAGAGTGGTGTTCGCACAGTGCAGAGCTTTATCCACAGTTCAAGTTCTGCTTGCTTATCCTGCAGATGCAATTGGCCGTATTGATCTACATTAGAGCTATTAGAGAAGCTGACTTCGAGCTGTACGTTGACGCACTCACGCAAATTGTTCCGTGGTTCTTTGCTCTAGACCAAATTCACTACGCTAGATAGATCCCTGTTCATTTACGGGACATGGTTACACTGAAAGACGTTCATCCAACTGTTTTTGCTGAGTTCATGAAAGGAAATTTTGTTGTAAAGAAGACAGAACGCAGATTCTCGGCTATAGCAATTGATCAAGCGCATGAACAGAACAATGCTTCTGTGAAAGATGACGGAGGAGCTGTTGGCTTAACGGAAAATCCGGCTGCATTTTGGCGGTGGATGGTATCTGGACCAGAGATGGCCAAAGTTATTGAAGAGTTTGAAGCATCAACAGAGAAGAGAAAATGTTTAGATTTCCGTCATCATGAGGAGGCCAAACACGTGCAGAAAAAATTTACCCAAAATGTTGAAGATCTCGCCAAAGCCATCGAAGAAATGGGAAATCCATTCACCGAGAACAGCAACGATCTTCTTGTTCTAGACAGTAGAGACCTTGCAGATCCAGCCATTATTGATTCTGTTCGTAAAATTGAGAAATTGGGACAAGAGCAGTATGACATCTATGTAGGAGAGAGGCTAGTCAATCAAACAAAGTCCGTCTGGGAGCCTATCAAGAAGAACAATTTGGCACTATTTAGCCGACCTCCAATCCGAGAAAAGACAAAGTCGCAGCTACAGCTTGCTTCCCTGAAAAATGACTGCTCCCTCTTTTCACGTCTTTACGTTGCATCACAGGTCCGCAATGGGAATCTTGATGAATTTTTCGAGCATGAGAATCAGGCATACCCTCCAGCATTATCACTAAATGGCAAGCTGAGAACCGGTACTAAGTCTGACCTTGTTAGTTGTCTTGAAGAACTGGTTAATTCCCGCGAGAATGCCACTCATCCCAGTGTGGAAGTTATCATCCTCGATGGCTCTGTCATTGTAAACATGCTTCGACCAGGTTCAGCAAAAACTTTCTCGGATTATGCTTCGCAAGTTTTTCTTCCATACGTAGCGTCCCAGCTGCAGCAAGCAAGTAGAATTGACATCGTTTGGGATGAGTACCGCCCTGACAGTTTGAAAGCTGAAACGAGGGTGAAGAGAAGAAAGGGAGTTCGAAGACGCGTAGAGGCTTCAACACCAATTCCAGGAAACTGGCAAGAGTTTTTGCGCACTGATGAAAACAAAGTAGAACTGTTTAGTTTTCTAGCAAAAAGAGTGCCATGCATCGAAACCGAAAAGCAAGTTCTCAGCACTATTCAGTCTGATGTAGTTTGCACTCAGTCAAAAAATGTTTCGAGGCTTACCCCATGTACACACGAAGAAGCAGATACCAGGATCATCTTGCACTTGGAGGACGCTGTCACTGAAGGATTTAACAAAATATCCATTCGTACCGTTGACACCGATGTAGTGGTTTTGGCAGTGGCAGCAGCACAGCGCCACGGAAACACTGAAATCTGGATCGCTTTTGGTACAGGAAAGAGTTTCCGCTTTTTGGCCGCTCATGAGATGGCTAGAATACTGGGACCAGACCGATGTATTGCCTTGCCGATGTTCCACGCCTTTACTTGGTGTGACACTGTTTCATTTTTTGGAGGAAGAGGTAAACGAACTGCCTGGGACACGTGGAGATCCTACAACGATATCACATCGATATTCGCCTCTTTGGCAAACACCCCAGAGTCTGTGGACAGCTCAGTTACATCACTGGAGCGATTTGTGATTTTTCTGTATGATCGCAGCAGCAGCCTAGAAGACATCAATCAGGCCAGGAAACACCTCTTTGCGCAAAAAGGGAGGTCGATCGAAAACATTCCACCGACGAAAGCAGCCCTTGTACAGCACATCAAGCGGGCAGTCTATCAAGCTGGTTATTGCTGCGCACAAGCGACGACTTCAAGCCCTGATCTCCCATGCCCTAGTGAATGGGGCTGGAAAAGAAAGGAGCCATGCAGCTGGGAAGACAACTGGACATCACTGCCAGAAGCAACGGTGGCCTGCAGAGAACTTTTGAGGTGTCGTTGCAAGAAAGGTTGCAGAAAAGAACTGCAAATGCTCAAAGGCTGCTCTGCAGTGCACAGCTCTATGTCAACGTGGTGGACAATGCACTGAGAACTAGGATTTTTCATGGTCAAACAGCATTGAATTCTATACTTTCTACGCTTTCTATTACATGTAGCTTTTATTCATGGTAGTAAGGATTTCTTAGAACGAAAGTCGTTATTTTCCATTTCTAAAGTGGTGTTTTTAAAACAGCAGGAAACCAGTTTTTCTATACGAATCTGTCCCTATGTTCGTACCAAGCTCTATAATCGAACATTTGCAATAGTTTTTTCTACACCATCATGTTGCACTTTTGTCATGTGTATCATAATTTGGTATAAGAGAACCAAATTCTGTATTATTCTTACTTTTACCCTATGCTTACACCTTATTTAGTGCTTACATGACGTTTTTAAGTAATAAGGTTGTTGCCATGACAACAGTAAAGGGCTGCGATGTGAGTATTGTGATGAGGACACAATAAATACGGTGTAAGAAGCATCCTGACCTTAAAGTGTAATTTATTTCGTTAACTGCTATAGATTTATTAATGGTAAATGTAAAAAGGCCACGCCCTTTTTAAAAAACGCCGCCATGTTGGTCACGTGACTAATCTGCGATGGCCCTATATCTGAATTTTTTTAAAAAGATATGAGCTGCAAGTGTGCCAAGTTTCATTCTTTTATCATAAAAGGCACAATTTTTACTCCCAACTGCTGGACTAGATGGGACGGAATACAAATTTGGCACACTTCACTTTTGGAATAACTGTGCATTGCAATTCATACAGCACAAATATCACCTCAGCCAAAATTTAGCGTCAAATTATTCAATTCAAAACCTCGGGTATTTTCATTCCAAAAGTAGGAAGTAAAATAAGATAATATTTTGTCAGAAATACCAATGTATCTTTAGTTAGATAATTTTGCTTTGCATAAAATTTGATTCGATCTTGAATTTATAGTCTAAACCATAACTTTACTTTTATATTTGTATACCTTTCAGGGTTTAAAGATCGCTTACAACCAAAGTTCTATCTATTTGCCTTCGCAAGCATTCAGTTCATCCGAAGATTCATCTGTGGTAACCATTGTGTTTCTGACGTTAAATGAAGTTTTGTCACTTCCAAAGGAAAGTCAGAACGACGAAGGCAACGCCATCTCGCCTGATACTACAGTTATATCTTCCACCGTTGATCCAAAGCTTCCGGACGTTTTCAAAAAGCCAGTTAAAATCGTACTACGCAATACAAAGGTACGCGTCTGATATCTGAGTATGCTTCTTTGTTGTTATCGACTGACTTTTTAGTCCTAAATATGCTTTATTTATCTATAAACTGGAAAATCCTCACTATTACTGCAAAAAAAAATTTAAAAAATGAAAGCAATACAGTGGAACCTCCATGTGCGACCACCTCTCGAGTAAACGACTCTCTCCCATCAGTGACCGCGTATCCAAAACACCAAAGCTTTCCCAGTCAAAGCCTTACAGTTGGATCCCCTAGTAAACGATCACCTCCTGTAAGCGACCGCGACCACTTTTTGGGCCTGTAAGCTTAATGATTTTCTTTTGTTTTGAACCTCTTGTAAGCGACCATTTGACGTATTCTCTGATCTCTATGTTTACTGTGTGCATTGTGCTACTTTAAATATACAAAAAACTTTAGTGACAACATGGAACTACATATGGTGTAACTTAAAAATTGCATGGAATAAATTATCTTCCATAAAGTAGTTGGCCCCCCATGTGGTTCGATTCTTATAAGCGACCACCTTCCGTAGGCTACCACTCAGTCTTTGCATTTTAGGTGGTCGCTCACGGGAGGTTCGACTGTGTCTGTTTTACAAGACTGCAGTGTGGGAGCCTGATTGATTGTTGTTGTGATGTCGGTTAGTTTCCCTTTTAAAGCATCCAGAGAGTCCAATTTCTTTAAGCCGAGGGGTAGGCTATTCCATAGGACCGCCCCGCTGTAGCCAAAGCTACACTTAACTTAACATAGTTTGTATGTGGTTTGGGTAAGTCTAGTTTGATCTCGGAATCTCATAGATTATACGGAGAAATCTACAAATTCTTGGGGAAAAGTATATACTGTTTATACTGTTCAAATATATACTACCGAACCATTTGCGATAAACTTATGTCTGGTCTAATGAAAATTTGTTATTTTCTGTTTCCTCTTCTTTTGTTCTTTGTTTTTGTTTTTCTTTACGGGAAGATTAACACGTCTTCTGAGTCAGACGCAATTCCACAAGGAAAGTGTGTATTCTGGCGTCCAGATGAGTCTGCGATATGGAACACCAGCGGTTGTAGACTTGTACCCAGTGAATCGAACGTCACTATGACAACGTGTGAATGTGATCACCTGACAATTTTTGCAGCACTTATGGATCCATACGACTCAACTGTAAGTTGATCACAACTTAAATAAACACTTAGCGCGCAAGTGGATTTAGTTTTACCTATTCTCTGACTCTAATGCAGAGGGATGTTCTACCATCCCGTATAGAAAGTGATTGAATTAACTAGTCACAAGTGTTTTAAAAAATTCGAATAACCACGTTGGTCTTGTAACGATATTTAGCTTATTTTTAATCTAAAGGCCAGTTTATGACGGAAAACTTTGTCGGATAATCGGGGCATGGTTCTTTGGTGTGAATAAGAACCGTGACACTTGCAAGCCAGTAATAGATTTTTTTTAGTTTTCAACACTGACGTATTCGATACTGTTTAGTGTTTATGCCTTGTAAAAAAATTCATTTGCACCATGAAAATCACCTTTGCCTTTGCTAGGAAAGCAGATATTTAATAAAACTACTTACTAAAAGACGTACAAAACGTCATTTGTGCTTTATAAGAGTCAAGTTCAATCTAATTGGAACCATAGAAACGAGGGGAAAAAACGCGGGCCTATATACGCGCATGTACGCTCATTGATCAAAAAGTTATTTTTCAATTTTTTTTTGCGAAAACTGCCTTAAACAGATATATATGACAAATTTAGGCCGTTCTACATGGTTTGCTCTTGTCATTTCTCCTTGGCCTCCAGAAACGGACATTTATCAAGCACCGTGCAAAAGGACATAATATTGTTGGTCAACAACTCCAAACATTGTTGGATGTTACATGTTTCGTCTGTTTCATCACCCTATGTTGCATATGCTTGGTTGTTGTTGGGAATAGAAGCGCAAAGTTTGAGGCCGGTCACACTTGTAGCTACGTGCAAACGGATGCAACAATTCGAAACATTATTAAGCCAAAAACCTTGGGAGTTATTGCGTCAGTGTTGGCAGTGGTGTGCAAACGGATGCAACATTTCCCAACTGTAACGTTGAGACCTGCACTGCATTGTGGGAAGGATACAACCCATAATACTTTAGAGACCACGGGTAATGAGCGTGCGTTGCCCTTATCAAGTTAGAAGAGCTGTGCAAACGGATCCATGAGGGCGTTTAAGATCCAACGACGCGGACGGCAACGAGAACGCCAAAAAAACAATAGGTTCTACAAGTAAAACAACAACTTTACACGTGCATCACGTTTTTTTTTACATTTCTTTGCCCGTTTTTGCACGACTACGACGTGAAAATGCCTAATTTCACGTTTTATGGAGGACATACAGTAAACAAGCAAAGACGAAATTTTATTTCTCTTTTTTAACTTGGATATGGTCCCTAGGAATTCAATTTCAGGAGGGTTCGCCTACATTTAACAAAGCAAGTGGGTAAGAATAATGGCGATAAAGACTGAAAGGTTAGACAAATTCACTTTTTAAGAGACGTTCTCGTTGCCGTCGCGTCGTTGGATCTTAATTAATGTCCCTCTTGTTGCGCTACGCTTCGGCGATCATGGAACAAACGAAACGTTGGGACTTATTGGCTCTAAAGTTCGACCGGTTACAAACTTTGCGCATTAACAACTTTCATGACGCAACAACATGCAAAACAGGGTGTGCAAACGAAATCAACATGAAACATGCAACAATGTCGCGTCCGTTTGCAAGGGGCTTTAAGCAGTACAAGAAACGAAAATATTGCATGATCGCAGGTTAAAACTGGCTTCCGGCTTGCCCCGGGATATATCGTGGGAGAAACCATAATCAGTGACCAATCGCATAAAATCACTTGTCAGGCTTTCACTGCCGATGTCGCCTGAACAAAAATAGTGCGAGGTCTATTTCATTCTCGTCTGTCTTTTATTTTCTACACAGTTAGGCGAAAGTGACCGGAAAGCCTTGGAGATCATCTCAATTGTTGGCTGTTCTATTTCACTGCTTGCTGTGCTTATCACAATGGCTGTAACTTTGTTTTTCTGGAGGGTAATAAAAAGTCCAAGATCTAAAGTGCTGCTCAATTTATGCACCGCAATCGCCGCATCTTGTACTCTTGTCATATTTGAAGGTTTAGCAAGAAACACGGTAGGTTTATCACGGTTTAGTACACTTCAACAAAATGGATACGATATAACTATAATCTGTTAAGACTGTTAACCGTTTGTTACAAAGATGACGACCAAACAGCTGAATTATGACTGTGTTGAAAATTGTCTGCTGAATTATCGACGTCCGCATGAGAGTTTGGCTGTTTGAATTTTTGTTTGTTTGTTTTTTAACTAATTTTTGGCAATAATAGGCTTGTTAGGTGCGTATGACAACATAACAGAAACCTTCTCGGATTTAAGAGTTCAATTTGGCTGGTTTGATTGTATGCGTGTTTGTAATATTATGTGACTAGTCTGCTAACATGGACTTCAAATTAAGTTATATAAATTTCAGCTCTTTGCCAAAAAAAATCAGCCAAACATAATTATGCAGATCGCCTAAAACATAATTATGGTCTAATATTTGCTCATCGCTTCTCTGAAAAGTTAAAACGGGAACCATCAAAGCCTACCGCATCGAAAGTCTTTATTCACACTGGCTAGGCCTTCCCTATCTACAGGGGTATTGAAGTCCAGCGTAGTTGTTTTCTCTTAAGCCCAAAGATGCTATTCAATATGCTCCGGGTTTTTGGTGGGTGTTTTCCTATTACGAAGATGTTGATAATTGTTTACAGTTTTTCGTTTTGGTCTGTTTAATTATCAGGCTGGGTGTCCTGTTTTAGCGGCCCTTTTGCACTATGTCTTGTTGGCACTATTTTCATGGATGCTGTGTGAGGGCGTACTGCATTACATTTTAATTATAAAAGTTTTTGGAGGTGGATCTGGAACTAAAGTCAGATACTTCTGCCTGTTTGCGTGGGGTAGGTTTCTTTTACTACTGCTGTGGAATTTTTCCTCCAAACATACTGGTATTGATCACCCAATGTAAGTAAACAAGGCAGTCTAGGATTCTGGGATTTCAGGCTGTGGATTCCGGATTACAGGTACCGGATTCCTGATGGTCTCTCAGTAGAACTTGCATGGATTTCGGATTCCAATCCTTGGCGGGATTCCGGATTCTTTGAGCTGAATTTTATATCACAAAGCTCAGGATTGCGGATACCAAAGTCAAACATTTCTCAGATTCCGGATTCTGCAAGCAAAATTGTACATTGTTATATCAATCCTACATATACATTTAACAGCCGGCTAAATAGCTCTGCCGGTTACTAATAAACCTCAGAGGTCCCAGGGAACTTGACCCTTTATCTTTTCATAAATTATGCGTAGATATATATGCACTTGAATAAGACGAAAGTTGAAAGAAACATTTCTTTAATATCGCATGACCTGTATTTGGAAAGCAAAACTTACATTCAAGCTAAAGAGGTCTATTGTGGCTGCTAGGCACTAGATTCCCTTATTGATTCCTTGCATGAAATCTCAAGTATTAACATTAATGCCTGACATCTTTTTAATTGTTGCTTCAACTGTACTTTATTGTATTTTTCCCTAGGGTGTCCAGCTGTCGTAGTGGCCGTTTCACTTGCTATTACTCGAGCAAAGGGTTACGGAAGCTCAGGGACTTGCTGGCTGGATGTCGATAGTGGACTAATTTGGGCCTTCATTGGTCCAGCGCTGCTCGTTATTTTGGTTAGTAACATTATTGCCTCATAAGATATCTGAAATGGGCTGTGATGTTATTCTCAAAGTTCTAGACCTTTGATCAAGAAGGGCTAGGTCTTAAGAGTTCCAAAATTAAACATTTTCATTTGTTTGCCTACAAGGTAAAGCTATATTCAGCATCAAATTACGCTTCGCTGGATCGACTCTTCGCGTGATTTGGAACTGCCAAGATAGTTTTAAGAGAAAGTCTAAGATATTGCTGGGTGTTTGGAAGTTTTGGAACTCATAAGTTTTATTTCATTTTATTTATTTCTTACGACTGTCATCCTGTCGTTGTTTTTGCAATCCGAACCATGTTGAAGGAATAAAAAAATTGAAACCTTTCCTTATTATTCCACATGATAATTAAAGTACCACGCTACACCATTTTGCTCAACCTATCCTAAATGCAACATAGGCGAACTTATTGAGGGAGGGAATGGGGAAAGTCCAAGGTTCTTAAGCAACGCCATTTTGAACAACTTTAAGACTGCCTTATAAAAGGAAATCCAAGACTTTTTTTGGATTGTGGATTCCACACTGTGGTTTCTGCAGATTCCTTGTCAGTGGAACTTGTATTCTAGATTCCAATCCTTTGCAGGATTCCGGGTGCCTTGAGCCAAATCCCGGATTCCAAAACCTGGGATTCGCGATTAGACAAGCAAAGATTTTCCCGCATTTGGGAATCCGTATTAACTTACATTGGGCGATTAAGCTCAGGAGCGTGAGAATGTATATTCACTAATTTTTCTGTTCTTTTATACAGATCAATGCATTCGTGTTTATCTTAGTGATGTATCGAATGATGGGAACAAAATTTATACAAGACAAGACACAGATTGAAAAAGTGAAAGCTGGGATCAAAGCCTCGGTGGTAATACTTCCTTTACTCGGACTCACGTGGCTATTTGGACTCCTGGGTTTCAGTTTAGATACCATAGCATTCAAGTACATATTTGCTGTCTTTAATTCACTTCAGGGACTAATGATCTTCATATTCCACTGCGCTCTGAACAAAGAGGTGAGGAAAGACTGCGTTTTGTTTTTGTTTTGTTTTGTTTTTGTTTTTGTTTTTGTTTTTTTTGCAAATTACGGTTAGCGCCTTTGTTAATTAAAGCTCGATGGAATTACCAAATTAGAGTATGAAAAGAAAAACGAAACGATTTCTGGCAGTATTAATAAATTTAACACCATAATCGTGCAAATGGCCTATTAGTCCTATTAGTGAGATTACATTGGAACAGTTGAAATCTGAATCAACTCAGAAGTATGTCTCTCATGCTAAACATATAGGAAGACATTTACATCAGTGCAATATTCTTTAAAATATTCTGATACAAGGTTTTAGTCCACTCAATTTAGTCCACTCAATTTACTCAATTTCCTGGATGATTCCGTCTGATTAAAAAAAAATCCTATATAACTATGACTGGTGTGTTGAAATAAAGATCTGCAGGTACCCTTATCTGCTTAAGAGAGCTAGTAACAAACGCGCCAAATTTATGTTTTTATGCGACCTGTGCTCAATTTGATAACACTTCAACAAGTGAAATCTGCAAATGTAGCTGTTGTTTTTAGACTAAAACAACAGCTACACTTGTGAATTACACTTGTAAACGTTGTATGAAATTGACCCCGGTTCGATCCCGCCGCACCATTTCTGAAAGACTTTTGAAGGATATGTAAAGTTTTTTTTTTTTTTAAATATATTTTCAGATGAAGACAAGATGGTTTTGATCTCTACTGCATGTTAACTAAATCCTAATATTAAAGCAAAATAACCTGACGACTATTAATAATGCTTTTTCTATACCCAGATACGGGACGCTATAAAACGCAAACGAGCTAGATGCAATACAGGATTTTCATCCGGGACTTTGAAAACCCGAGCCTCTCCTTCCATGATGCGAAGCGATCTTGCTGTTAATCAACTAGGTAAGTTAATTTTAACAATGTTCGCTACATTTTAAAATGTTGAGTTATAGGTCAGGAGCTGATTACTAGGTTCAGTCGCAGGTAGACACTTATTTAGACAAAATGACGACAACCAAATCCTGCGGTTTTATCCAAGCCAAAAATATAAATGTTAATAGCAAAACGGCAAAGACAAAGGCGACTTGAAGTTTCCCGATATTTCGGACGGAAAAGCCGTCCTTTTGTTGTCGCTTTAAAAAGACAGCATAAGAACAACAAGATTTATATAAGCAACTGATTTTTTTTTCAGGCTTCTTCTTTCCAGTTGCTTAAATTGGAAAATTTACTGCGATGATCATTCTTCACTCTCATCTACAACCGCAGTTCAAAAATGAATTATTCCATATACTTTACATCAAAGCAAGAAGAGTTGTATCAAAACAAGGTCAACTCCAGACTCTTTTCCACCTATATAACTTTTAAATGACTCGAGAACAGTAGTTGTTCAATGAGTTGTAATTTTCTTGCTTTGTCACCACCAGCACTGAAGAATCGACCAAACAGAGCTCAGAGCATCGACAGTTTGTCATTGGCGAACTCAACACCTGAGCAGTCACCAAAAACATCAAGACTTATGCTGTCAGCGAAAGCTAAGAAGATCACTCCTTCATCATCAGCTAACGTAACACCTGACCAGTCCCCTAAGACATCAGTTCATCGGCTAACAGCGCATTGTAAGAACACTATGCTAATTACTTGGATATATAGTATTCATTATGTCGGTATCGGGGTCGGACGTGTTCATTAGCGCTAGTCCAAATTGCAACGCTAAATGCCAACATGGCCACTCAGGATCAAATTTAGAAGCTTTTAAGGGGAGAAACAGACAAAATTTATTTAAAGTTCGATAAAAAAGATTGACATGTATGATGTTGTTGGCTAAATATAACGAACGTGAGCAATCACTTCTTGAACAAATCTCCATCCCCAATGCCACCTTACAGGATTCACATCGTTGACCTGCATTACTATCACGTGACGTGCACAGCGTTTGCACTGTAACCAACATGGGCATGAAAAGAGTACAACGTTGAAAATAACTGAAATGGTATTTTTATTGTTATTATTTTCCTTTTTATAAAGATGATGACGTAACATCTGTTGATGTTAACTTGGTCATGATCGTAACCCAACCGAAGAGCTCTGAAAGAAAACAGACACAACGAAAACGTTCCATGAGAAGTTTCGGGAAAAAGAGGCAGACGAGTACAAAAACAAAAACCAGCCATGAACCCTTAAAAACGCTGGAGGGAAGTGATAAGGGAGTAGAAGATAACGAGAATGGCATACCAAGCATCATTGAAAGACTATCTGCCCAGGGAAATAGAGGAAGTTTAGAAACATCTGCCCCTGACGATGGAATGTTAAACCAACTCTACGGCAAAGTAGGCGAAGAATACGATTGCCATTCTGACGAGCATTTTGCTAAAGAAAACAACGCTTGCAGATCTTTTAAGCCGTTTGGGGCGGAGAAAGAGACAAAGGAAAGTGAAGGAGAGATCTTACAGCAGCAAAGAGAGGATATAGAATTAACAGTGAAAGAAGGGGTGAGAAAGACATCCCATGAATCTTCTTTTAGTAAAGAACCAAACAAAGGAACAGAATGTGGTCTTATTAACCCAGCTTGCGAAGAAAACTCATCCGATTCTTCGCCAAACTCTGAGACTGGAGAGGAAACAACGTCAAAAGACGTCCAGCCATTAAGCAGCCCAGGGAAACCGAAAAAGGGAAAGAAAGCTAAGGTACATTTGTGTTTTAACATCCTGTTGATCGATCGATTCTTTGAAGAGTCTGGCAAAATAACAAGAAAGAAAAATTGAGTTCTTAAACAAATGTTTTACAGCTGTTTTTACAGAAAAAATGTCAGTAGCAAAGAAATCTTGTCAAATTTTTCTCATTGAACGGAGGAGAAATTAAAATTTTGGTCCCTTAAAAGGGGTTCATTTTACAGCGATTTCCTAGCAATTGTCCGTCGGAGATCTGTTAACTGGCCACTAAATAACGGGGTTTATTCAGGCCTTATAATTAGTAATCACTTCTGTCGTAGTTATACCTAAGGAGCAGTGCAGCTCCCTCGCTCAATTTTACGGGGCATTCCACCGCAACAAAAGGCTATGACGTCATCAGCATTAATATTTCCACTTAAAATTGGAGATTCCACCTTAACAAGAGGCATAAAACATCCCTACAATACTACTCACGGCCTAAACTTGTCCAAAAGGCAAAAACAAAGGTTTGATAGTTTTACACTTAAAATAAATTGTGTGAGAAGAAGATTGTAATTGTTGAATATTTTAATCCTCAGAAACCGGAACAAGGACAGGTTAACCAAGGCGTAGAAGGCGACGAGGATTTCGAGGTCAGACAAATTAATTTTTTACTCGATCGTTATTGTTAATGATATATGAAATAAATCTGTGACGATCATTTCTTCATTTTGATTCGTCCGTTATTGTTATACATGTAATTACTTTGAAACTTCTCTTTTCCGTTACAGCCTACAGCAAAGACATGGGACAAAATTCGTCGAAAAATAAGTGGTAACAGCTCTAAGGGGACTCGGCATGAAGTGTTATCAGATGAAACTTCTGAAAATGAAGACGAGCATATGGAAAACAATACGTCTTTGTAAATTGACACCGGTGAGCTTCCTTGACAACGGCGGCTCCAGGCGATAGATGGCTCTCGTGGATGTTTCTTCTCGATCAATTTCCACGTTAGAAAAACGATTTGTGCAAGAACTGTGTGAGAACTGTAATCGAAACGTCCCAGCACAGGTAGCCCAAGCTCACTATGAGAGCCTTGAACAACATTATCCTATTTAGCCAATTAATTATTCATACAGCAGGAAAATTATAAGACGTTGTATGGAGAAATATTCTTTGCTCACTAAATTAGCAAAATGAACATTGAATATCGCTTTGAAGCTTACCTTTAGCGTCTTCTTGTTTTTCTTTGTATTCTGACTGCATTTCAGACCTCCTAGGCACTGTTTAAGGCCTTTTTTTGAGCGACAGTTTCTCACCCAGATGATCTTAAACAGTGCCTAGGAGGTCCGAAATGCAGTCAGAATACAAAGAAAAACAAGAAGACGCTAAAGGTAAGCTTCAAAGCGATATTCAATGTACATTTTGCTAATTTAGTGAGCAAAGAATATTTCTCCATACAACGTCTTATAATTTTCTTTCTGTATGAATAATTAATTAGCTAAGTAGGATAATGTTGTTCAGGGCTCTCATAGTGAGCTTGGGCTACCTGTGGTCCCAGTTGTAGAATAGAATGGAATAGAATAATTCTTTATTTAAACACGGTAAAATTCATCAGGAGTATAAAAAAAGTTTTTCAAATAAACCTAACTACCCTAAACAAGATGTAAAACTGTCTACATTTAACCTAACTAAGACCTGTTTTTCATGAATGCCGTGTACACAGTACTTTAAAAATCAGAAATTTAGATGAGCCAATCGATTAAATTAAAGATTTAGCCTCTCTCATATCCCAGGGCAGACTGTTCCAGAGAACTGCTGGAGCAGGACCGAAACGTCCCAGTTGTAAAGCCAACTCGCCATTTATTGTTCATTGAGACTGGGTCAGTGGTGTTAAGTTACACTGGTCCAAAACTTTGGAATTCTTTATCTATTGATGTTAAGAAAATCAAGCCGTTTTCCAGTTTTCGTAAATATATCAAGAATTCTGTGATTCATAGTTATAATACTATTATTGATTCCTAATGTTTTACCATTATATTATCTTAACTACTATTTCATCAGTGAAGTAATACTTTTTATCTAAAACAACTATTTTGTATCTATATTTCTTTTACTCATATTCTTGTTTGGGTCACCTACTGGGTTAGTTCCACGAACTATTTAGGTGTCCCAAACTCTGCACAATGAACCTACAATGGAAATTCTCTTTCACTTCACAATCTCTCGATTTTATATTTTAAAGCACTAATTTGTATTAATTATAATTATTCTGTGTGAGTTTAAATAAAAATTGACTTGACTTGACTTGACTTAACTTAACATTCGCGGGTGGTAGCTTGCGGCTGCCAACTTTGTTTTTATTCATCCCCCTACATTATTTTAGCTGAGAAATTGTCTTCAAAATTACGTTTTTTTGAAATAGAATTCGATGGTTAATAAGCAAACGTGGGATTGTGATGTTTTAGGGTGCAAAAAATCCTTGCCGTAAATCACTTACCTCTGGAGGGTGGTCTAGCCGTACAAACGTGGACCTCAAACCGAAAAGCTGACGGCAAGGCCCAGGTCACATGACTTCTTAACATTCGCGGTTCGCGGGAAATGTAGTCTGCTACACAGCCGTTATTGGTGTCGTCACCCAACGGCTGTGTAGCAGACTACGGGAAATGCCGAAAACCTCAATCTGAAGCTCTCTATTGTACTACAAGTCTGTTTTGAAAGACAAATTTTGCCCCAGTTTTTTTAGCAACTTGTAACAGACAGCGCGAGGTTATCGAGACGCCGACTTCACAGCCCTGCTTTCAATTTGATTCTGTGTAGTCAATTTATTGTCAATTATGAAACAAGAAATTAAAAACCTTCAAACTGACCAATACCCCATTTCTGACTTGCCCCAAGACTCTGTTCAATGTGAAGCTAAGCTTGAACCTATCGATATGTAAGTGATTTTTTTTTTATCAACAAGCAAACAAACTCATTTTCACAAGCAAGTTTTAGCACTTAGCCTCGTTTGGGAAGTAAGAGTTTTTGGGACTTGGAAATGGCGGTAATGGAGGTAAAACAAACACTTGGAACTACAGATCGAAACGTCAGCTTTTGAATCTTTATGCCATGGGCAATATACCTCACCAACTGTGTTGATAAAATCAAAATATATTAAACAGACCAACAAATTTTACTAAAGCGTAGTGTATTTTGCTTACCACCTTCACTTATCATATTTAATGAACGCAGCAATGTTTACAAAATGCTATGATTTCCCCATCTGAATAATGTTCATAAATTAAATTTTTTATCAATAATGTACGGAATAGACCTTTTTAGCTTGCATGTTTTGAATCCCCTTTTCAGACCACGTGAAGGTACCCAAGGGAACTATTTGTTTCACATATCGTTTGATGCACGTGCAACCACGAGCATCTGTATGAAACTTTGTGAAGACAAAAGGTAAATTCGCTGGAGAACATCACGCGGTCTGAATTGAAAATACGAAACATACAAGCTTAAAAGGTCTTATTAAGCAGCAAATAAATGTTGTACAAGGTCAACATTGTCCCATTCTAATTATTCACCTTGGGTGTTCTAAGTACAATCTCCACAATACTACATCTAAAATTTATACTCATGTATTATGAAACAATTAATCTCACAAAGTTAAGTTATGTTAGTTTTTGGGCAATGGTGCTGTGTTTGTCTGTCTTCTAATTGTTGTTGTTTTCAGTATGGTGTTCAACAGTTGTGAAAACTGAGCACGAATGTTTGTGAGATTAGCGTTCATGCTTTTGCGAGTGTCCTGGGGCCGAATTCTTTAGGCCTTCCAAACCTTCACATTGCTTGGAACTAGGGTTAGGGGCTCAGGTATTACCCCATCTACAAAACTTTGTAACGAAAACATACTTAAGGCACCTCGAATATTGCGAAAGGTTTAAATTACAACCCCTGTCATTCTTGACTATCTAAAGTACATAACAAATCGCAATTTTTTTTTTTTTTTTTTGGTAAAATGCTGAAAATTAAATTGTGCCACTTGAAGAAGTCTGTATTGAATGGTCCACCATTTCGTGCACTCAAACTAAAACGTTAAGACTGAAGTACGTGTAGTCATGACCGACTGTGGGAGCGAAACTCAAGATGACAAAATACGACCGCCCGTACAGATTCTGAATGGCATACGTGCACATTCAAAACCGGACCAAACGTTTTTCATGGCTAAAAGCCCCATTCACACCAAAGCTTTTTAAAAGCAGTTTAGTTAAACAAGGTTTGAAAAAATTCCCTTCATAAAAGCTGCTTACTGACTAAGTCGATTGCAAATTACAAAACATGTTGAATTTCTTTTAAATCCTGTGTAAAAACCTGTGTCCTAGTTTTTTATGTCTGTTTTTCATATTTTTAAACCTGGTTTAATCAAACATGTTTAGGTGGTGTGAATGGGGCATAAACTGGTTTGTTTTTAGAGAGGAGTGACCGTTCTGCTACATCTTGCACACTCTGTGTGCAAGCACAATTTCTGAGCAAAAAATCTGAAAGATCTAGAAACGACTGTGCGCACTTTCTGAATATAATGTTGAATTTAAGAACAAACAATTAACAACACGATTGCGGGCTCAAAGTTATTGAACGGGCTAGGCCTGTGGTTATTTGTTTAGGAACCTCGAGTCCCTCTCAGGGACGATAGAGCAAACGACCGAAACATGCAAGAGGGCGGGAAATCGCCTCCAAGGAGGTGACACTATTTACGAGGTGGAATTTTGCTCACTTGACTACCTCTGAGAAAAACAAAAATAATAACAAATCACTAGTAATTTGTCACTGAGTTTTGTCAAGGGAAAAGAACGCTAGCAAAACACGCGAGCACGCAGAAAATCACCTCCCGCGAGAATAAGCTATTTGCAGGATGGAATTTCCCGGGCGCTGGCGCCTTTCACTTGTTGTACTACTTTCGAAAAACAGGCTACCATTAGTCTTCCGCACCAATTAAACAAAACGAATGTTCTACTCTTCATTAGCAATAGAATGTGTTTGTCTGCCACTAGGTGGTGAGTTATACTCCACTGTGAATTTCGCCATCTCACTGCTGCATTCACTAATAGGAATGACAAAAACAGAAATATCATCGTAGGATGCCAACTCGCCATTAACTCGTCTCCAGCCCTTCTCTGATAGTGTCCCGCGCGCTTCCCCGACTAGGACTTGGGCTGCCATGACGTACCTATAGAGATAGGAGGAAAATGATTCAAAACCTGTCTAGGCGAAACCCGACGGCAGAGGCGGATCCAAGGGAGGGGCCCCGCCCCTCCCCCCTATATTCAGACCAAACTTTGGAGACTGCCCCCTTCCCTCCTCCCCCCATTATGTCAAGGTCTGGACCCCGCACTGAACGGTATTTAAAAATAATGATAATATAGCCAAAAGAGAACACGGCACTATAAAAGTCAGAATAGGCCAACACGCGGGGGGGTAGGGGGGAGACTTACATTCAGTAGCATGAGGCACCACGAAGTATTAGTCATACACGGTAAGAAGAAATGAAGAAATGACGGTTTTCAATATTTACAGAAACTTTCCCAATGTTCGAAAGCAAAGGAACGTCTAGACTTCAGTCCTGGTCGAAATGTTTCAGAGAGAATTCCGTGTTCATCTTCGATTCCAGTTTAGAGCTTTCGCTTTTTTTACCATTTTAAATACTGTAAACAGGTTGGTAAACAACTAAAAATTTGAAGCAAAGTTTCTTGTCAACATGTATAGAGCTCGAATACGACGGGTCTAGAGATCCCAAATCCGGCGAGATGTCCAGTTAATAACAACGTTTTTGGTCTAAGAACTGCGCCCAGTAACAAACATGTCCACGGCTTTCTCAGAGGGAAAAAGAACGCTATCATCCACTTTCGTTTTAACTTACCTTCTTTTATCGTCCTTAGGGACCTTTGAAAATGTCTCCATAACTAATTCAGCAGCCTGAAAAGAATCAGGAAAAAAAATTAAAAAGTACATTGTAGCCACGTCCTTTTATTTTCACAAAGCAAATTGAAGCATTTCAATTGTCCTCAGAAAATCAACAGACGAACCTTTTCACTAGATAACCTCTCCCATAATCCATCAGAGGCCATTATGATGACGTCATCTTCGGTGAGCTTACTACTCGACAAGTCAAATTTTCGAACCTAAGGCAGATGAGGAAGACCACAAACACATTACGGAAAACAACTCTTCTTTAACACGTAAGCTAAGCCTTATAAAAAAAATGATAATTGGAGAAAAAAGAAAATGGAGACCTTGAGATTCGAGGACGAGGACGACTACGAGTACGAGATTTGATCTGAAGTTTTTTGGCGTTTTCTCAAAATATAGACTTTCCTGAAAGCTTCACTTCACCATTTTTCACCAGAAACGTTAGCATTGTTATCTTCAGTGAAGGAGGTTTACGCGCTCTCCCAATCGCAAAATGATAAAACTTCTAGCATTTGATATCTAATCTTATTTTCGCCACCACGACATTCGCGCGAAAACTCGTAGTAGAATGACGACGGCTACCACGTTTTCCCGCCAAAATGACGCTGGTTCACGCGCGTGCACTTCTTAGTATTGAAAAAGTCTCGAACTCGTAGTCGTACTCGTCTAGCCTAGTCCTTAGGCGAACTCTCTTACTCGGCTCGATCTGCTCGGCGGTAAGGAAACCGCGCGAAAGTAGTTTTTATTTTTAACCGAACTGGAAGTAATATTTAAATGATGACTCACCTCCGGTTGTGGAGTAAGGAATGGTTTGATTGGAAGACTGCAAAAAGCAACTTTCAGATCATGGTCTCCAAATCCACGGGTCGTTCCAATAGTGTCCAACAAACGCGCCTAGCAAACAAAACAAATCAGATTAATTTCAACTAGCCTTTAAAGTTTGCAGTAATTTTCAAACGATTTTCAGTCACATTTTTGAAGCCCTAACCTGGGAATTATCAAACAAATGCAAGGCCCCCAAGGCTCCCCCTAGCTAACCAAACTTTAAGCAATGAATAGTTTGGCACTGATTGTAACTTACACTTTGCTTATGGTCCCCTCGATTCCCGATAAAACAGTCTATTTACTACTCTAAGTCCCCAGCCGCCTGGGCCGGAGTCACGCAATGCCCCCCGCCCCCAGCGTCGGGGAGCATTGCGTGACTCCAGCACGAGCGGCTGCGAAGGAGACTGCGAGAGAACTCAACTAATCATTAGCTTTAATTACCAATTTTCATACTGTGAACAGACCAATTTTCTTATGAAAATATTCAACAGCCAATATGTGTGACGCATACTATTACAGATAATTAAAAAATCACGCTACCACAAAAAGTTTTCAAAAGTTGTAAAATGCTAAATTTGTGTTGAACCACAGGCAATGTTTACAAACAAAACTGGAAAGGCACAACAACAAATCCGTACTTTTTGGAACGTTTTGTGTTAAACTGCTAGCAATGTTTACAAGTAAAACTAGAAAGCACAACTTTCGGAAGGCCTGTCTCTGTCTACTACCACTTGTAGCTTTCCATTCTCAAGGCAGGTTGTTCCCAAGCCTTTTTCCACCGGCAACCTCGAATCTAAAAGAAAAAGCGCGATCTGCGACAGAGAACGAGACACAAGCGGTCAGATGAAGGAATCCAAGGCGAACTCGATCGCGCAGATTTTGCCCCAAGACGACCTACTCTGCCTCTCTGCACTTTATATTGCCAAAGAGAACTGGCTAAGAGCAAAGCTACTAAACATTCCTTCTACAAGATGATATTTCACGCACGGGCGAGAAACGTCACTGTTACAGCTGTACCTTCTTTCCTTCCCCATGAATCATAGGAAATTTTCGAGCATCTTCCTCCGTAACTGTCTTTAAAGCCCTGCCAACAATACAAGTGCTTGTTAGTTGTTTAAAGGTTTACATCCAGCTTACAAGAGCAATGATGTTCGGTCTACAGAGAAATGACAATGCAAAGCGCGGAAAAATATCAGTTTTATTCATATCAATAATCATCGTAAAGAATATAAACCCAGAATTATACGCAGGCTGCTTCTATTTGATTGTCGAGCTGAATGTATCGCAACGAAAAAGGGTACTCAGCCCAAAATCAAGTCAAAAACAAAACAAAACAAACAACAACAACAGCAACAACAATATGGATGTACAGTACTTGGTAACAATTGATACAACTGACTTTTTCATGCTCTTAGAAACATCCCGTTGGAGGCCATTCTATCAAAATACTGAGGAAGAAGAAATGTGCCAAATTGCGTGATGCTCGTCATGTAGATTTTTTGTTGTTGTTGACGGTCTTGTCGTCGTCAACGTCGTCTTTGATATAGTTCCCTACTTTCGCGCGGAGGAAAAAGGCAACCTTCCACTTCCACTTCGCCCAACAAAGTGCATGAGGCTAGAGCAGGAAGTAGAGTACAATAATTTCGCCGCGCTCTTTATAAAAGAAGATCATTTTCTAAGCGACAATTTTCATGGTGATGTCAAAATAGTTACCGAGTCTCTATAAAAAATCCGACAGCTACCGTGACAACGCAAAACAAGAATGCTAAGCACTGCAAGGGATCTGTCAACAAGGCAACTGCTCCGATTGCTATGATAAGAGGGATTTCCTGCGCATGCCCTAACATTCTGATGTCGCTGAACGTAAAGCTAAACGCCGCATAAACACCAGGCCCGGTTCCTGAAAGGCCGATTTGCGCTAATCCAGAATTACAATTTTGATGCACTTTTGGATTTTACCTTCCTATGTATTGCTTCGAGTAACTTTTTGTGTAATCATCACCTTATCTCGGAGTAATGGCTCAACAGTATTTGTAAGCTCGAGTTGCAAAACCTTGCTTGAAATTTTGCTCAATCTTGGGTTAAACTTAACCATCTTTCGAGGAACTGGGCCCTGGCTCTTGTTGTTAACCTTATTTAAACTCAGTGAAGTTGACTTTCCTAAAAGAGCGTAAATCAACTTAACGTACCATCCTGTCATATGTCGGTCTCTGTAAAGAAGCTGCTGTCCAACGTGTTTTTTCCTTACTCTCTGTTGAAACTCGAGTCTACCAAAGTCGTTACCTAGAAGCTGTGGCCGCTGATAAGCCTACAAAAGAGCATCGGAAAGAAAACCAAGTTGACTAATGAGAGATTCAAACATCCATGTTATCTTAACTTCATCCCGCCAAAATACACGTTTTACTCAAATTCACAAACATTGAGGTAAGTATTGAAGGAACAAGCTCTGTTGAGCGATCCTACAGCTAAAACAGGTAACGACTTCATTTCGTTGCTATGATGACTGCGATGTCAACATAACACAGCTCATGACAAATTTTCATCTTTGTCTGATAAAGCATGGGTAATCGTGTTGTCACATAGATATTTGTTAATGGTAACGAGTTTTGTGCTCAAATTTGGGACACATTGGCCCTGAAAAATCCAATCGAGGTATCTTATTATCACAGAACAAGCTGTTAGTGCTTTGTACATTTAACTGTTACAGAATGATAGATTCAGACCCCCTTTGGTCTAACCTTTTGCAGCCAGCAGGCAACCACTTTCAGTCCGGTTACACTGCATTTATGGTAACTAGCTCGCGGAGGAGGCGTATGTGGTGGGTGCGAAAAGCAAATGCACGTGGCATGCATGTTTGGAAGGGGAGAGCGGCATGCGCACGTGGTTGGTACACGTGACAGGTAATTGAAATAAATAAAAAAATGCTGGTTACGAAAGGAATGAATCGAACGCTGTCTAATGCAAGAAGCGTGAAAACAACAAAAAAACAAACAAACAAACAAACAATCACATTTCTGCATTATGCACTTTTTGAAAGACAACAATAAACGTGATTCTTACAATAAGCTGAACTCTTTGTCTTTCTGTTTCAGGAGTGAAGTCTCTGGACAAAGGAATTACTTTTCCTTTATGAGCTACGACTGCCCTACAAGAGAAAAAAGTAAAAATTGAAAGCATTAATCAGTGCTCGACACTAATGTTTTTGGACACTAGGCATAAATTACTAGCCCACAAGGACAAGCCATTGGTCCAAGAAAAATGGCGGTTGTTCAAAACTTAAAAGTGTTTGCAGCCTGTACTGGGGGTTCAGAACTTTTACGACTCTTAATAGAGTCCAGACAGAAATTTTCTGTGTCTGGGACAAAAGGAGAATTCAGATTTGCTGACCTATCAGCACTACTGTTTGATTCTACACAAGTTCCTCCATATGAATCGCATAAAAGGATTTTTCTTCCAATTTCATTAAAAACTTCTTAACCGCTTATCGCACTCTATTTCTCTTCATGTTGTGTGTGATCCTTTAGTTTCAGTTTCAGTTTCAGTTCATTGTTTTGCCATAAGTTGTACTAAAGCAAGAAAAACTAATTATTTAAACTCTCATGGCTAGGAAGCCCAAGAGAAGCCACCGGGATTATAAGGAATGGGCTCCCTAATGTAAAATAGTAAAAACAAAATGTTATCATAATTACACATGGAAAAATCAATGACAGACCTACAGTAAATCTTAAAACATACAACAAAAATGACAAAAAAAAATGAAAATGAAAAGGAAAGGTAAAAAAAAGAAAAATGAATATTTATGATAACAGGAATGCTTTGAGCTTACAGCAATGAAACAAAATGAAAATCTGCATCAGCATCATTGGCCATTGAAGGGCGCTTTCTGGAAGGTAGTGTTTTTAAGAAAAAGCTCTTTCATTCTTGTGGTGAATGTGCACAAATAAATTCCAAGATGATGGACCCTCGATGGCTCTCACCCACCCAGGCCCAGGCCCCTATTTTATTGAGTGACGTGGAAACAAGGACGTAATTCCATTTCCAACATGGTATCCATGCTGTGACTGGAGTCAACTGTACAATATGGATAGCAAATACTTTGGCTTACATTTAAACTAACTATGGATGAAGTGTTTTAGAAAAAGAACTCTTCAAGTTATATGGCTGTAGAAGATGTATTTATTTATTCGTTAAACTAACCTGTCTAGGGGCTAGTTGGAGCACATTTTTACTAGCCCAGCATGAAGTTTTACTAGTCCTGGGCTAGTGGACTAGAGTTAGTGTCGAGCACTGATAATTATGGAAGTGAATGAGCCTCTTGTAACAGGGGACAGCTATTCGTTCTGAGTTGTTTTTCTTGAGTTATGTCAAAAAGTTATACAATGTAGTCAAGTTTAAGAGTTTCAGAAGATGCAATGTTAGAACTAGAACATCAAGTTCATTGAGTCGTTTACACATGATTAAATCATGTGTAATGTTTATTGATTTTGTGAATAAAGGGGTGGGTGGATAATCGGTGAGTGGGTGGATCGTGCAGCATAATTTATGATTGAAGTTTTGTCTGTGAGCCCAGATTATAGTGAAATTTACTCACTGACCTTTGATTATTACCAGTAGATATTAGGTCATAGCTTTGTTAGCATCAATTAGTCAATAAAAACCAATGCCCTTCATTCTTATCCTACCTGCAGTCCCCTGCATTAGCCACATATAATCTCTTTCCTAAAAACAGTGCTACCAAAGCTGCACAGCCTCCATCAATCCTGTAGGTCACTTTCTCTCTTCTTATCTGCTCATCCTGTGTACCAGAAAAAAATAATAATACCCATTAATTATTAATCTTTATTATATAAACACCAATGAAATACCAGCTGAGCTTTTGCAGACACAAAAACATGATATCTTCAAATGAGAAAATAACATTACATGTTATCTTCACACGTGAAATATCACTTTTGCTATGGCTACATAATAAATCACGCCTTTCACAGCAAACAACTATTTCAGTGAAATGGTTTGGTTTTTGTGTTGAAAAAAATTAATATTTCACTTGTTTGCTGCACTCGCTTGTGAAATATCTTGACTTTCAACACTTAAAGAGAAATTTTGTATTATGATCTCTGCGCAGCCAAAGTATGATCCCGCAGAAATATCAATTGTTTATTTTGAAACAAGCAGGTGAAGGCAGCAACATTACTGATTCATAAACAGTTGTCATCCTCTGTTTGCAACTCTATTCTTCTTCATCAAATTTTTAAAATTAGGCCAAATGAACGGACATCACAATGGCCAGAATGTGGCTACGGCCACTTGATGGGGGTGGCCACTTAACAGAGGTTAAATTTACAATGTCCTTTGCTACATTCTTAATTTATTTTAAGACTTTGATTACTCATTCAAAAGAGGGAGGCTGCTTTTAAATGGAAGTTCAATTGTGATTTTAATGCAATTCTTACAGTTCTAGACAGTCCTTCTGACAGGGTGCGGGAAAAAAATAAAAATTGTGCGCGATTTTGGGGGCAAATTGTGCGGGGAAAAACACCGATTGTGCGGGAATTGTGCGGGATTGCGCAATCTTTCGACCTACCAAATATTCCGTGATTGTGAGCAAGAGCTCCCTGAAAAATACACTGCCACGTACTGCATCGATTGCTCTTTCCAGTGATATAAGTTGACCAGACCTTTTTCAGTCTTAATTTATTTGAGGTATATTATAAATATAACGTGGATCAAAACTTAAGATGATGCAGTTAGTCTTGTTGTCTTACAGAGCTGCCAGAGTGCCTCCGAGACCAAAATCAAATCAGTTGAGCAATAAGAGTCATAAGATCCGCATCGAACACGTAACGCACGAACGCGAGTGTTGAGTTTGTAAATTGTAAAACCCAGTATCCCACGGAGCGCTGCATGACGACACAATACTCGATGTGTACGTGACTAGTGCCCAGGACAGCGCGAGCTATGGAAAGCGCCTTGTTGTTTTTATAAGCGCCCGAGCTGTTCGAGGAAAAAGCTATGGATTTTTCGTTTGTTTTGGAAGGTAAATAGCCTAAAAGTTTTCTAGAAATCTTGGAAATCAATAGGAATACCTGATTTAATTTAAATTTTCAGGAAATTTTTCAGTATTGTGCGGGATTTTGCCGATTGTGTGTGATTGTGCGGGTTAGACCGAATTGTGCGGTCCAGCACCCGCGCACCCTGTCAGAAGGCCTGTCTAGAGGAATAATATCTGAACGCTCATTGCTACACTGTACAGGTGACAGAGATTAAGTCAAACAAAATGAGAGACTGTTTACAGCACTCACTGGAACATGTACATTTTCTACTAATAAGACTACACACGTATAGTTACCCAAGAGTCACAGACAACCCACATGGCACAGACCTACCATTTCGAAGAAAGCTTCTTCCAAAACTCCAATAACAAGACTATCAATAGTAACTGATGACACAACAGCATCTGCTAGCTCTTCAGCCTTGGCAAGCTTGTCATCACTCTCATAGGCCAACAGTTCTTTGATTCCTTGTAGCTTTTCCATGATGTGAAAGTGCAGTTGGTTAACAGCCATCAGAGATGCCCCGCATCCTGCATGGCCATCAAATACACCAAAATAGGCATAGGGTATCTTTGTCTGAAAACAATCAAGCAAAAGCAATAAATCAATCAACTGACTATAACAACTTTATTTAACTCAAGAATTTGCTTCAAAAGGACTTTCATGTATGCAAATGAGAATGGCAATGTGTTTACCAGGACAGTACTAACTGGGGACACTATTTTTATGTCTCCTACTGGAGACGGGAAGGCCAATTATGTGGTCATCTGAGCCACACGAAGGTCTAGTCATTTGCAAGGCAATGGCAGTACTGCCATTTCTCAGTTATTTTAAGACCCTTAGTATTGTTCCGGCACCAGAAATTGGACGCGTGACCTCCCACTCTGCAGTAAAGCACTCTACTAACACAGTCAGAGCTAATCCTGCCATGGAAATAATGGAAATACAAAAAAGAGGCTCTCATTGGGGGTGAGGAGCTTTTTTTACAGATGTGTTCACTTTAGTACTTTTCCATCCTTAAGTACCTTATATGTCTTATCAAAATATTCATTCATTGCCTTGTCGCTTGTTAGAAACCTTAAGGCCATTGCAGGAGGTCAGAAGTGTTGCTTCAGAATCAGGTGGTAAATTTTACCGGTTACCACCTGATAAGGAAAACACTAGGTGAGGTGAGGAACTTTTAATCATAGTCTTTTAATTCCTGTCTTAATTGTACCTGACTAACACGAGTAGGACTTCCTTCATCATCAGCTTTACCAGATGATTTGCTAACATTTAAACAGAACATTCCAGCCACAGATTGGTCTTCATTCTTGTTTGGTGTTTTTCCCGCATTTATGGTTCTATAAAACAAAACGTTAAAAATCAAAACTGATAAATTAGAAATAATCATTCTAATAGATATATTAAACAGCAGTCAGGTAGATCTAGGAATGGCATTCAGGAATTTCTTAATGAAAAAAAAAAAATCAGTAACAACAAGTATTTACTTTTTAAGTGGTTATAGCACGTCAAACCACAGCTCCCCTTCTACCATTCTGGTTAGAATTTCTTATAACTACTGTAGTTCCAATGACATGTTTTTACTTAATAGCTGAGAGGTACACTTGTGTAACCCTAGCGATAAAAATCCCTTTCATTTGCTGCTAGACTACTAGAGGGCAAATGAAATGAAGTTTTCAGAAGTTTGTTTTCAAGGCCCCACATTCTTAATTTTAATTCCTTTAGTATAGAAGATCAGAATACCTCTAGTCAAGGTTTCTGATATTTTAGCGCCATCCCGCAGCCGTAAAATTCAGGTAAGTCCACAAAATCCCACGAAATTCACAAAAACATGCAAAATCCCATGTAATTCCCAAGAAATCTTATCAAATACCTGTTGATACAACATATTTGAAACTTATCTTGGCTATTGGGGATGTTTAAATGCCATTAGTTATTAGCAATAATTTAATATAATCATTGTTCCTGAAAAAAGCCTTTTTAGGGAGGTAACAATAAAGGTATGTAAGTATGTATATATGTATAAACTTGCAAATTTACCTTGAAACTTCTTCACCACAACAAGCAACTACTAGGCATAAATTATGTTGCAAAAAACTGGGCACTAGTCATGATGTTACAAGCTTTGCCATCACTTCACAAGTGCTTTGTTGTTAAAATAACATATGATTATCTTTCTAAAAAACATTACACACACTCTCACACTCATCAAATCAATGCAAAATCCCGCGGAATCGGCCATTTTTTGGGGGGGCCGTAACCTATTAGAATAGTCACAGCTCTTTTTGAGAGGTCACAGGTAAGTTATGCTTACAGTTTGTCACCAATTATATAAAAATGGGACCACTAAAAAGCAACAAAATACCACCCTCATACAGTAAAAGAAATGGTGAACAATCATTTATTGAAGGTAATGGTCCCAAAATTTACAAGACTGACTAAATACAAAGAACTTCGCTGAATTTGAACACTTTTGCATTTTACCGTGAAACCCTGAAAACATAAGTCAGTCTAGCTGTATATTTAAGCAATAAACTCATAGCTGCATATGAATAACGTCATGTTCAAAGCCTTTTTGAACGTACTTCCGGTCAACTATATACATGAGTAAGTTTATTCTATTGATTTTCCAAGTCATGTTAAACGTTGCTATCTAAGGGTTGCAAAAAAAACAATATTAAGGCATTCATTATTCAGAGAGCCAGGATCCGCGATCGACAAAAATTTTCCCCTTCACGACTGTGTTTATAGGTTGGGTAGGAAACAAATTTAATATCAATGAATTACGCTGAGATATTAAAAGACTGAAACTGGAAGTCTGCCTAACAGGAAACGAGCTGACGTCTGAAACAAATTCCTTTTTAATTTTAAAGGATCAATAGAAAACCTTTCAAAACTGATCATTACGTGTGATGATCAGATTAGCTAACTTACGTACGGTCGATTACAACAAACCAGCGAGATAGCAAAAGACAGAAATAAAGCTTTCCACAAAAGATATATTCAACTTACTCGGCGTATCCAGCGTTAAAAGGTAGTTCCCTGTGTGGAATAATAATCGGTCTTGACTCGTGATCCGATGCAGCTTGTTCAGATTCCTCGTTCAATTGAAGAAACTCGGGCCGTCTGTACGTGTATTTTTCTTCTAACATATCATCGTAAACTCGGAAACCCAGCCGCCTGTCTGAATTGACAGAGGCAAAGTAAGCAAACGCATTCGCCGGATTGATGTTTAGCATTCGTTTGAGGCCATTAAAGCTCATATTTTTCTAAAAGATCCCTAACTTCTTCCGCAAGGAAAAATAATTATAGAAGTTGCGATTAATTTAAACAGGTAACCGCTGGACAAGAAACCAGTGGTTGAAATCGCCTCGTTCTCGCGAAAGCGACCGTGGACGTGATAAAGGGGTGGGGGTTGGGCGTGGCAAGGGCAGGGAAGAGGTAAATGGAAATAACTAAGTCAACTAATGTAAACGCTGGCTAAGTTACGTCAGCGACGCAGGCTACAAAGTGAATGGAAAATAAGATTTCAAAAACTGACTCGACCAGTTCATGGCCAGGCAACAACCAGCCTATCTATAGCATCTAACAGGAAGATTCGGGCCAAGTTAGCCTGTTCCAAGCGTTCAGATAGTAGAGAGCGGTGCAGAGTAAAGAAAGCGATGAACCGCTCCCCACCATCTGAACGCCTGGAACAGGCTAGGGCCAAGTTCGCTGTTTCAGTTTTTTTTTCTTTCCTTTGAAAAAAATAGATCTCCCTTTGGACAGTGATTTTCACTGGCTCCATTAATTACGTGTTCATTTGAACGCTGTATGACATTTTGCATGGCAGGGAGACCGGACTTGGAGAAGACAAGGTAGGAACAGAAAACGGACGATCGAGACTCTTACTGGCCATGCATGGGTGGCTGGACTGGATTTACAAATTAATAAATGACGCCATGATTACATCGCTCTTAACGCTTGTTAATGCGCTGGCCAGCTTCTTGATTTTGGCAAACACCGTACTATTTTTAAAAGTATTTTGCGCTAAGATGGGAAATCTAATAGAAATCTTCCATTAATTCAACAGTATGACGTCAAAATGACGTCAAATTACGTCATTGTCTCAATCAAGTTTATTTACCGAGATGTTGGGGATGATATTGTTCTATGTAATTTTAATAATGAACATATCATGAGCCAGCCTACCGCCGTTCCAGACCATTACTCTCTTACAGCTCATTTATAACTAATTCCTTTAGAACTTATTAAAATTCACAAGTGCAGGGGCAGTGGGGATTCTTGGTGGGGTTGCATTAATTGTGCCGCTCGGTTCACCGAATCTTGACCCTATTTCAGACGAAAAAATGTCATTTTCCACACCCGTTTTTGGACGCTGACCTCTAAGATCCATACACGTTTTCAGACCTGGAGGTGGTCACAAAACGCAACATACGTACCTGACAGAAATTATATCATCATTGCTGAGACTAGAACGCCAACAAAAAGATTTCTTTCTTTCTCAATCATTTATAATTGAAGCAAAGAACACATTCATACACTACCGTCAGTTGTAAACCATACCCGATTCCAGACTGAAATGGGAAAAATCTATACCTGTTTTCAGATCAAAACGGCGCCAAAACCACACCCTTCGGTATGTACTTAATTTTTCCCGAATTTTGGTGGGTCGGTGTGGTAGTGCAGTGGTGAGATCCGAGAGATTGAGATACGAAAGTCCGCGTTCGAACCCTGGGTTGGGATTTTCTATCTTTTTAATAGAAACACTCAAAATTAGGTCAAAAATTTTTCAAGTGTCTTAGAAATGGCAGCGACCTTTAACGAAAGGGACAACTGCGGCGGCGCATACCTATCTGGCTTATATAAGGGAATGCCGTACCCCCCCCCTTCTTTTCGGGTCCAACTGGTCCTTGCAAGATTTGTTCGCTAATATATCACGAGGGGTTTTGAAGTTATAGAGTGGGTGCCTCCGAAGCCCTGCCGCAGGAAGCAAACACACCCGCGGTCTGAATTATGTTAAGGTCAAACTCGGGTCGTAAAGAATAATGGCATTAATTTCAATACATGCTGGATGGGTACTTAAAAGTGGCTTTTAATAGGTCATAGGGGGCTTATAAGCCAACGTTTACAGTATTCAACCATCCCCTTGAATAAATTTTAGGTGGACGACAGTCTTACCAAGCACTTTTACTTTCCGTTTTTTTTTCAACTTAGTACCTTCATTCGCCGAAAAGAGATGCTTATGCAAACAGCGAAGCTTAATCAGTGTCGATTAAAATGACCAGACTAGCTATATACTTCTTTTTTTTTTTGGTAACGATGATCCAGGTTTTGCATTTATAATTCAAAGAAACATGTTTTTAGTGATACAATGATGTCTCTCACTAAATTTTCTTCTTATTAGTCCAGATGCTCTTAATCCAACATTTGGTCTCTCCTCTGACCTTGGAATAGAGGCCTGTGTTAGTTAACACACAGGCGACCCGAGCTCACGTTGCAAGTGTGTTATGTTAGTTAACTTTCTCACAAGAGAGTCGATGTCGCGTTAAAAGCACCGTTGAGACTTTGCATGAGAAACAAAATACTGAGCAGTAAGCGAACACTAAATATTATTATTAATCAAAATATTTCCCCGTTTCTGATTGTTTAAAACCACACGCATAATTCACCATAACCAGCTGCTGTTGGCCAAATTTGGAAAGAATTTTGTCATATTGAACCGATGACGTCAGAATGACGTCAAAGGTGCAACCTTGTTGCAGGTTATTGAACGGTTGACCGTGAAAACCTGGGGACGAGGTTGAGTTGTTTTGGTAGTAAGAACAAGATGGCGAAACTGTCGTGGAAAATTTTACTCGGTTCACGGCAAAATATTGTCTAAAAACATTGCAAGAACAGAAGAAGATAACTCGACGGACAACATCTGCTATTTGGAATATGTTTGCTGACCTGAGCAGACTTTGATCTCCTAAAATCAGTCCCGATAAAGATGCATTATCTATATGCTTACATCGACCGAGGTTAGAATGTTTTAGCTTGTTTTTAAACTTGGAATTATTTTGAGGGAATAATAAAACAATTATTGAATTCGGCTTTCGTAGGATATGAAGAGTTCTGAGTTTTGAGGAGGGTCTAGGCGACCTCGGTAGGTAACACCCTCCTCAATTTGCAGATTTCTTCATATCCTACCCAGCCTCATTCAATAATTGCTGAGTTATTCTTGCTTATTTTTCTATAAAATAATAAAGGACACTTAAGTTTGATGTCATCCTGTACTTTTATTTTGGTGTAAATTCATCGATTTAGTCGATTTTTTTTTGGCTGTTATTGTTTGACCCCTGTCACTGTGACAGGGGTCAAATTCATGGTGTTACTAAAAACATACTCAGTAGACTCTGTATAGAAGCAATATATACATACATATATATTTTTAAATCCAGATCAAAGAGTAATCCCAGGTTGATGTCATTAAAGAATGCGAGCGAGTGAAGATTAGTGAAACCGTTTATTAATTAACGTGGCGCATTCTTCTTGATCCATAGTTCTAGTACCATTCCACTCTTAAAATTAATCGGGGATGATTTCGTGGTCGACACGAAAAGAAATGGGAAGCATTTCGGGATCGGGGTCATTTGCAGGGGTCGATTTGGGGGTCATTTTAGGGCTGGGGATCATTTCAGGGTCGGGATCATTTCGGCGGCTGTAGAGTCATTTTTAAATCGTAAAAGGCCCTTACTGAAAGGCTCGAGTTCGTATTACACGAAGCGGTCAACAACGTCAACCGTAACATAAAATATTATTCCTGTTTTTTATGGACAAATTTTAAAGGAAAAAGTATTACAGGTAACTTTCCCACACCTTCCATCTTCGAGTAAAGCCCTATGAAATTCTGAAAGGAAATGATTGTGAAGGTGCAGAAATGAAATCTTAAAAGTTCCCAAAAGCTCATCGACTTCTTGATTATTTTATTCCATCAATTAGGCCGTCGTTCCATTCTGTGATATTAGTTCTCTTTTGAGGATGTCTCTGGGTGAAGAATGAAACAGCAAATTAAACGAAAGACTCGCGCGTTCCACTTGTTAATTACTCCGTCTCCTTCCCTTTCAAACGCCTGAAACGCATGCGCAGGTTATTAATAGGCATGCGGGAAATGAAGCTTAGTTTGAAGTTCTTTGGGTCCTTATTATTCAGAGCCGCACGCATTAGACACCGCGAGAACAGCAGGCACGTTGACATTGTTTAAGAGCCGTTTAATGAGCTTAACGAATTCCCCTTTTTGTCGAGACGCGCGTACACAAATAGGTGTTCCATATGCAAAGCCTATAAAGGAATGAAGGAGACAACTCCTAAATACATAATTTTATCTTAAAGAAAACCACAACGGCTAGGAGGTTGAACGTTTGTGTAAGAACAATAAGAAACTCCAGTGGAATGAACTGTCCTCTGCTGGCCTAAAGAAAAGTAAAATGGTTAATTATTTAAAAAGAAATTGTATGCCTGTTAACTGAAATTTCTTGCTAAGCAAAGAGGGATTGGAAATTTTAAATGTCTTTTAAAGGAGGACCGACTGTACAAAATATTCTATGGCTTCATTTATTCAGTCATCCATCCATCCATCCATCCATCCATTAGTGCGTTCTTTCGTTCGTTCACTCATTCACTCATTTACTCACTCGTTGATTAGTCCAGAAACTATAATTAACCGCTTTTATGTGATTAGTACGACCCTGAGCATTCCACGCTAATGTCCAAAATGTCACACACAATCATCAGAGCACGGGATGTCCACTCTTATTATTAGCGAGATATGGATAACAAAACATCGGTGAACAATCTCGAAAACCATATCCTGTGCAAAGTGAGTCTCCTGGTCTGTTCTAATCGCTTATTATCCGACAGCAAAAGAAATGCACATTTTTTCTTTTCATAAAATAAAATAAACATTTGAATACATATCCGTTACCGCGCTGACAATTAACATTTCAAACCCTAATATCAAAATTGAGATTCCCATTTACTGTCCCTATGCTCTTTCAATAGAAGTAGTGAGGAGAATTTGTTGAAATATCAGTTAGACTCATTTGCCCTGATTCATGTACTCAATTTTCAAGACCACTCTGTTTTCTAAAGCATTGATATTATAAAAAGAAATTTCATGTTGATCGCTCTTAGGGCTTAAAAGGTTAAAAAGCAAACAGAAATTTCGAGGAAAAATGATCACGTGCACGTACATTTATTTCAAATGCATACCTGCCTTTGGAAGAAGATATGACGGATACTTTCTAAAATATCGACTTCACTGCTGAAGCCTTGAGCACGTTTTTGATGCAACGCGAGAAGGTAAGAATGAGAAGGTCAACCGCAATGGCAGCTACACGTCTGCTGTTAAGTACATAATATGACATTCACGTCTTTTTGGGTCAATTTCAAAGGATCATTTTATACTGGCAATCTCCCCTCAAGAGTCCGTCTTCAGGTGGCTGTAGAAAACGATTGTTCATATAGAGTTGAAGAAAATGAAACATTTGAACTCATCAAAATCTCATCGTCTCCTTGATCTCGTTCCATCGGTGAAGCCATCGGTTGTTTCCGTTATGTTAGTTTTCGTCTGCGGGGTTCTCTGGGTGAAGAATGAAACAACAAACGAACGACTCATCGCACTAGAATCTCGCCTTCACTGTTTTTCCTGCGTTAAGAGTGGCTCGACTGAAACTCTTGACAAGATGACTCCTTCGCCGACAAAAGATAGTGCAAAATATCATCACAAGAATATACGAACACCTATTTCAGAAGGGATCGACCATACGTACTCAGGTGAAGTAGTTTATCTTGTCCTGCGGCCGCTAAATGACCAGACATAAATTTAAAATTTTGTCTTTTCTTCCTTCCGGACAAACTTCTCGGAGCGGTTTCTTCCGGTTTATTTTTTATTTTTTTGGTAATGCACGTTAAATAAAAACCCCTATGGAAGAAAAATTACTCTGTGTAAATAACTCTGCATTGCTTTTTGACCAGTTTGCTATATTACAGTCAACTCTCTGGCTGAGATGAACACCTTTGGGACCAGGGGCACTCAACGACAGTTTTCTGCAAAATATCTGTTCGGAGAAGCAAAAATTGCCTAGAATTTTCTATGCCTTGAGGAAGGCTAAGAATTTCTAGATGACCTGTTCCATCCATGTACATTTTTCGAGGCTTATCTACTAATTCTCTAATAACGATTTTCTGAAGTTTCGCATTTCAGTATCCAGTAATAAGCTATTTTTCACAGAAAAAGGAAACCTAAAATTTTCGGATTCGAAAATGTGATGGAAAGAGGAATAGGAAAAATTCTTTCTTTTCGTAAAACTTTAAATTGCATCTAAAATGAAGCCCTAGCAATTTCGAAAAGACTCAAGTTGCCCTAAGATGACCGAACAGATATAAATTGTGTAGGGCCGATTAGAATGTATTTCTAAAGATCGAAAAGTACTTTAGATAGCCTAAAAAGTGTTTTGAATGCATTTAGGGGGAAACCGTCGTTGGGTGCCCCAGTGGGACCAACGCTAGGTGTCCGGCTTAGAGAGATATGATGTCCGCCTTATATAGAGTCAAATAAAGGGAATTTAAAAAAGACAGGGACCAACTCTAAGTTGCCGCGCTATACAGAGGTGTCCGTCAGTATAGAGGTGTCCGTCAGCATCGGAGGTGTCTGTCAAGAGGGAGCCGATTGTATGATCAGAAGACTTCTTATGCAAGAAAAAAGCAATTATAAGAGAGTCACGCTGTAAATGATAATTATTATACAACTTGTTAGTAGTAAGAAAATTCCTTTTCATTTCCCTTTCAAACGCGTGGCACGTATTGCACAGTTTACATTGATGAAAAAGGGGTGCTCACCATTTACACAGATTACCCAGGTGAAAATTTTCTGCATATTCATAATTAAGGGACGGGCCATTAGAAAACTGATGGGGGTGGGGGGCGAAGTACAAAAAATATATATTCGCGCAGGGAAAAATTAAATTCAAAATATTCATGCACGCCAAGTAACGCAAAAAATATTCATACAAGGGCCTAAAAAAACATACAAGGGAAATTTCATGCTGCTCGAAAATGCCCTACCCCCACCCCCACCCCCACAACTTTTCTAATGGTCCGTGGTGTTTAAAACTATAGATTTTGACGAGGTGGGAGATTCAACGACTCGCTGCAATGCATATCCAAAACACCTGAACAGACTAAAAAGAGTAGAAACATTATATGCCCATATTTTCTGAAGCTTCCCAAACGGAATGGCGCGAACCATTTGATTGTCGAACGGGAGTATCCTTTATTTTATTTTATTTTATTTTATTTATTTTATTTTATTTTTTCATGTTTTTCATGGTTTACTTTGAGGATTTTTCGTTTGTTCGAAAATTATAGTGTTTGTGGATGATTGGGATCAAAGGTCGCTGATGCGCGCTGGATCTATAACTGAATTAACTAAAGATTGACTACAAGGGATAAAGTTTCGGAAACTTTGTCTGCTCCATGAGGAGGACATAACTCGTCGAATGATCTGTCGTCTAAGAGAAATGAAAAAGTAGAGGAGAGGCAGCGATAACGTTTTTAATCCAGGAGGACATTTAAGTGAAAGAAATAATATTAGTAATAAAGTAAGAGAATCGATAGCCTCGTTTAGAGGTCTTTAGACGTTCCTTGTTTCCGGAGCACTGACGCAGACGGACGTCTATTCCCTGCACAAAAAAAAAAAAAAAAGGGTCATGTCATTAACGTCTACTCTGTGATGGTGTGCGTTTACTAACGCCCGTAAACCGAATGAACCGAATGAACCTGTTACATTCAAATATTCCAGTGATTCAACCAGTTATTATAATTTCTGAATGGTATTTTTTGAACTGCAGTCGTACCGTTATCAAGAATGGCATTTACAACCATCCGTCCAAGAAAACGAAGACACATCTTAAACGACACTTCAGTTAGCATCACAATACAGGACGTGAGAAAAGAAATCACAAAGCAGTTTGAACAACTTATGCCACTCAAGTACTGTAAGTCAAGTGAAAAGGTCTGTCCTGCAGGACCCCCCGGACTCCCTGGTACCACTGGGTCGAAGGGATCACGTGGCAGGAGGGGACTGAAAGGAAAGAAGGGCTCTCAAGGTCCCATGGGACCACCTGGAAAATCCGGAAAAACAGGAATGACGGGTCCTGCCGGACCGAGAGGAGAAAAGGGAGACAAGGGAGAACCTGGGCCAAAAGGCATGCCGGGACCACCTGGAAGGCCTGGAAAATCGATATCTGCACCACAAGTAATGTTGTCACCAGCAGAACAGACAAGGGATGAAGGAGGAGATACAACTTTTTATTGCACAGTTGGAGGAAATCCTTCCCCGGTGGTGGAATGGCGATTCATGGGAAGAAAGCTTGTGTCAGGTGCAAAGTATTTTATTAAACTGGGAGAGTTAGTCGTTAGAAATCTGAGCTACAGCGATGCTGGGCAGTACACGTGTCATGCCAGGAACATTCTTGGATCATCTGAGGCCACTGGTAACTTGTCTGTTCGAGGTAAGAGGTGCATAAAACATGTGAAGTTTGTTGTAATATCACGCTACTTGATTGTCTAATTTATACTGTATGCTCCATAATGTGCTTCAAAGGCGTGGATTAAGAAGTACCATTGTTTAACCTTGCAATTTATTCATTACCTTCTCTTTAATTTCATTCATGTATAAAATTTCCTTATTATTTCCTTGTTCATCGCCCAGAATTAGGCGACATGCACCCGAGACTTTTTCTTGCTTGTTTGCGCGAATAATAAGACCAACGCTTGAAGGGTAAGACTTACGAGATAGTGATGGTGATGATGATGATGATGATGATGATGATGATGATGATGATGATGATGATGAGTACTTACGTGGTTTTGTGTCTGGAAACCCCAGGCAAAATAACTATACACACCAAGTGTTCGAATCCCATATGTTGACTAAAGCATACTTAGGTTTTACTTTAAACCATCAGCAGACGACTAGCTTCGATTTCAGAACTAGATTGAAGAGACCACCTAACGTGAAGAAGTCTGTAATAGCTCAGGACTCAAAGCTAACCGTGGACATTTCTTATTCAAATGAGAAGCCTCTTTACCTGAGAATCCGCGCGCGTTCCTTCTGTTGTTATATGTCGGTTCAAGGTTTCAAGGTTTGTTTATAGTGGAAAGTACATTTCGCTTATCCAGCTACTTTAAAGGCACAGCGTTCAATAAATAATTAGAAACAACTAATCAAATAATTGTATATCAGTAACAGGATTAAAAAACTCAGCTAGCGCCGGTGGAAGGCAACCTACAGGATTTGCCATTTACAAGCGTCCCGGGGGATTTGAACTTGGGACGCGACCCGAGAACAAATCCTGCAAGGTTACAAACGGCATTCGAACCCGGCGCCGCCCGATTGCGAGTCCCTGACGCGGTGATCACTCGACTACGCATACGCTGCCAATTATTATTCGTATGATGTATTACCCCAGATTCTGAGCGGGTAATAATAGTTTTTCCTTAGTAATCTAACAGTGTTAGGAAGGATCCCTCGAGCATCTGTTTTCTTACTGAACATTTTCTCAAAACGTTCAGCTTTAAGTAACAGAATGGCTCAAAGGCTTCTCCTTAAATATCCATTAATTAATATTCCTTTCATATTTGTGTTTTTTTAGGAAAGATTAAAAATTGGTTTAATATCCGAAGTCTTAATATAAAGCCTTCCTTGCTGTTGCTTAAAACAAAATTAAATATAGCACGTATTAGTTACAACTATTTATAATCAAAAATTAAAATCAATGAATACAAGTGGAAATCCATGCTGTCTCCTTTTTTTTTAACCAATTTAATTTTTTTAAGTTGCAAAAAGGTATTATAATACACATACAGTGAGTACTGTATAAAGTGTATTCTCCGCCTCCCTTCCATTTGTTTTTTGTTTGTTTGTTCGTTTGTTTATTTGTGTTTTACTTAAGTATTGAAGCAGTACTGTGTAACGCATGTAAGTGGTATTCCGTTTCTTTTGTAATAAAGTTTGTTAGAATTTTGTTTTTAAACAGTGTTTTCACATGACGTCACGGCGGCCATATTGGTGTCCCAAACCAGTCCTGTGAGAGTTGAACTCTTTTCTTATGCACACGGTTTCTTTTGTTCCAATAAATTTGCATAGATGCTGGCCACGTGAGTGAAAACACTCTAAAAAAGCGTTTTAATTTTTTTAAGGTCATTAGTTCTGGGTGTGGAGATAGGGAAAGTGATGAGTGACAAGATTCTAAGGAAAGAAAAATAATTGCTTGCTATGTTTTTTTTCTTTCAATCACAATTTCCATTTTAGGTCTTCCAATCTTCACAACAGTTCCACCTTCACTGGCTTCACCGGCACAAGGTACTACATTTCAAGCAAAATGTCAAGCTGAAGGATATCCTCGTCCCGTAATAACCTGGAGTCGATCGGTGTTGCCTTTACCTGCTGAAAGAACTGAGGTTAATCCAGGTATGCTCACCATTAAGAACTTAAGCCTCGCTGACAGTGGTTTGTACGAGTGCGTAGCAACAAACATTATGGGAACAAAGAAGACAAGGATCAACGTGGTGGTGCAAAGTCGTTTACGTTCAGGTTTGCATTAAAGGGGTTTAGAGTTGATTCTCGGTGATGAGGCAGAACTAATTAATCATTAAACATGTATTAAACAAGTCCAACTTATTACGATTTTTGAACTCACGAAATGCCACCAGAGACCTTCGAAAGGCTGGCTATCCTTAGTTAAGATCTTGCAAACCGAGCTTTACGTTGTACCTTTATACTGGCTTGTTTTCTATGTTTGCAGGTATAGCGATTTTCTTTTTATTGACTTGAAGGGCACGTATATTTAACTTGAATTTTGTTTATGAGTTTTTTTTACTTTTTCTTCAACCAACTGCTCATGCTGTTAATATGTTTTATGTTTTAGTAGGGCAAATGCTATATTGAAAGATATAAGTTCGGAAGTTCAGATTTGATTCTGATCCTACTTGCTACATTGCCTCCCACCTTCTTGTATACTTGACCTTTTCCAATTTGTATTCCTAGTTATTTATGGAGAATTGATACCATCATTTTTTTCTAATTTAAATAAGCCCCCCTCCCCCCCTCAAATGCACTTGAAATAAATAAGCCCCCTGGGGGCTTACTTGAGGACGTACGGTATTTTTCTTTTTATGACACTTTGAGTTCACAAATCCTCTAGCAGGCTGCAGTATACATAAAATCGTGTGTTTACAATACTATAGTTACATGTTGTTCGTGCAAAGCTGTTTTATTTATTTATTTTTTTCGCTAATTAAATTATTTAATTTGTTTCTGTTTATATGTAAACTAGAAATACGTGAATCGCAGAACCTCGCGAAGCAGAGGTTAAGAAAAAGGAAAAGAAGGTGATAGGGAAAAGAAAACATATATATTAAAACAAGCAAACAAACAAAAAAGGAAACAAAACAAAACAACAACAACAACAAAGAAAGGAAAGAAGAAAGAAGTGGTGCTAAGAAGGATTCCAAACCCGCACCTTCGGCTCGACGCAACTTCACCTTAGCACTACACTACTAAGGATGATTACGAAATCTTTGGGAAAGTCTTTATTTAGCGCCTTTTCTATGGAAACTCCGCTGGCAAACGCAGTTTAAAGCTGATTGAGCCGTATTTAACTACAATTCAAAGGTGTATTTCAGGAAAATAACCGGGCTATTTACAGTTAAAAACCAATGTAAGGCAATGAAAGAACAGCCTAACAAAACCAATACAACTCGTCTGCGAAGTAGAACGCAAAACACAGGGGCACCCAACGAGGATATAGTTGAAAACCACTTAACATAGCATTGGTGAACGTATTTTAGTATTCAAACGGTAGATATAGGCATATTTTTATCCCCTAAAAACTTTTCATCTGTTCGGATTTCCTAGCTGAAAGTCTAGTGATCCGAAAATTATAGGGATAAAAACTTACCTTCTCGAAAATTTCAGCCAGGAAAAGGCTCCCGAAAATTCTAGGAAACGTTTTTTAGGGTCAAAATCCGTTAAAAATGGGTAATTATACCATTTTGTAGATGTTCGAAAATCCTAGAAGATGCAGGCAAGCAAGAAATTTTACAACAAATGCTCCGAAAATTCTAGATCTCAAATCGTCTTCCGAACAGATATTTTCCCGAAAATTGCCGTTGGGTGCCCCTGAAAACATATGTTTTCTTACCTCGATTTCTGCTGTTGCTTTGAAGCTAATGGTCCAAATCACATCCATTTTCTGTAAAAGGTACTTCTACGTAGGGAAATGTATTGCTCAAAGACTTTCGTGACCTCTTAAACGGCCGCTAAAGCAATCGGGCCAGGTTTATGGCGCTTTTGTTTACACGTTGTCTTGTTGTTTGCTTCGTTCGCCCAAATCGATAGAGAGATTTATGACCACAGCAAGATCACGCCTCGCTTAACGATTGTCGTGCGCCTTGCTTCGCGAGAATTAACGAGAGCTTTGCTTATATCCCTTATTTTGATGACCCCAGGGTTACATACTAAACATCTAGTTCAGCTATGCCCTCCCTGAGATTGTATGCAGATCATCTTATCCAGATCTACCTTATATTTAAACCTTTACGAGTTAGGACAAAGTACGAGCCATACGAAAAAACAAAAAACAACAACAACAAAAAAAAACAATATATATATATCTACCTGGAGCTATGAAAACCGGGTTAGCAAACATGTTGTAATTTTTCTCAACTTTCCCTGTCTAATAGCTTGTTTACTGTGTTGTTTGCTTATGTCTTTGTTTTTTGTTTTTTTGTTTTTTTGCTTGTTTTTTGGTTAGGGATTTGTGTAGAAGTGGAATTAGACAAAGTTACTATCTTATCCCCCCCCCCCGCCCCCGCCTCCGTATTTTTTTCCCTACCCATAATTCTTTCTTTTAACACAAGTGACAGTTATTTGAAATCAGCGCGCGCCTAGAGCTGGTTTCGGTGCCGTTTAGCAGTTTAGTTTTACATATTGGTTTCCTTGAGAAAAGTTTCTCGGAGAGCATCATGTAAAGCTCTGAGATGGGACAAAGTTATTACGATTCGCAGAGTCTGCATCGTCCAATATCGTATTGTATTCTCGTTTCATTTGGCTAAACGTATCAGTCACCCTGATCCGGGCTGAGGCGGAAAGGTACGATATTGTTCGCTTTTCTAAGATGACCACTAAGCCGGCGGATCTTGTTTACTGTGGGTAATGTCGACTGAGATATCGGTCGACATAGCGGTCGATATAGCGGTCGACAGTCGGTCGATATAGCGGTCAACAGTCGGTCGATAGTCGGTCGATAGTCGGTTGACAGTCGGTCGATAGTCGGTCGATAGTCGGTCGATAGTCGGTCGATGGTCAGTCGATAGTCGGTCGATAGTCGGTCGATAGTCGGTCGATAGTGAGATAGACTATCGGCCGAGTATCGGTCGATATTTCGTCGACGCACCTCGACTTACTATCGGTCATATGTCGGTGATATATCGGTCAACTGTCGGTGATATATCGGTCAACTGTCGGTGGTATATCAGTCAACTGTCGGTGGTATATCGGTGAACTGTCGGTGGTATATCGATCAACTGTCGGTGGTATATCGGTCAACTGTCGTTCGAATATTAGTCGAGTGTTAATTTATCAGGTGAGTCCTATGGCTTTTTTTTTAAGCAAAGACGTCATTAATTACTGTTATCATGTGATGGGGAACATGTGCCAGTGCAAGGCGCGATTACGCTATGAAGAGAACCGAAGAGCACTGGGAACTAAGGACATGATAACCTTTTTTTTTTCCAGTTTGTATCATCACCGATCGTCTGAGTTTTAGCTGTTAAACAGAACCTGTCTCAGCCTAAGTTGAATCTGCTGCTCCTGTGGTCCCGCAAAAATGTAGGAAAATGTAGGAAATGCTAAGTGTCGACCGACCATCGACCGAGTGTCGACCAATTACTGACCGACACATCGGTCAAGTATCGACCAACTATCGACCAAGTATCGGCGAAGTGTCGGCGAAATGTCGGCGAAATGTCGGCGAAAAGTCGGCGAAGTGTCGGTGAACGAAAAGCTATATCGGCCGAGACACATCTGGAACGACTATCGGCCGTGTCTCGACCGAGTGTCGACCCACTATCGACCGACTATCGACCGACTATCGACCGCTATATCGACCGACTGTCGACCGAGTGTCGACCGACTATCGACCGAGTGTCGACCGAGTATCGACCGACTGTCGATCGAGTGTCGACCGACTATCGACCGAGTGTCGACCGCTATATCGACCGCTATATCGACCGATATCTCGGTCGACATTACCCACAGTAAACAAGATCCCCGGCGGCCTCGGGAATAGGCTCTTAGGAGTCAAATGAATTAGGCGAGAGCAAAATTGCAGGTGAACTTTGATCCGGGCCAAGACGTCGTTTTTTTTCTGGTGTGAAAACAAGGCCAAGATGATCCGCCGACCGTGTGACTCTACATCCGGGTACTTGAATAAGACGAGTGTAAGAGAAAAGTCCAGAGGTGTTTATCTGGCAATAGGCTGAGTTTTTCCGAGTTATTCGATGATATTTCGCTTATGTTACAGTGAAACCGGTTGTGCGTTTGCGCGCCACTTTGCAATATTGTCACGCAATGTTGGTATTTTGATTGGCAGTTTGCTCCGAGCAAGTTGCCATTCAAATTTCAATTTGCTGCCTGAGCAAACGGTTTTTCATATTGGAATATTGTGAGTTGACTACGATGGCAAGCAACATTACCTCTGTTTCAAAGAGGGTAAAAGTAATTTCCCTCTGGTCGTCGGGCTATCGAAATAAAGAAATATGTTCAAGGCTTCATCTTTCACATCAAACCGTCTCCAATATCCTTTCAAAGTTCCTGCAAAATGGGACGGCGGCTCCGGGAAAACCAGGAATCACATGGTCGGCGGATCACCTTAGCCTTGTTTTCACACCAGAAAAAAACGACGTCTTGGCCCGGGTCAAAGTTCACCTGCAATTTTGCTCTCACCTAATTCATTTGACTCCTAAGAGCCTGTTCCCGAGGCCAAAGACTAAGTGGTCACCTTAGAAAAGCGAACAATATCGTACCTTTCTGTTTCAGCCCGGATCAGGATCAGAATATAATACGATATTGGACGATGCAGACTCTGTGAATCGTAATAACTTTGTCCCATCTCAGAGCTTTACATGATGCTCTCCGGGAAACTTTTCTCAAGGTGATCAATATATGAATCAATCAATCAATCAATCAATCAATCACTGAACGAAATGGATGAAAAACTTTATTCATGTGTCAAACGATCTAGCGTAAGGAAATCCATACAATAATTGGGGACACCTAGTTATCTCTACCACATAAACTTGTCTATAGCTGTTAGTATAACCTGCTTGATCTTGTTTGGCTTAACTGGTTCTTGTATTTTTGGCTACTAAAGTGGCAAATGTTTGCCAGGGGCTTCTTGATTAACAGGTTCTTATACGCAGGTGTTTACTGTATTAGAAATGTATGGAACATGGGCCTGCCTGTCATATCTCTGGGTGTAATAAGGCCCAAATTTTACTACCTCAGTCTCTTTTTTTATATATATACCGTTGGAAAGTCAACATAATTGATATTGACGTCTGAGCAATCAGTTGTAATCACTCCAATTTTAATTCTTGTCGATATTTGTTCAGATTTAGAAGACTCCGTTATTGTGGGAAACAGCATAAATTACTTGAGGATTTTAAGAAGCTGGCTGTCGCCTGTGGCACGAAGCGTGAAGTCTGCCTGGAAGCGCTGTTGGCATGCATCTGTGGACGGTTGGGCTGCAAGAACATTTCACTCACGATGTGATGGCAAGGGACCGACTGTAACAATAATAAGGGTTGGGAAATATATTTTCGGAGGATACACCAGTGTATCATGGGGTAAGTTGACATTGCAAAACGAATACACAATTTTAATACGAACGGCTACTAGCTTTGTTTTAAAAAACAAAGCTAGTAGCCGTTCGTAAATTTAAAGTCTTAAAAGACTTTAAATTTGATCCAGATCGTTACGATTATTTACTTCCGTTAAGATTACTTATCCTGACATAACATATGTAATGGTCTGTTCGGGATTGAAATTACAGGCTCTAAACAACAATTGTACCTGAGCAGGGGAAGGAAGCCTTTCGATAAAACGTCTGTATATGAAAATACTGCAAAATTGTTAAATTTTGGTTTTGAAATGTTTGTACTTGTCCTACAACTACAAAGTAACATAAACAAAACGTATCAGACTCAAATTCGTTTCAAAGAAGAAAACTTGTTTCCAGGTTTGTCTCTGGTGCCAATGCACTTGACGAGTGGTTTAATTTCCAAAGTAAGTATCAGAACAAACGGCGCTAATTACACTTGGTTCCATCTTTAATTTCTCTCTGATAGATTCCACCAGTGGGTTTAAGTACGACTCCAAAGCATTTTTGTTTTCACTGGTGAACAAACCAGGATGGGCACCTGTTAAACTGCCTCAGACAGGGAAATATAGTTCATACAGATATTCAATATTCTCTAGCTCATCGTATGGGCCTACATTCACCGGAGGAGGAGGTGACATTTACATTTCCAATTACGCGTCATCCAATAGCAATTCTCTCAGCAACCTTGGCTATACTTACAGCCCACCGAGCGGGTACAGCCAAGGCAGCACCTTCGCCCAAACATTCCTGGCAGGAACTTACAAGTTCACACCAGACGAAGTAGAAACTTTTTACGAAACAAATTGAAAAATAACAATGCACTTTTTGATATCGATTCCGTTAGTTGTCAATTTACTAGTCGTTTTTACAAAACCAGAAAAAGAGATGTAACACTCGAAAATATTCACCGGTAAAAAGTTGGTTATCATTATTGAGGCCCCATTATAACTTAAATACCAAATACATATCAAGTGATATAATGACGCGTCTAACTAACATTTCTTATGCTTTAAGAGTATTTACTTAAAATAGCACCATCCTCAAATAAACGCCGCACCCTTTCAACATTTGTCATTTATTGCCATTGTTTTACAAATTTAAAGGTCTCCAGAAAATCAGTTTGGAGAGTGACATGAACACATTTTTAGGTGGTTCTACAAGGAAATTTCTTTGGAGCACTCGAATTTCTTTAAAGTTAAAATCCTGTTCTCCAGGTTGGAATGATACAAACGGTTATTCTTTGAAACCAATTTCATGTTCTTAAAGCCGTTTCTTTGTAAGTGCAACCGATTTGTGCAAACTGTTAAACACAAATCCGGGACAAAATTTATCAGTTCTAAATTTTGCTTGCCAGGCCAAAACGCGGAACCGACAGATTACCCATGTAAATGACAAACAACCAGTTTCTCTTAGTTTTGGGACCGTTTCTCGAAAGTCGAAATAATAAACGGACCCGGAAAGCCGCTGTTGTTAACAGTCGTTCAAGATCAAACTTTCAGTAGTTTTGAAGATAACATAGCGTCAGTTAACGAAACAAAATGGACTCTCTTTGCCAGCTGGATCCGCGCTTATATTCTCAAGACTTTTTTAAATTAAAATTTGAGTAAATGAAAGTTGTCGGGACTTTCGAGAATTTCGAGAAACGGTGCCCCCTGATCGTTCTGTTCTTTGCCGAAGAACTGATCTTCCTATCTCCCGCCACCTCTCCCCTTTTCCCAGATCACGCGCTTTAAGGTGGCTCGCCTTGACTTTTTAGGGGGGATACCTCCTCCTCCTGAGTAAAGATATGGGAAAAAAGGTTACCTCAATTACATTATATAAAGATGAAAATTTCTTATGATCTCGGTTTTATTGCAATCTTAATCGCCACGGCAACGTAATGACGCCATTACGTTTTTTATTCATCTTTGTGTTTCTCTGTACTAGGAGTTTTTCATAAAAACAGTGAAATAGCATGCTATCCACACAATAAGCTAATATTTCAAGAAAATGACAAGTTTTGGAATATCGCGGCTTCATCTCATCGAGATTTGATTCCATTGAAAACTGCGTACAAGAAAACGAGGGGAATCGCTCTGGGCGGTCATAATATAAAGCACTACCTCATCTAGAATACTGCAGACCTTTGTTTGTAGGCATAGGTACGGGTCAACACAACCGTCTCGAAGATGGCAACTGTTATATTTTGAGAACATTAATCGGGCACAACAAGTCAATGTCATGCGATGAGCTGCTCACTACGGCTAGCATGACATCCTTATATTGTAGACGCTTACACCAGGGGTTAATACTTCTTTTTAAATGCTTAAATAGTACAGGACCTACTTATATTGAAAGCCTTTTTAAATACGGGCATACACCGTATAGGCTAAGAGGCGAGGGCTTGAATTTGTAATTGACTAACTTTAATCTTAAATTTAAGAAGAATTCTTTCACTTATTCATTAACTAAGCTATGGAACAGCTTGCCTCCTCAAGTGCGTCTTTCAAGTGATGCTAATGACGTCAGAAGTAAATTGCACGATTGCATATATTTATTGAGTTGTTTTTAAAATTGAATAATATTATAACAAAGCCGTAATTATTATAGATTTTATTTATACACGTTCGTATTTTGAACGAGTTTTTTAGCTCTTTGACGTAACGTGTTAAAATAAGTGATTGATTGATTGATTGAGTTAGAAGAATTTCGCGAGAAATGGCATTTCTTGTCCTTTACATGAAAAATAGCACATAAATAAGCACTTTGGATGATTTTAGCCACAATATTTACTTTTACTGTCGAAAGAAGTTGAAAAAACATGTATTTTCACCCAGTTGAAAAAAACATGTAGTTTCGTCTGGGCATTGACCTACCAATCAAACCTCCGAAGAATTAATTACACTTCAAAAACGGGTTGTAAGAATAATCTCGAGAAGTGCTTTTGATATGTTGCAGTTTTTGAAACGATTTTACCTTTACCTCAAGTGGAAAGCCTTTGATCTTCTTTACAGGGTGAGGTATATTTTAGGGGTGGTGGCGTTGCAGGAGGTTTGTGACGTCACCAACACTGGCCGCCATTTTGGCCGCCACCTTGGATTTTACCAAGAATTAGAAATGAGGTTAAAAGCGCGAGAAATGGTATTTTTTTGTGCTTTACATGAAAAATAACACATAAATAAGCACATTGCATGATTTTAGCCACAATATTTACTTTTATTGTTGAAAGAAGTTGAAAAAACATGTATTTTCACCCAACATTGGCTTCACCAACTGCTACTTATGACGTCATATCTCGTAACCATAGCAACTAAGCATCACTAAACTTGTCTCAAAATGTGCGCGAAGGGTGAACGAGCAGCTACTGAAAATGACAGGTGCTGCTGTTTTATCCTCTAGGAAAAAAAACTCAGAAAAACCATATGGAGGGGTGGCGTCCACCCACCCCCCCTCCCCCTTCCCTCCCCTTATACATCCAAGGGTTAACTCTCGTAGTTTTGAACAAAGCATTTCTCTTATCAGAAATATTCATTTTCATTTTATTATAATTTTTTCCTTCCGCTTTTTTGGCCTAACTATGCTTACGAATATCTAATATATATTAAGATTTACTGTAGCTCTGCCATTGATTTTTGAATGTATAATTCTGTTAATATTTTGTTGCAATAACTTCATTGAGGGAGCCCATTCCTTATAAGCCAGGTGGCTTTCCTTGGGCTTCCTCGCCATTAGCTTTTTAAATATTTAGATTTTCTTGTTTTTTGTACATCCTTATGGCAAAACAATAAATCGAAACTGAAACAATTCGTGTGGACTGCTATGCCACCAGAGCGGCTGATCCTTATCTCTAGCGCATCACGTAAGACTTGCAGAGAGATGCTCACATCACGTCTCCACAGACCTTGAAAGATATACACGTGTGAAGTGATGTTCTTTATAAATAAGTCAAAACTGATGATGTTGGCTATGACACCATATCAAAGAGCCCGTCGGTTAAAAACTCACCGCCAATTACTCATTAAACGCAACATTTATTTTTTCTTTAATTTTCAAAAGGAACGGCTGTAATTTTTAGCATTAACTTCCTTCTATGTCCTCACCCGTCATCCGACTTTAATCTACAGTTCAGGCTTAAAAGGAAAAAAAATGGCTGGCTACGCCCTAGCCTGCGTAGCAAGCGTTTCCAATCGAGTTATTGCGCGAAAGTTAGAGCGGAAGCGATAAAAAAAAAGGTGAAAGGGGGAGGGGGAGGGGAGAAGAGGAAACGCTTGCCCGCAAACCCCACGATTCTGAAAAACGCCCCTTGATATTTCCCGGTTCGGTTCGTTTGTAAATTGACAGCTCGTTAAAATAGAATTATAACGAACAGATTACCCCTGGATTGCCAGACGTCTAAAATTACTTTTGTTCTCTAATAGAACACGTTCCAGGCGATTGCAACAACTGTAGGTTTACGATAAAAGAAGGTTAAAACTCTGAGCGGCTGCTGCGGAATTTCTTGTTTTTTTTTTTTATTGTGTGGCTTTATCTCGTCGTGAAACCTTGTCGAAACGTCAACAATGATTTGTCCGAAACAATTCACTCCGTCGGCTATAAGTTTTGCAGAGCGGCTGCTCTTCAGCCCGTGTCGAAACGTTGTCTAGAATACATGCCTCTAAATTTCCAATAAACAAAAAGAATCTTTTCATTTCAAAAAGCTAACAAATCGCTTCTCTATGGCGGCTTTAGCTAGTGTTGAATACTGATGTTCTGATTTACGTTGATGTTATCTCCAACAAACAGTCAATTTGTTTTTTTCCAGTCAGATCCGCACGCCGTCATCCCCAATAAATTGGCCTTTCCCTAGTCTCCACTGCTCGATCTCCAAATATACTTTGAAGACTCTGATCTCATAACCCTTCGCACAAACACCATTCAAATAAATATCAGTCCAAAGTATTTGCAATCTGCGACCACAAATCAGATGAGACCAGATCTGTGACGCTCGTAAACAAAGCATACCTGGGTTGATTGATGTTTCGAGTGCTAAGCAATCAACACTACTAGCACCGCACCAATCAGAAGCTGCGTTCGTGGGCGAACGCAGTTTTTCAAAATCGTGGGGTTTGCGGGGAAGCGGTTCCTTCTTTCCCCTCCCCCTCCCCCGTCATTCTCTTCCCAACTTTCTCGACGAACTCGCGCGGAAACGCTTGCTACGCAGGCTAGCTACGCCCCTGACAATGAACGCTCCCGCTTTGATCGGACAAGAAGGTTAAGGATGCTGCATAATCAATTAATATTATACAATGTGACATTATTTTAAGTATTAAAACTTAAACGTAACTTTTTTCTAAGAAACCATAGTAAACAAAATACTGTTGAATCCCTGACACCTGAACTGATGACGTTCAGATATCACTGCTATGCTGAAACCTCGGCCGAGCGCGTGTTACACGAAGGATAAAAGAGAGGTGGGTCATCAGCCAGGGCAGCTTTACGTCAGCTGTAATGTAAAGCGATATTCGATAAAGGATCAAGTTTTACTGGCAACTTTCCCACAAACGTCTGACTTTGAGTGGACCCCATCCTCGGAGACCCAGGGGCAGTTAGTCGGGTCGATAAAATGTTCGTGGTGAAAGTTTACTGTAAGATCGAGACGAGCCCCTGGGCACTTACTCTTACCGAACCAGTTCCAGAAGCGTTTGAATTGCCTGCTTCTGATTGGCCAGAAAAAAATTTTTCTGGCCAATCAGCGAACAGAAGCTGCAGGGTGACTCTCGTGTTTTATTACACGACGTAGTTTTCCTTATCGATCGCCATAGTTGCGTAGCGCGTTCAACTGGGAAAGTTTTTCGACGAAAGTTTCAGAACAAAATGTTAACAACCCGCAAAATTGCAACCTTTAGCACGGCTACAAGAAACAAACACTCTCCGATGAATTTTCAGTGCGGATCTTTCCAAGGTATCGTAAATTTTTATTGCTGATACGATACGCTATGCATGACGTTCACTTTCCACACCTTAATTTGCTCACATTGTCTAGTATACAACGCCAGGCTTACATTTTAGATGTCCATGTTCGTTGCACGACTTCTGAAACTTTCTACAGCGTGAAAATTTCCGTTGCAAGGGCCACGCAACTACGTCGATTGATCCTGGGAAATGCCGGCTAGCTGCAGTGCCTTCTTCTTGCTTTCGCTCCAAACTCCTCTCGAAACTTTTAAGCTTAAAAGCTTACAGCAGTTGACCCTACGAATTCTGCCGAAGTTGATAGTAGTGTTAACTTTAGATTCGAGGGAGACCTCCAGCAAGCGCTTGAAGAATTAGAAGGCTTGTCTTTGTTTCCTGTGGTACAGTGGTACAGTTCAAAGCGAAGCAAAGATTTATTATTGAGAAGATTGTGGGAAGAAGAGATGTTTTTGGGCAATTGATAGAAGAGTCCAACCTTCCAAATGTTGCCTATAAGCTAGGGGGGTTTAAAAATCGTTAGATGCTAAAGGTTATGAATTCCCTAGTAATCCATTGGTCATAGTGATTTCACCACACAGGAAAAATTTCAGAATCCCCATTTTGGGTTTAAAAAGGGAAATAATTGGGATTTCAAAGGGATTTCTTTGGCAAAACCCAAAATTGGGAAAGTGCTACCAAAACCAAGCATGGGTTTTTAAAATCCCATTTTATTCCCAATAATGGGATTTTTCAGTCCCAAGTTTTACCCAAGAATGGGTTATTTTTGGGCCAGTTTTTTCCCAGTATTGGGATTAAAACTTCCCATTCTATTCCCAAAAATGGGATTTCTAGGTCCCAAGTTTTACCCAACAGTGGGTTATTTTTGTGCCACTTTTTTCCCAGTATTGGGATTAAAACGTCCCATTTTATCCCCAATAATGGGATTTCTAGGTCCCAAGTTTTACCCAATAATGGGTTATTTTTGAGCCTGGTTTTTCCCAATATTGGGATTGAAATTTCCAATCCAAATCCCAACAAGTCTAGAATAGACAAACAGCTTTTGTCCAAATCAACTAAGATAATGCATTTTCTTTTCAAACAGTTTTAATACACTTAACTATATTTTTGGTTTAAATAAAAACATAGTGCATATTTTGTACAAATAAACTATTTGAATTTATTTACATAAGTAAGTATACTTAGAATTTCAAAATGTCTCATTTGAATGTGTCCATCAATGTCTCAAGTGCATTTAGACTGACTGGTTGTTCAATTTACAGTATAATATGGAAAGCATCAATACTTCTTGCTATAATAAATAATATAGAACATTAATGAATCCCAACACAACCTTTTTCAAATGTAAGGTGTTTCCATCGTTAAAACTGTCAGTACCCTTGAGGAAAGGTTATAACAATAAACTCTTTCAAAGTTTTCAGAAAAAAACACAGTCCTTTTAGGCATTAATTGTCATAAAATCAACATCATCACATCACTATTAAAGTGATGAAAGGTAAGTTGTTTCAGTCTCCTTGTTCACTTTTATCATAGCCATCTTCAGCTGCCTAAGATCAACAGGTTCATCAGGGATTTCCACATACTTGTGCCTTGCTGGCTTCTTGGACACCACTTCCAACAGTTGAGATAGTGTGAGGGGCGTGAGATTTCTAGGTGTGACAGAGAATCTCTTCTTCAGCAGCTTTGAGATCTCCTCTCCACCCAAAACACTTCCACATATAAATCTCACAATCATCTTGCAAAGTTTTGGTGACAACTGAATACTGCTACCCCCCTCTGCAGTACTAGCCTGGGAAGGTGGTGGGTCTCCTTTTTCGTTTTCAGAGTTATCTGGTGAAAGTGTTGATCCAAAGCTACCAATATCGCCACTGTCCTGCAATTTTAAAATCAGTAATGCAAATCAAAAACCTTTAACCTTCAATGTTAAAAAATAATAATAATCCAAAGGGAAGAAAACAGGGCTTTGACCAGTTTAGGATGTTATGTACCAGTAACCAGTCCGGAATATCCCTAAATTTAAGGACAGGGCCGACTGGTCATGCGACACTTTTCAACCAATGAGAAGGCACGCTTGTGTTTATCAACAAACAAATCAAAACATAGCCGCTGTGATAAAATATTTTCAAAACAGCGGACGGAGTCGGACAGAATCAGTCAACGTTTCGAGGCTCTCAGGCGTATTTTTAAGACTTTTCATGAGGCATACACAATTTTTTTAAGAGGACAGCGTATCTGAAGCCATATTGGAAGTGTCTGGTGAAATATTCAGCACATTTTGTGGCTTATTTCTTCTTTTAAACAACGCGATGTATGTGCGAGATTTTGGTCGGTTTTCAAGGTAGGTGAACAAATATCTATCATTTTTTCGATTCACAGATTTTTTTCACGAAGTTCTAGATATTTTTCCTTGATTGTCATATCGATTAACTTTTATCATGTTGAATGTGGGGATGGTAGACAACCTAGAATTTTGGTAGACCAATTTTGAATTCCGAGGTCCATGAAAACACGTACGTTTTCTATTCCCGGGTTTCTCACAGAGCCGTGTTATTGCTTTTTTTCGCATTAGTACGAGCCTTTGCCTTTTTTCTTTTCAAGGCCAAAACAACTTTATTAGTCTTATGGATATTCACATCTAACATCTCGCCTCACTCTGCCAAATTTTTGGGGATGAAATTGAAGATGATAAGCGCAAGGTAGACAGTAACCGCTTTGTTTCTGAAATTCACCAAATCTGGAAAGATTTAATGTTGCTGGATTCTCCAAATGTTCATCCACCGTTAAAAAACAATCAAAGAAAGAAGGCAAATTTCAAGTGTAAATGATGTATTTCGCTACTCATTGAACATGCACTGAATCTGGGATCAAATTAAAACATTGCAGGTACTACAGCAAGCAAGGAAAGCACCAGATGCGTGAAGTCAACACGAAACGACACCAAAAAACAAACTAGAAAAATTAATAAATTTGAACTACTTTTTATTTTATTCTTGTTATGATGACTGGTTCTTTGATTCTTGTCCTGTAGAAGCTAATAGGTAGTACCAATCCTGTTTTGTATGATCTCAACAAATTTTCACACTCTCTCTAAGGCTATTTTTACACGGGACCAGTTTGTTTCTATCAAAAATCTTGCAAGCCATGCCAGTGAAGCCACGACCACTGCGATCGGTCCGGAATCAGTTCGAACACCCCAATGATTCCTTGCAATGAATAATGTTCTTATTCTCTTACATGAAATGTTTTCTTTGAAATATTAAATGTGAAACCTAGACGAGTACTGTAAGCTCATCTTTAATTCTGTCCGTCGACTCCGTCCGTTGTTTTGAACATTTTTGAGCACTGGGGCGATGTTTTGATTTGTTTGTTGATAAACACAAGCGCGCCTTCTCATTGGTTGAAAAGTGTCGCGTGACCAGCTGGCCCTGTCCTTAAATTTAGGGATATTCCCGACTGGTAACATACACACATATTTTTAGTGTGTTATATATCATAAGCTTATATATTAGCTGAGATGAAAACCTAGAAAGCTATGACCTGCACTTCTGCCAGTTTTACATATTCAAAACATGTATCGTGCGAGACAGTTTTTTTATTCTCAATCAAGTCAGTGCTTGGAACGGGTATATAAAATAAAAGAGATTTTACATTTAATTCAAAGAAAAAGAGAAGTAAGCTTTAAACCTCAACCTCTCGACTTCATGAAACTTTTTTTCTAGCAAAAGTTCAGTATGTAGGCAAAATGGACGGCCATGGAATAAACAAGTAAACTTTACATTTGCTAGGAAATATTGATTTAATATTGTTCAAGTCTTCGCCAATGCAAAGTACCACAGATTGTTGTTGTTAAAAAAGCACGCCAAAAAGTAAAAGAAAACTAAAAAAGAGAGAAACTTGGAAGGTTTGTAGCATTCTGGGCCGTTTCCCGCCGAAAATATAAAAGCAACGTTCGTACCTTCAAACGCTTTCCCCACTGCTTCTCCACAACATTCTTTGATTCGTTTTAAGATTTCCTCTGCACTTGGATTCTCTATATCCTCAAATTGTTCTTTTCGTTCATCTTTATCCGTTTTCTTTGGCTCTAAGTCTGAATTTTGTGAGGACGAAGCAAGAAACAAAGCCATCCTCTGAACGGGAGTTTGAATCGAGCGAGCCGTTCTTGTGCGCATGCGGGGAAAGAGAACTGGGGCGAGCATTCTCGTCCCCAAGGCCACTCGGCTTTCTTTCTTTCTTAAAGACACGCGGCGATGGCGACTGGAATAGAAAATTTAACTCTACAGTAACTTTTACCTGATCCAATTTTTCACCCAAACTTTTCCCACCGTAGGAAAGCTATGTCCCATTCCTTCCTAGAATTGGGAAAATCCAAAAACATTAACAACTCCGTTCCCAATATTTTCCCATTTTTGGAAAAATATTTCCCAAATCCAAAAAAACTGGGACGAGTGGAATGAACTCTTGAGATTTCCCAATATTTTCCCAAAATAGTACTTTCTATTTTCTCCAAGACAAAATTTTCCCAATTTTTTTGTCCAATATTTTCCCAAAGAAGGAAATTCATGTCCCAATTTTTCCCCAGAATTGGGTAAATTCCATAATATTCCCAAAATGGAGTTTTGAAAATATAATTATTATATTGTCCCAAAAAAATCCCTTTTTTGTGATCTTAAAAGTGGTTCAACTTCCCAAAATTTTCCCAATTTTGGTAATTTCGTTCCCAATTTTTCCCCAATATTATCCCTAAATTTACAGGAATTTCCCAGTTTGGGAATCTGAAATTTTTCCTGTGCCACTCATGTCAATTGTTGTGTACCAGGTTAAGTACTCGAGGTCACTAGGAATTCAGGCCGCTTTCTTAGGGGAAAGCAAAAGAAAAGATCAGAAATATTGAATGGATAGGGAGCGTTTTCTTTGTTGTACGGAAGCCCGGAATCATTTACTGGGGGACAAGAAATTCAGGGCAATGTTCTTTAAGGAGTTTTGCCAGAAGAATCCCATTGCAGGTACATACAGCTGTTCATTGGTAGGTATGCTGATTTGTTTACTAGGAAGGTTGCTACACTGAATTCATTGTGGGGAGTTCTGAAGGGGTAAAATGGAATGTTGTTGCTCTGGGAAAATGGGATTTAAGTCACTGGCAGGGGGATGCTATCACTGAGAATGGGAAAAAAATGTTAAAAATGGGAATTGAGGGTTAAACAGTTTCAATGGGATTGATATCCCCCCTTTCAGGACCCTCATTATACTTAACAGTAGATCTGGCTTTTATTCAAGGATGCTCAGTAATCTTATGTCTAAAAGCTGACAGACACTTCACTAGAATTATCATGTTTTTTTGTCACCATTTATTGACAATTGAAAGGTGATGAAGTAAGCCTTGCAACTGCTTAATTAAGATAATAATGCAATTGAACATTTACATATTATAAATGGAAAAACACCCCATAATACAGAACTACAGATGCCATTACATTAATTTTATTTTTAAGCTGTTGAGATTTTTTTTTTTTACTTTTTTATTGGAGTTCACATGTCTACTTATAATACTGCTTGAGTTATGTATATACTAGGGAGCTGTAATATTTTATTTTATTTTAACTCGTTAATAAACATTTATGCTGGGGTATTTGTTGGTGATTCTTTCTGTCCCAAAGGGTTTGTTTTACTAGGTGGCCACAAGGGCGGATCTAGGGGTAAGGTACAGGGGGTGCGCACCCCCCCTTGAGATGACCTGCGGTTTTCTAATACAACTGGTATTCTGCAAAAAAAAAAAAAAACTATGTGGTTTATTGGTGATGAAGTAGGGCAAGAGACGAGTGCACCCCTCCTAAAAAAAAAAATCCTGGATCCACCCTGGGCCAACAAGTATACTTGAGTATATTATTTGAAAACTGCCAAGAAAAATGGGTGTGCATTATATATTCGGGTGCACATTATACAAAAAAGAAAATATGGTATACCTGCACATAACATACAAAAACTGTTTTCCAACACTCTGTGGAAAAAAGGGAACTGTGCTGAAATTGTCTCTTACTGTTTGCGATAATTCTAAAAGTCTTCCTTCTTTTAGATTTTATCAAGCGTAAAACCTGTAGAAGAGAAAAAACTCCTTCCTTTTTTGATGACAGTAATGAAAACAGCAGAATCATTCCAAGCCACTTATGTTTCGACATCAGTGCCAAAGACTGTCAGTCTGCTTAAAGAAAATCAATGATCTGTGACAGGAATTTCAAGAATCAAATCTTCACTGCTTGTATTCTAGAATTTGTATTCTCTGATTGTCTTCTACAGGAAACAATAATTGATAGTTGTAATAAGTTATGTTCTGTGGAAAGTACTTTAAAGACACTTTGTGGAATGGTGACCATGCAATGAAGATTTTTACCTTTCTGAAGAGGGTGTTTAAAGATAATTTTAAAAATAATTATCAATAAAGAATATTATTGTCAGAAGAGGAGAATTATGATAGGGAAGTTATGAAATATCAAACAAATGCACCAAAGGAAAATTGTTAATATTGCAGCATTATTTTTTCAAAATAAGTCCAATCTTGTACCATCAATTCCAAGGGAGTTAAAACAATGGCACTGTGGATGTGTTTGAGGGGGTCAGTAAGGGGAAACA